CCCCAACCCCAACCCCAACCCCAACCCCAACCCCAACCCCAACCCCAACCCCAACCCCAACCCCAACCCCAACCCCAACCCCAACCCCAACCCCAACCCCAACCCCAACCCCAACCCCAACCCCAACCCCAACCCCAACCCCAACCCCAACCCCAACCCCAACCCCAACCCCAACCCCAACCCCCAACCCCAACGAAATTTATTCTAATTAATTTTCAAATATTGAATGCATTTAGAATAATAATAAGTCAAATTTTGATCAATTATTGAATTTACATTGAATGCTTTAAGCTTTTTTTAAATTATCTAAAATTTTAATTATATTTAAGATAGGTTTTAAAATGACTTTATAAAATACTCATTAAAGTAAATTAATATTTGAATATTTCAAAACTTATTTAAATAATTAAATTCATGATTTAATAAATTTTAGTAAATTTAATAAAAATAATTTTAGTTATTATAAATAAATATTCTTAGTGGATATAAAATATCAGTTTTAATAGCAAGGAAGAAGAGAAGATATTTGGATTTATTATAGATTAAGTAGATAAAATTTAATACTATTTTATATGCATTTACTATACTTATATTTTTGTGATTAATTTAGATTATTTGATAGAATTTTCTATCTTTTTTTTATTTAAATCTGCCAATCTATTTTTATTCATAGATATTTTTACTTAATTAGAATTTGCAAAAATCATTCATTGCTAATTTTAATTTTATTATTCTTCCTATTTTTTTAAGTATTCAATGTAAAGTGGATTCTCTACTACTCTATTTGCTCTTTATAACATATGAATTCCATCTAAATGATCTAATTCGTGCTAAAATGCTCTAGCTTAAAGTCCTGAAAGTTCCTACTTAACCTTTTTACCCATTATATTTTAATATTCTACTAATATCTAAATTGGTCTAGTTACAAAAGCTAGTTATTCAGGAATACTTAGGCACCCTTCCTCTTCCTCAGAGGTTTCCTTGCTTTTGTCTAGTATTTGAGGATTACATATAGTTAATATTCTTTTTTAGATATCAAAAGGATTTGCATTGAAATCAGCCAATAAAAAGAATCTCAAATCTAATCCTACTTAATTAGCTGCAATTGCGACTCCTTTTTTTTCATAAACTCCTTTATTTAAACGTAGTGTATCAATCAGCTTATCGATTTAATTTTCTACTTCTTAATTCAAAGGAAAAATCACTTCTTTTTTGACCTAAGTAGTTAGCTATACGTCATTCTGGGATAATATAGTGTATATATCTGCTTTTTATTTTACAGATTTTAAAGCTTTCTTAAAGACAAATTTTTTCATTTGAAAATTCGATAGGAAATAAATAAATATTACTTTAATTAAATACTCTTTTGCAATAATCTTTAATATTCATGATTAATTAGTATATTTTATTTAGATTTTGCAAATAGGTTAATCTGTACTAGATACCTATTAACTAAATACATTAATAGTTTGCTAATTTTAAGTATTTAGAAATCAAAACTATAAAAAGAAATTTATTTAGAGTTCATATATATCTTTTAAAAGAAGAGAGGATGTAAGAATCTTTCAAACTTATAGAGTGCTTTAACTAATTAACTAGCAAATAATTCTTAATAAAAAAATGATAAATAACAAAAATAATTAAAAACAAATAATATATTTCATTCATAAAATAATTAGAGGAATAATATTTTAAATGAAATTTATTTTTTCAAAAGTGTATTAGCTAATCCTTTCTTACATTTTTATCTAGTATTTGCTTGATTTTTGGATACTAGTATAATGCTGTTATTAATTATTTTAAAAAAAGGAGAGGATTGAATCTTTCAGGAGATTACATATAACACTATATCTATCAATTATTTTTAGAATCGAGAAATTATTATCTATTACAGACAATTAATTTTTATTTATAAATTTATTCATTATATTTGAATATTTAAAGCTACAAAATATTTACAAGAAAGGCACTCTTGCTTTATTATAGGATTATAATTTGAATTTATTTTAATATGTATCTTTTTTTAAATATCAATGTTTGTTCGTTTCAATTTATTCAGAAAAAAGCATATATTTGAAAAAGTTTAATACAAAAAACAAATTTAAAAGATTAGTAAATGTAGAGGATTAAATTATAAATTAATAATTTTATATAAATTAATATAATTTTATTTTTTATCTAGTAATTTAGCATTTAATTTTGGAATTTTTAATATAAAAGCAAAAAATATGTTTATGTGGATGAATCAATAAAATAATAATGGTGAATAAAGGTAATTAATTAACTAATTAACACTTTTTTTAAGAGGTATTTAATATTTGAGTCTTTTAGAGTTTAATTGGAAAAAAAATAAATCGTTAAAATTAAAAATATGAATTTTGTAGTTTGAGGATATATGATTTGTTAATTATTTATTTATTGATTTATTAACTAATTTTATTTTTAAATCAAATAAATTTGCTAAAAACTAAATTTACTATTTGTTTATATTATTAATAAAAAATAATTTATGAAAATCAATTGTGTCACTGCTGGTAAAATTAAATATGTTGAATAAAACAGTTTGAGGTCAGATTGTTTGAAAAGGAGGATAATTTTTTTGATAAAAAAATGATATTTTCTAATTGTTTTTATTATATTTAAAAAACTCAGTTTTGTGAAAAAAGTGACAAACTCATTTTTATTATTAAATAAATTAAAATGAGCAAAGTGTTTGTTTGATATTTTTAGAAAATATTTAATATTTTTCCTATATTATTATAATATAATAATATAATACCCTTCACTTAAGTAATTTTGGCTTGATTTTTCAATAAATCATTTAACAAAAAAAGTTTTAAACTTTGTTTGAATTTTATTTAATACATTTTTATTTGCAAAAAAGAATGTAATTGATGGGAGCTTTATAGTTTTGTCAGGGTTCCAGATAAGTAAACAGCATTTTAGATTCTAGAAAGAAAATAATAAATAGAAATATCTAAATCACATTGAAGGATTAAAAATTTAATTAGTTCTAAATCAAAGTAATATATGATTGATTCTTAGTGAAATACTTCAAAATTTAGCAAGTAATTTATTTTTATTATGAGAAATATAATTTTATAAACAATAGATGATATAAAATAATTTACAATCTTATATCTAAAATTAATTTTTAAAACTTGAAATGTAAACTTAATGCATACTTGGAATAAATATATAATGTTAAAGGAAATAATTAATGGTTCAAAGGTAATAAATATATTTTTAAATTAATTGATTTGAATATTTAAAATATACTGCCTTTATTATATAAGAAAGGTTAAAATAAGTGTAATTAAGATGGTAAAATGTGAAATTTATGAATATAATAATATTGATAAACAAGGAGTAGGATAAATAAAAAATCTAATAATGCTGGCCAGCTTTTTTAAATTGTAAACAAGTATAAAGAGAATGAAAAATATAAATTTGCTAAAATCATGATTATTATAGATTATAATTTTGAATAAGATCTAGAACAGATGATATTAGCAATTTATAGAAGTCTCTATTGTAAAAATGCTAGATACTATAATTAGCAGAAAATAAGGAAATTTATAGGAAAAAATCTTAATATAATTTAAAATTATGTTAAAGTAAATTTAAATACATCTATTTTTTTAATTATTAATTAGTACTAAAATATAATGAATGAACACGTCAAATTATTAATACTTTATATTATATTTGATTGCATTTAGCTAATTTTTTCTCTTCCAAAATTTTACCTATTAGTAGACATAGTGATGAAAGATATATTACGATGAATTTATTTAGTCTATTGACATTTATTGTACTGAAATAATTGTTTTTAAGTTCCTTCTTGTCAAAGTAAATGCTATTTATTTTTAATGTATGTATGTTAGTTTATGATGAAATCTAAATCATTTATTAAATGTAATTTTTCCAAAAATTTTAAAGAATATTCAATGATAAAAAGTTAGGTATATTATTTATCAGTATTTTGTTTAAAATGGCAACTTATAAAAAGTGTGTAAGGGAGATTGAGTTGGTTTGCTGACTATTTTAATTTAAACTATTTTGCATAGTTAGTTACTTGAGAGAATAATTGATAGGTAAAAAAATATTAGTTTTTTTTGTAATATACTCAAATGAAAAATACTAATTTATAATAAATTAACAAAACGTAAGCTATTTAACTTAATTTTAGAGTTTTTTTAGTTTAAAATTTATTTTAATCCCAAAATATTATATTTTACATTTTGAGACCATTAAAAAAATAAAACCTTTTTATACTTGATATCTGCTAAACTTATCACTTCATTAAATTCTTAAAGTAAGTAAATCTACTTTTAGAAGATCTTATTAGGAATTCATATACAATATCGATTATTATATCATTTTATAAATAAAATTATTTACATTAATTTTAGTGTAGGTTATTGTGCACATAAATGTGATAAGAACTGACTTATTTTATTCCTCCATTTTGTATATGAGTTTATAAAAGAAAATGTAAATATTTCAAAAAGCTTAACTGAGTTTTGATTGTGATAAAAATCTTAAAATAAGTATTGAAAAAAAAGTTCAAATAAATCATTCAAAAAGAAATATAACACAAATATTCAGACAAAAAATTTTCAAAGCTAATATGTAGTTTTCAATCATTTAAAAGAAGTGATTTGAGTAGCAAAATTAATAGGGCACATTTAAATTTTATAACTTAGCTAAATTTTTTTATAGACATTATATTATTAAAAGGATAGAGTAAAATGATGAATAAAAAATACTCAAATAAAACTGAGCGCATTTGCATTTAATAATTATTAAGAAGTAATATTCTTCTACAAACAATGTTGAAAAAACTATGAAATAACTAATCTTTGAGAATTTGTATTATCTGTTAAGTTATAGGGATTTTTGCTTTAATTAGGCATATTTATAAACTCAATATGTTAATTGTAAATAAAAAAATTCATTCAAAGAATCACTCTACTAATTAATTAATTAATTTATCAACCCACTCAGGCTTTTTAACTCAACCCAAATTTTTTATTAACCCTACCCTATTAATTAAATTAACAAATTAGATTGCAAAAATTTGAAGAAGTTCTAGTTTTAGAATTACAAACAAATTGGCTTATTCAATTAATCAATTTTTTTTCTTTCCTTCTATTGTCATTACAGATTAATTTAAATTGCATGCATTTTTTAATCATCAAATTTCATTAAACCCCTGGTTGCTTCATAATTCATTAATTCATACATTCATTTTTAGTATATACTAAAAGGATACTTATTAGTCCATCGCTTTATCTTAAAAAATAAACAATTTATCAATAATAATAAATTAATAAAAAAGTAAATTAATAAAACAAATCTCTAAACAAAAAACTACAAAAACCAACATCTAAAGCATAATCATAGTAGTTGTAATTATACGCTTAATTTGGTAACAATATTTAGCCTCTTAACTCATAAATACTTAACAAAAATTTCAAATCCTTGACTATCTAAAGACAGATACTTATAAACTTCATTCTCATAATAACTCTAACAATTGCTAAGATATTTAACTCGAAAATTCTCTAACATACTCAAAAATATTAATAATGATTTAATAAATGTCAAATTCTCATCCCTTCGCACTCAACTCTCTTGCTCAATCAACAGCCATGCCAAATACTTTGCAAGGTAGCTTCAATAATTAAATATGTCCTACTTCATCTATCCCTATAGTTGGCATTCCATCAAATTCAAGTTTTACACCTCAAAATTTTATTACCATGCCATCTGTCCCATTTACATAATAATCAACCAGCTAAAATTTTCAATATAATAGCTCCGAGAATTAGTAAAATTTATTGTGCTACAACACCAATAATTACTTAAATACTTATCCCATGGGAATCGTAGGAGGATAAAACCAATATCAAACTTCAAATTATTTTGGGTAGAATGTGAACTTGCCATCTAATGATACTCAATAAAGCATGCTTTAATTACAAATGATGAATTTGAAATATAAATAAATTATTTAATAGTAACAATAATAATTAAAATAGATGCAAATGTAATAACAGCTATAGCAAACAACCCAATAATAGTAGTAGTAATAATAATTTAATTAAATTTACCCATAATAAATTTTAAATTCCTTTAATTCTTCAAGTAGTTCTATTAATTAAATGAATTACATTAGCAATCACTAACCTGCTAATTCGAGCTGCTTAAATACTCCTTATCTGAATGCTCTATAAAAGTAGAATTCCATAAATACTAATAATAATTGTGGTGAATAAAAAGATGGAATATATACAGAAATGAATAAAGTTAAAGTAGAAGTCTAATCGCAATGTTAGTAAGGCTTATAAGTTTAAGCCTTAGAAAAATAATTATCAGCCAGCTAATAAAATTTTTCTTCCCCACTTTCCATTCCTAGTACAGCACCTCTTACTTAAAAATAATATATTAACTCACAAAATGATTTAATGAGTGCAACAATGGTAAATACTTCATAACTCAGACATGTAAATGGAGATTTTGCTTCCTAACCTAATAAGCTGAATACTTCTCAAACATCTTTGAACACAGTTAAAATTGAAAGCAACTAAAGCTCTAAATCCATCTAATTCTCACAAGATCACTAAATGTAAAATAATACCTATTCTTAGAGGTAGAATTTTTTTACATTAGCAAACTCCAAATCATAGGAGATGTAATAAAATTTTGAAGGAATAGACAATAATAAATCTTTAAATGAATTAAGCTAGCAAGTGGAAGATAATAAAAACCCTGAAAACAGCTCCTTCATCTCTGAAAAGAAACTTAAACGCTCAAGATCTCATCTTAATAATATTGAAATCGACACACAATCTCATTCTCAATACGCTTGCAACGAAAGCTCTAATAAGTACAGCAATGAAATAGATGAAGTAATATGCAAGAAAAGATTTACTTAAGTTAAATAGGAAGATGAATAGATGATAATCTCATAGTAATCTAAAAGTGATGTGAAAGCCACTAATATTCCTCAGCTTTAAGACTCAAAAAAGAGATTTTCTAATTCCATTTTATCAACTTCAGCCTCAGCCTATTGCGAAAGAAGCTCTATGGTATCTAACTCAGAGAGTAGTATCTTAAAAGAAGACCCATAATACCTTGAATTCTCTAGGTTGTCATCTTTTGATAATATTTAAGAAGCCTAAAAATCCTTCGATAAATTAATCAAAAAATTATCTATTAATCAAATGATAGAATGTGTCCTATCAAACCTCCCTTCTAAACCTGAAGAAACAACTAATTTTGAAAATAAATTTGTGAATTCTATGAAAGCAAAGCAAAGCAAGGATAAGAGAAACCCAAACGCACTTTACATGACCAGATTCCATAACTTAACAAGACTCTTAATGTACAATATAGTCTAGCTCTTTTCCTTCGATATTCTCACTCAAAATTTGAATATCCACTTTTACATAGCCTAAGAGCTTGAAAATATTTGCCGTAAAATCAAGTAGCATGCTCGCTAAACTTGTAACGGGTAATTTAAGACAGACTTTTACACACATTCTCACTATAATGGTTTGTTCCTTGTTTTGGATAAGAATACTATTTCTCACATCAAAAAATCATAAAAGGACATAGAAATTCACTAATAAGTTTACGGAGTGGATATCTAGCCAATTAGCAATCAAGAAGAAAATGAGAATTTTGAAGTGAAGAAATGCAATTTTTTCAAAATACTCGCACACGAAATACTAATGAGATGCTCCTACTAAAGCGTTGAAAAGAGTTTAATAAATGGCGATGATGCTCGTCGCATATATTTCCGCAGAGCTCTTTCTGGAATATCAAAGCTAAATAAAGGATAAGTTGTTCACAGATTTTGAATTAAAAATAAGCCAAAAATCAAATTATTAATTAAAAGCTAGAAACTTTTCAAATATTATATATAATTCGAGCTTTTAACATGGTCAAGAAAAAGACTTAAAATCAACCAAAAGATAACTAACTTCTACATGCAAAATGTTTGCATAAAACAAACAAACAAACAACCAACCAATAAATAAATAAATAAATAAATACTTTATTATTTTAATAAAAAAACAATTTAAACCAATGAAATAATATAAATACAAAAATGAATTTAATATTAACTTCAAAACAATGAATTTATTACAAATTATTTCTCTTCTTACTGTCTTTAATCCTCTTTTCTAATCTTAAAATCTTACTATTCTCATATTAAATATTAAAAAACTATATAAATAATTTAATGTTAATTTATAATGTTTGCGAAATCAGTATATACATTCTTGCTTTTTCTGTAAATTATTGTTCATTTCTTGTTAAAAATCTACTTACTAACAAAAAATAATCCTCATAAACTATTTTTTTAGCAAATAAAGACTTTTTTAAATTTAATAAATTAATGAATTAATATTTTATTAATGTTTCATTTCGTTTCAAAGGTATGCTACTAAATTTGACTCATTTTGAATGATAAAAAATGTAAGCTACAAATTTCAAATATTACCAACAGACCAATACTTGATTTTTTTATGGAATACTTTTAAAAAGTAGAAATTTAAATAAAGCTAAATTTTTTTATAGTTTCTATGATTAATGCAGCGCTTGATCTAATAAAAAATTATTCGATTATAGCAACAAAATATTACTCAATTTGCACTATTCTATTGCAATTTTTATTAGATAAAATAAATCCAAGTTACTTTTTTCAATATGTATAATTAAAATATTGTTTTTTAGATATTTATTTGAATTTTATATGAATTTTTAAAATCTAAAAAGAACATTTTGGCATTTTTTAATTTACATTTTAAAAATTTTATTTTTAACGGGCATAAATGTTTCTCTATTGATTTTATTTTTCACCATATTTACATATTTATATAAAAATAACTGAGTAAACATGTATTTTATCTCTTAAAAATATTAAATATTTATTTTTGTTTTTATTAAGTTATCTTTTAAATTATCATTACATTTTTTAAATGCGTATATAAGATTAAATCATTTAAAATTTGGTGTGTAAATCCTGTAATACTTTTCTTTCATATTGATACCATATAAATAAAGTGCTAATTAGCCTTTTTTTGTTTGTAATTTATATTCTTCTCCATGATTTTAATAAAATACTTTGATTATTAAAATATCTTTTAGAGGAATTACTCAAGTATATTTGTGTGATTATTTTTGTTACTGGAGTATGATAAAAGCAGTTTTAATTTATATGAGACTCACACTCTCTTTGAAATAAATGTAATTTCCTTATGATATATAAGTTTTCTAATAATTATAAAAACAAAGAAAAGAAAATATTACTCCTGGTAATAAGGGGATTTCAATTAGTTAGTAAAATGTGTTACTTTTTAAGATTTTACCAAGTTTCATGCGTTGAAATTATTTAGAAAACAGAATAGTATTCAAAATAAAAATTTTTATTACTACTTTTATTCAAACAAAAAGACAAAATGAGTTTTTATTTTAACAAAAAAATTAGTTTTTAATAAAACTCAAGTAACTGACATCGAAATTAAAATAAAATATAACTAATGTGACAAATTGTCTTTTTTATTTTAACAAAAATGAGAACGTGTAATTAAATCCTAAACATGATTCTTAAAGCTATTTGCCAATGATTTAAATGAAACATACTTAAAATTTCAAAAAAGTATTCTAAATTGATAAATACTAAGATATTTACATATTAAGAGTAAATTAGATTAGGGATTATATATTTTGCATTTTTTTAGATGCAATAATATTTCATGCATGTTTATGTGAATCAAAAAGTAATCAAAGTGGGTGACTATCTAGTTGTTTTTTGCTTGAAATTTGATTACTACTTTCTCTATTCGCTAAAGCCTAAAAATTATTATCAAGTATAATTGGAATATAATATATTTGTGAAATTAATTATTGAGTTTAAATTTTAATCTCTCTTCATTAATTTTACACAATCAAATTACAGTTAAGCATTCGTATACTTGCCACCTACATATATTATTCAAAAAATTTAAAACTCATTTCTGAGCCAGTTTTTTTTTAATTTTAATGCAAACTCATATTCAATTACAATTTTCCCAAATTATGAATGACTAAAAATAATTTAGCTCAAAAAGAAGCGGACTGTAAACTAAAGCAAATTATTAAGCACCTTTTCCATTTTTTGAAAAATACAAATACTCTAATCATACTTTAATTATACTTCTATCTTTCAAATAATTTGCGTTTATGCTAAAGATAAAATAATATTTTAAAAATGTATTTAAATGAGATACAAAAATACATCACTATTAAGAAGAATTTTTTGTAAATAAAGTACACTTATTCTTTTTTCCACGAGTAACTTTATATATTTCAACTCTAAATAATAATTAATTTTGATTTTACATGTAATTCTTTTTTTCCTGCTCACATTACTCAATGAATTGGTTATTCTACTTTACAGGTCTTGACACTAACAAGTGAATACTTAAAATTTCTAAATACATTTTTATTACATCAATTTCTTTATTGTACAACAAACTAAAAATAAAAATATAAATTATTGAAGATGACGCAAAATATACATTATATTTTAAACAATTATTTATTATTATAAATAATAATAAATTTTCAAATAAAAAATTTATGTGATGTAACCATCTAAATATTGCCTATTTCTAAATAATCCCATCAATAACAAGTTATGTAAAAGACAATACCATCTATGAAATTTTAAAAAGTATTACTATGAAACTATCTAAGAAGTATTTGCTAAAATTTCTGAACAATTAAAAAAAAAATCTATTATTAAATCAATACTAAATTTTATTATTTGTAAAATTTTTAAAAATAACCTACCCCATAAAATTTCTCATCAACTAAAGAAAGTCAACCAGCTAATTAAGGAAGCGATAGCCAAAAAATTCATTTAATTTGAATATATACTTCAATTTATTCTTTTGAAACCTGATTATACCTTTTTCAAATGAAAGAAATTGAAATAAAATCTATAAAAGAGTAATAGTTTTTGTTTTTCAAGATGCAATACTTGCTCTCAATCTTAAATTTTAACAATATTCTTACAATAAAAACTGTTTATTCAATAAAAATTTTATTTGTAAACAATCAATGATATTTTATTTCACACAGCCTTAATAACTTATCATTATTTAAACTAAAAACCTAAAATTATCATGATAAAAATACTCACAAATCTAAAAATACAATTTTATACTTGATTTTCGCTAAAAAATTTAAATATAATTAATAATTATCTTCCAAAATTTAATCTTCACATTTTTTATTGAAAGTTTGATGATATAAAGTAAAGTTTTTGATATTAATATCTTCGTATATGCGTAGATACATGTATTTACTTTATAAATAAATTCAAATTATTTTACTTTATATTGTAATCTAGTAGATTAATATTTAGTCTAATTTTAAACTAATATTTCATCCATTATAAACTGAATTTGCTAGAACGAAGTTAAAGTTTTAATGTGCTAGGCGAAAATTTTATTTCTAAATTAAGTGAGATTCTATCTAAATTCTTAGATTGTCTAACTGACTTTACCAGCCAGTTAAATTTTTTAATTTTTTATTAAATTGCAGATTTTTTAAATATAAAAGAGGATAAAAAAATATAATAGCAAAATGGCAAAAATACATTAAGGTTATAACCAAAAATATTTTTTTATTTATATTTGATAGTATTTTGTATTTATTACTCTTAAATAAAGACAAATAAGATCTTATTAAACCACTCAAAATTTGAGTCTTACATTAAAATACAAATCAATTAACTAATTAATTTCTTTTTTAAATCTACTGAACTATTTATTGCATTTTTTAGATCATTTAATTTTCTTGAAATCTGTAAGGTTCTTTTGTAAAAAATTATACTTAATATCTTTATTAAAATTAGTTTTTCTAAAATATCTGAATATTTTAAATATAATTTATGATTTTTAATCTATTTCAAATGATTCAATTTAAAGAGGGATTGCTTAAAAAATATTAAAAAAAATCAATATAAAATTTGCTTACATTTTTAAAACAATAAGAAAAAAATTAATTTGGAAAACTTAAAAGTTTACTCAAAAACAAATTGATTATAGCAATTGCTTGCTAGCGCTCTTATCAATAAATTATATTTGATTACAATTATACTTTGTAAATAGAGTTGTCTATAAGGTGGGGGAAAAAAAGGGAAATTTAAGCAAAATAAGAAGAAAATAGTAAACTGAAAAAAATATATTTATTTACTTATTTATAAGACTTAGTAATAAAAATAAAAAATTTTAGTTCAAATTCAATTTTTCACAAATATATAAATTACTCCATCTTTTTATTCTTTATTTTATATCCCTATTTTTTTAATCCTCTTCAAATATCCTCTTAAGAATTAATATGATCAAAGAATATTTTCTATAAAAGAAATAAAAGACCTTGTGTTTTAAACATACAGAAGTAGCAAAATAGCAAAATAAAATTTTATTTACATTTTATTTTTTGTTAATTTTTCAAATCTCTCTGCTTAAAAGTATATTCTTTCCATTTCCACAAACTTTTTTGACTATATCATAATGTAAATTATTTTAACCATTTTTAAGAATAAATACAAAATATTTCAAGTATCTTTAATTTGTATAAATACTATAAATATGTTATAACTATTTCTTAAATTGAGTAATATTCTAAATTTTTTGATTGCAAATTAATACTTTGATAATTAAATGCATCAGTATATTGTATTGATTTTAAAAATACGTTTGATTCGTATTGTCAAAACGTGATAATAAAATGAAAAATACAACCATATTAAAAGAAAACATTTATGACAATAATTTATTTATTTGAAACTTACCTGGTATTTCTAAGAACTAAATTTGGGCACGGAAGTTAAGCTTTGTTTATTATTTACTTCAAAAAAAAGTAATGAAAATATTTATTTTTATAAAAGTGAGAGAAAGGTTTTAAATACCTAAAAATCCAAGTCATTAAATAATACCTAAATATTGTACTTAAATATAAATAAACTCGAATCTAAGAGTAAAATAGCAACATTTATTATATTTATAATTTGTATTTAAAAAATTTAGGAATTAAAAAATTCAAAAAAAATTATTGGCACAAAAGGGAAATTAAAAAAAGTCAAGTAAAGCAAATGTGAATATAAAATACTTTGATAAATTAATAATACAATTAGAAAAGTACACTTTGGCGCATGTGATCTTGTCACCTCTATTTTAAAATTAGATTTCTAATTAAAATTTTAATAATATGATCTTCAAATAGAGTCATTAGGTCACATGTGCCAAAGAGTACTTTCTGATTATGTGTAATAGAAACATTTATTCTTAAAATAAAATAAAATATCAATCCAATATTTTACAAAAATATTTATATGTCTAGATTATATATTTTTTAAGATTTATTTTTGCTAAAATAGCTATGCCTTCCTATTTAATCACAATCTATTACTTCACCATTTCTCATTTTTAAAGTTCGTGAGAGCTGACTAAAATTTAAAGGTTAAACTGATAAAATCAAGTGATTACAGTCACCTTTTTAATTATGCTTAACTGACCTTATCTTTATTTTTATTACCTACAAACCTAAAACAAAATTAAAATTGTCTTAGACTTTTTTTGAAGAAATTATAAATAAACTTTTATTTATTAGTTTACAAAAGAGTTTATATTTCATCAAGAAAAATTAATTTAATTGATTAGAATCTTTTCAAATCCTCAAAATTTAAGATATTCATTTTAATAAGATGTTGTTAAAACTAAAATATATATTTATTAAAAATATTTATCTAAATAATAATTACTCACCTTTCCCTTTCCGAATTATTTTTTTAGAATGCTTATATTCTTTTAAAATAATATATAGAATTTTACAAGACATTCATTTAAATTACATTAAGTGTTAAAAATATTTATAACTAATATCAAGAAAAACTAAAATAATAAATATTTACATACTTTACTATTTAATATATTCAAAAACAAGATGTTGTTAAAATAGAATTAAGTAATATGAATATTTATAGCTAATATCAAGTAAGTTAAAATATAATTATTCATCTTTCTAAATTTTTAAAAAATATAAATACAATTTTTCTATTCCTCTAAAAATAATAAATTCTAGATAACAAGATGCTGTAAGGATCACATTAAATATTACTAGTATTTATAACTAATATCAAGCATGTTAAAATAGTAATTTCTAGCCTTTATATTTTAAATAGAGTTTTTTAATTCCTCTAAAGTAATATGCCATGATAGCAAGATGCTATTATTATTACTTTAAATATAATAAATATTTTTAACTAATAGCTATCTTTTTAAAATAATAATAATTACTCTTCTTTGCAATTTTTTTTAAATAGAATTTTTCAATTTCACTGATAGTAATATATTCATTATAACAAGATGCATTTAAAATTATATTAAAAATACTTATGAATATTTATAAGTATTATATAGATAGTTAAAATAATAATTACTCACCTATTCAAGTTTTTTTTAAATTTATTTACTCATATTTTATTTTATTGTTTTCTTTTTACTTTGATTTTATTTGTATCAAATGCAAGAAATGAGATCAAAAATATTTTTGGATAATCAAATAAATCTGATTCATGGAAATTTTTAATTTTTTAGGTTGCTTTAATATTATTCTTATTAAATTGAATTCAATTAAATAAATGGATAAAATAATTTTTTCTATTAATAAATTAAATACAACTACTTAAATTAATTTATGATTGACAATAGAATTTTTTAATTTTAAAGATGAAAATGTATTTAAATTAAAGTGAAATGTTTGCTTGCTTTTTATCTTTTATGTATGTGAATTTATATTTATTAAATGTAATTTAATTCATTCATTTTATGTTTTTTGAAAAAATTATAAAATGTGTTCTTTATTTTCAGCCAAGAATTAGAAAAAAATTAATAAAAAAATTGATTGATTTATGTAAATTTTTTTGACTATTGCATTTCTTTTAATTGATTTTCAAGCATTAATTAATATTTCTTTTAAAAAAAATTTAGATAGGATAAATAGAGATTACTCATAGTAGTTTTCAGAACTAAATAACTCTTAGGATATTTTTTCATTAATAATTTGTACTCGAGTGAATGGACAATGTAGTAAAAAGCAAAGAAAAACAAAAAACGGTTAGGTTAGTTGGTGATACTGTAGATAATATCAGAGAAAAGACATTTTAATTATGTGTAAAACTTCGATTAGATAATACAATTGTAGGTAGGATCGGCTCTCATTTAAATATTTTTAGTTAACCATTTATTGACTCAGTAACAAATCGGATTGATTAAACAATATAATAAAAGGTAGAAAGATACATACATTTTAGAAAAACCTATACAAATGCTTAGTTTCGCTAAAATTTGATTGCAAAAATTATTGATTTCTTCATCAGAAGTATGTAAGAAATAGATCCTACTTTGATTGAAGAATCTGCAGTTTTTTAAAAGATTTAGGAACACGAAGTTTTATACGAATAATCTATCCCACATAAAACTAATGAAGAGTTGGCTATTATACCCCTGCATTCCCTTTTTTAGAAGTAGCTTTCTCTCCAAGACAGAATTAAACTATTAATGCTTTTAGTTAATGAATAGGCAAGATACTAAATAGAAAAATTGATAATAAACCACCCAGTAATATAATTTGTAGATAGAAAGTACTAAGTACTACATAAATTAAAGGAAATAAGAACATTTTACTTAGTTTTGAATGATGTATTAAATGAGTTAGTTGTAGAACCTATAATAAAAACGTTGGATTATTAAAGAGCTGCAATTGTATATTATGCGTAGCCTGTAATAGATAGGGTCAAAAAATCCTTTACTTATTTTAAATTGTAGATTAAGCTATGTAAGAGTCAAATTATTGTTAAGGCTATACAGGCAAAAGAGTTTATTGTGCTTTCCTTTAAGTTCAAGCTTAATGATGTCTTTAACCACTTTAAAAAAGTTTTAAAATCTTTTATTCAGTAAACATTTAATGTGCCAACTTACATTTATAAGTCCTACATTTATTGTGGGGTTCAACTAAAAGCATTTGCTGAAAAATATATCCTTCTCTTTGATTTTATTGTAAAAGAATTTGAAAAGTTCACAGATAAATGCAAGGAAAAAGCTGTATAAATAGCCTAAGACATATACTCAGAAGCTCTAAAGGCTTATAAATATAGGAAAAAAATATATTAAATAAAATACAACATAAAAGATGATTGAATAAAAATAAATAATATTTATATAATAAAAATATATTCATAATGTCTAATAATTTATTTAATTTTAAATTCACAATAAAGAGTGCTAATCTTAAAACATTATTTTTAAGTTCCTTATTTAAATTGAAAATATTAAAAATAAATCCTCAATTAAATATTTTATTTTTATAAATTTAAAAATTAGATAAAAAATTATTATTATATTACTATGAAGAAGCAGAACAGCATTTGAAAATTACTCTGTTCTATAGATAATAATATAAATTGTATGAAAATTATTTAAATAAATAATTACTTATTTTCTCATTTGCTAATTAACTCATTTAATCTTTATATTAAAATAAATTGCTCAACTTATCATCTTCTTTCTTACAATTATTTATGTAATATTTTAAAATAAAAGAATAAATTTAAATCTTTAATAAACTAATCTTAACTCTTTAGACTTGTTTACGTAGAATTATTTTATAATTTTTTTATCATTTAAATATATGTCATTCAACTCAAAAATTAAAAAAAAAAAAAATTTATGCACGTGTTAATAATAGGAGTAATTCAAATATGTAGATTCGCTTTTAAATAGATAGATGTCAATAATATATAGAAAAATTAAATAAAAATACACAAATTAATTTAAATTTTATTATGTTTATGTGATTTTATTTAATTATTTTTCTTATTTTGTTAAGTTTTTATTTGTATTTTTATTTAATTTTGTCTTTTTTCATTTTAATCTTATTTTATGTATTTATTTATTCATTCTTTTTTTTAAATGTCAATTGTTTATTTTCAGATTATAGTCTTCAATCATTTTTTCCTTTTTATAAATTTAATATTAAAATGCGAGAATCGATCTATTAGTCAATGCTAAAATTGTTTGTTTTTAAGGGAAAAAGTATTTTTAGAGTTTAACTTAAATTGATTTAGTATTTTTTTGAAATGCCTATGAAACTCAAGGTTTCTGAAATGCATCGATTGATTGTCTAAAATGATTATTTAATTATCTAAAAACTTATTGTTATCGATAAAAATATATTTCCGCTAAATCATTTCCAGTTTATTTATTTTAGTGACGTATGGAATGATTAAGCAATTGAAAATATTTGTTGATTTAAAAACTTTAATAATCATTTTAGATTAACCAAAGGGCATTTATTTGTTTACTTTTCCTTTTTTTATTGATAAGGATAATAATAAATATAATTTAATTATAAATTTATTAACTTTTTCCTTAACTTCTTTTTTGTCCCTTGTATTAATAAATAAATTTGAAATTTAAATTATGAAAAAATAAAAATCAATTAAATTATAAATTTCTTATAATTAATTTATTTCAAAAAAAATTAAAAGAAGAGGAGAATTATCATGTTTCGTTAAAAAAATAAGTTTTTAATACCAGGCAAAAAAATCTAATCTACAAAATCGACTTCAAGAATTTTATCCAAATAAACGAAAGATGATAGTTGTCCTCAAATTAGGAATATCAAAAAACTCTACTCTCTTTCCTATTTTTAAATTGTTATTGATATAAGTATAATTTTTATTGTTAATAAGTAGCAAAGATAATATTAGAAAAACAGAAGATAAAAAAGATTTACAGATTTAAAACCTCTTAACGCATAGTTCCTTGGCACATTTTTGATTTAAAATATTGATAATATAAAATAAATTTAAATAAAAAACTAATATAAAATAAAAAAAACAAAAACATCTTAAAAATAAATAAATAAAAAGTATCTAAAAAATAAATTAACTAGCTAACAAACTAACTAAAATATATCCAAAAAAATAAAATTGAGATAAAACAGAATGAATATTGACAATATCTAATAAAAAGTATAAACTAAAAATAGGAATTAAGCAATTTATTCAAGAACGAAAAAATAATAAAACATTTAAAAATAAACACTCCTTTTATTTTATTCAAGTTTTGATTTATTTTAAATAGAAAAAATAATATTTTGTTAATTTTTTCCTAATATAGGATTTAATAGTAATTTAGTTTTCAAATAACTATATTTTTTTTTGAAATTGAATTATTTAGAATAGCAATAGATTATTTCTTTTAACAGAAATTATTAACACTTATAATTAGTTGCATTCAATCTTCTACTAAATTATTTAAAATTATCTAAAATATAAAATCTTAATAAAAATAAATACTTACGATATTTAGTTTAATTTATTTTTAATGCACTTATTTGATATAAAAGATTAAGACTATTTTCCTTTGTATATTTACTTTACACGTATTTAATAATTTTTTAAGTCTTTGTTATTAAATATGAAAAATAAACATTGATATTTAAACGATTGATTGGCATTATAAAAGAATTTATTTTATTTCTAAATTTGTTTAATTTTAAAAATCATAGATATATTAATTTATAATATTTTAAATATCATAAATTCATAAATTAATTTTAATGAAAAATTTACTTAAATATATCTTAATAAATATTTAATATTTAAAAAAATATTACTATTTCTTTTAAAAATTGTTTTGATTATTTAAAAGTAATTCTTTTTACATTAAAATCTGAAAAAATATGAATACTTTGTATTTTTGTATTGCTAAAATCACTAGCTTGTGCTTTGAAATCAACAATTATTTATGGATGAAATCTTTTATTTTTTTTACTTATCAAATTAATTGTTTATCTTTTTAATAGACTCAATAAGTTAATTTTGAAGTAATTTTAATTAAATTGATACATATTTTGATAAAATAAATGAAGAAAATAATAGATTGAAATATTTTTATTTTTCATTTAATAAAATTCTAAGATTCTTTTTGATATTAAAAAGATTTAATTTTAATGGAAACTTAATATTATTATTTATAATATCAAACGACAATATAATATAAGTATCTTATGAGTGATTTATTAGAATATGTAAAGAATTTCATTAAGATATTAACAAAAAACTGAGAAAAAAAAAATTTATTAATGCAAATTAATTAAGATATTTTAAAAGGTTAAAATCAAATGAAAAAATAAATGGATCAAATCTAGAATTACATTAAAGATAAAGGATACCAACTGGTTGATAGCATTTAAAAGAACAAAGATAAGCTTACATGTACCTTTTTAAAATAGAGAAAGCAATTTAGATTAAAAGGAGTCTTTATCCAGTAGTAAAAGTATAGAGAATAATTTTTAAAAATATTGAAAACAATTTAAAAAAATCCTCATTAAAATGTTGCTTAAATTTATGAAGTAACCTAAAAAGATGACATAATAATTTACTCTCATGAATAGTACCGATATACACTTTAAAATTTAGAGGAATTTAAAAATGAACCAAATTTTAATATGAAATAAATTGCTATTGATATTCTGAATGGAATCATTTTTCTACATAGTCTAGGAATTAGCCATTTAAACTTGAAGCCCTCAAATATTCTTATCGATTATAAAGGTAATAAATTTTAAGCTAAAATAGCTGACTTATACTATGAGGCTAAATAAGAGTGTGATGAAGATTAAATTTATTAAGGACCAGAGCAGCTAAAAAACATGAATACAAGAAATGTTTCTTTTTAATCAGATTATTATAGCGTTGGAGCCCTTTTATGTGAAATATTAGGATTTGATTATAAAAAGAATAGAGAAAATATTTAGTAAGGGTATATTCCAATAATAGAGGACACAACAGATGACTCTTTACAGTTAAGTTTTTCATTAGATATGATGCAATATAGTTAAACTAGACGCTTCACTCCTGCTCAAACCCTAGAAACATTTTAAAATGACAATTAACCTAAATAATAAAATGAAAACTGTAAGTTAATTTTAGCGATCTCCTTGCTGATTCTGCCAATTTTAATAGTAATTAAAAGCTATGTTTATCAATTTGACTAACAATAATATAATATTAATATAGGTAGTGTTATTCTCAAATATAATAATCAACTCAATTAAACTGTAACTGAGATAACAAAAGTTGAGAATTCTTAATTTTAGTTTTATATTCAGGAATAAATATGTAAAGGAAATAATGAAGGTTTGAAATAAGATTTTCAATAAATTAATTCTCAAAACGAAATATAAAATGTATAAAATGAACAAATAGAAAACTAAATAAAAAATAATTAACTAGAAAATGAACCTATTTTATAATTAAATACTACATAAAATGAACAAATAGAAAACTAAATAAAAAATAATTAACTAGAAAATGAACCTATTTTATAATTAAATACTACATAAAATGAACAAATAGAAAACTAAATAAAAAATAATTAACTAGAAAATGAACCTATTTTATAATTAAATACTACATAAAATGAACAAGTTTAATAAGATTTAAAGTAAATAAATAATAATTAACAAGAGGAAATAATTCAAAAAATTAATAATACTTAAGACAGTTTATTAAATTCATAAAACGAATAAAATAATTATCAAGTTTAAGATTCAAATTAAAAAAATTAAATAAATAATTAAGAATTAGATAAAGAACTTATTTAATATTTAGAAAGAGATTTTTCTTTTATCAATTTAACATGTAATAAAAAAATCCTTTCATCCAGTAAAATGATAGGATGCGCAAGATATAATATAATTAGGTAATTTGATAATTAATTTAATAAAATGGACTCTTATTGTATACAATTAAAGATTCTTATTTTTAACAATTTAGTTTACCATCCTATCGAATAAAAGCTTCATATTTTATAATAATATTTAAATTAAGTAAACTAAATTTTCAATCAGTAACATTAAGAAATATAGTAATCAAAATAAGATGTAATTGATAAAATAATTAATTAAATATATTCAATAAATAAATCAGTGCCAAATTATTATTTAATTTCATATTGTTTTAGCGAACTTAATCAAAAATTAGAAAAGCAAGATCCAATATAATGCATTGCCTTTAATTTGTAAAAAATAAACAATAATTATTTTAATCAAAATCCAGATAGATATTTACAATTCGAAGGCTTTTGGTAACTAAATAAAATATGTATCGATAAATATAATAAATGCTTAATTTAAAATGGTATTTAAAAAGGAGGTAATCCAAATATTATAGAAATTGCATAAGCAAAAGACACTTGTGAATAATACTTCTAATAATTTTAAATGTGTCTTGAATACTTTTGGTTTTTCATTAAATAGGATTTGGAAGAATGTTATCCTAATTTACATTAAAAAATTTAATAAGAATCAAATGTAAATCAATAAATTTGGGGATTTTTGGAAGAAATAAATAATGAAAAAAATGGCAAAAATTAAGAAAACATTTAGAAATGTTAGATAAAAGAAAAAATTGATAATGACATTGAGATTTATTATGAATTCTTTCATTAATAGTTAACAGATATATTTAATAAATTTTAAGATTTAAATAAATATAGAGTTGTTAATTAAATTCTTCTAGAATATAGTAAGGCACAATAAGATTAAAATATATTTATTAAAGGCTTTTATGATATCAATTTAAAAAATGTTTAAAATGAGCTTAAATAATTTGGAAATAATATACTTTAGAATCATAATCCTAAACATGATACTATTAAAACACCTGTAATTTCAGATTAAAGTAATAGTAAAGATAAAAAGCAAAATCAAAAAGGAGCATTTGAAAAATATTAATAAAAAAAATAAAAAAAATAAAAACCATAAAAAAAATAAAAATGATAATGAAGTTGATAAAATTGTTGAAATATTAAACTAAAATTTTATTAAAATATAAATTGCTAATTGAAAGTTAATTATTTCTACTTGAATTTTATAATGTTGATTTTATATATATTTGGTATCAATTTAAATAATTAGTCTCTTGAATAAAAATAAATATTTTATGTAATAATCTTAAAAATAGGAAATATAGAATCTATTATTTATCTAATTTACTATGTTCTATAATTGGTTTTTATAAAATTGATTTAATACTTTTTGAAAGTATTATCTTATTTTAGTAGCACTATTTAATGAATAATTGTAAAAGTTGATGCTACTTTAAATGATACATCAATATAGTGTGTCATATCTGATAAGATTAGTGGGGGGATTGATACAGTATTTGGAAATTATTTCAGTTCAAAAACTGTATCATATCTTTATTACTTGATAATAAAAACAATAAATAAATAAATAAATAAATTACTTAACAAAACAAATATAGCTTAAAAACTGAAGAAATGTTGTCTCGTAAGATTGGTATTGATCACATCTTGAAACATATTGAAAACAAGAGAGTTTTAATGAGAGTAGACTTCAACGTTCCTTTGAAGGAAGGTAAGGTTAAAGATCCTACTCGTATCTAAGGTTCTGTTCCTTCTATCAAGAAAATCTTAGAGTAAAATCCTAAAGGTCTTGTCTTGATGAGTCACTTGGGTCGTCCTGATGGCAACAGAGTTGAAAAGCACTCAATGAAGCCTGTTGTTCCTAAGCTTGAAGAATTACTCGGCACCAAGGTATTTTATTTGGCATACTACATTCTGATTTTTTTATCGTTATTTTTTCAAAAACTTATAGGTAACCTTCTTGAATGACTGTGTTGGTAAGGATGTAGAAGAAGCTGTTAAATCAAGCAGAAACGGTGAAATCATTTTACTTGAAAACTTGCGTTTCCATCCTGAAGAAGAAGGAAAGTACATCGATGCTGCAGGAAACAAGGTATTTTTTAATAACTTTATTTAGTTGACTAAGATCAAACCAAGTTTCTTTTCACTTATGGGCCATATTTTATTAAGCCTATGAAAATCAATAGTTTGATTGAGAGTTTTGAATTTTTAAAAATTATGGTCCTAAACAACACCATTCTTTAACGGAGCTGAGTTATTTTAAAAGTTTAGCCACCAAGCATTAAGTTGGTGTGCTTTTCAAAAAATTTCTATAATATACCAAGAAGTATTCTTCAAATTCAATTACTATTTTTTTTGCCATTTTTAAAGGTTAGTTTTTGATTTTTTAAAAAAAAAAGATCATAAATTAATCAATAAATAAATAACAAGAAGGTAGAAATAAAATAAATTAAGTACAACCTAAAATATGTAAATGAGCATATTTAAAATAGAATAAATTATCAGCAGAGTTAAAAAAAATATAAAAAATTTCCATCACTAAGCAACCATAAGAAACATATTAAACCAAAATAAGTATGAACAAAAAGCTATTATCATAGTTGTCTCTTAAAAAAATGAAAAGCAAAATAAGTTCATAAAGCAATAATTAATTTTAATTGAAAATGAAATACATTCAAAAGTTTGAAAAATGTTTGATTATTTTTTAAAGTATAAAGACAGTCATAAATTATAATCTAAACACTTTTGTTTTGTTTAATATAGGTTAAGGCTGACTCTAAGGCAGTTAAGGAATTCAGAAAATCTTTGACTAGTTTGGGTGACTTATTCGTCAACGATGCTTTCGGTACCGCTCACAGAGCTCACTCTTCCATGGTCGGTGTTGATCACAAAATCAGAGCTGCTGGTTACCTCTTGAAGAGAGAATTAGACTACTTCAGTAAGGCTTTGGAATCCCCTAACAGACCTTTCTTAGTTGTCTTAGGTGGTGCTAAGGTCAAGGATAAAATCTAATTGATTGAAAGTATGCTTGACAAGGTCGATGAAATGATCATTGGTGGTGGTATGGCCTTCACTTTCTTGAAGAAAATCCACAATATTGAAATTGGTAACTCCCTCTTCGACGAAGAAGGTTATAAGATTGTTGACCAATTGTTAGAAAAGGCTAAAGCTAAGAATGTCAAGATCCATTTACCAGTTGATTTCTTGTGCGGTGACTCACTTGAAGCCAACGCTAACACCCGTAGCTTTGACTTAAAGAGTGGTATCCCTGCTGGATGGATTGGTTTAGATGCTGGTCCTAAGACTATGGCTGAAAACGCTGAAGCTGTTGCCCGTGCTAACACTATTGTCTGGAATGGTCCTTAAGGTAGATTCGAAGTTGATAAGTTTAAAGTAGGATCTTCTGACCTTCTCAAGCACGTTGCTACTAGAACTTCCTAAGGAGCTACTTCTATTATTGGTGGTGGTGACACTGTCAATCTTGTTCAACAAGAAAAGGCAACTCAAAAAGTCAGCCACGTCTCTACTGGTGGTGGTGCATCTCTTGAACTTCTTGAAGGTAAAGTCCTTCCTGGTGTTGCTTATCTTACTGATATTGACTAACTTTGAAAAGCAAGCAAGCATAATAAAATAAAAATAAAGCAGACTAACAAATTAAATATCTTATTTTTAATCCTTTTTATTACTTAATATATATACATCATATTTATGTTAGTATGTCTTTTAAGCTTTTTATTAAAATCAAAATATAAGAATTTTTTTATAGCCTTGATAAAACAGCAAAAGATTATTTCATAATAGTTGATGAGAGCAACATTTAGAGAATATGTAAAAACAAACAAGTGTGTTTTGGCAACTTCTTTTTGCAGTTAATTTTAATTTAACAAATATCATTTAAAAAAATAAATTATTTTGTTTTTATGAAGTGCTAAAATTTTAAATTAAAAAATACAAGGAAATCTTTTATTTTAAAAATTAATTTTTCTTGACAGATAAAAAGTTTTAACCCTTTAAAATTTCTAAAAAAAGAAGTTATCTTAAATAAAAAAAAATGAAGCTTATTTTTAATAAAGTGATATATAAATTATTTTATTTATCATTTTTTTTTTCAATTCGGTTTTTATGGAAAAAACATCATCAAGTTGATTGAAATCTAAATTATTTAATAGTTAGAAAAATAATTATAAATTTGAAAATTAATATATATTTTATAAATAAAAAGAACATTTATTCTAAATATCTAAATTAATTCTTTTTTAAATATTGAATTGAAATAAATTATGAAAGCTAATATATATATTTATGTATATTTGCTTGTTTGTTTTTTGTTCATCCATTATTTTTTTCTATCAGAAATTTTAAATATTATGAGAAATGCTATGGTTATTTAGAATTGGTAATATTTCAGACATATCTGGTCTTTATTGCAGAGGTGTTTTACACCATCTGTTACCTTCTTCTTAAGTTCTCGGAGGCTTTTTCCCTCCAGTTATTGACCTTTACTTATTATTTTTGGGAGTAATTTTTATTTTCCAATTATAAGCTGTTTCTATTTATGCCATCCTATTGATACTATTGGGAGACTTCGATTCACAGTTAGGATTTGTTGCTGTTCTATTATTAATACTGGAAGTGTTTTAATTGTTCACATTTGCATAGTAACCACTGCTGGAGGAACTACTACTGCAAACACCACTATTAATGTGAGAACTATTAATTGATTTATTTAGTGGAATTTATTGTTATTATTACATATATTAATAATGATTTTAGATGAGTTACTGGTTTTATATTTCTTCTTACTTAGCTTCCTTTAAGACAAAAGCAGTTTTAGGCACATTAGATGATGAAACGATTGATGTAGTTGTTTGAGCATTAGTCAAAGAATAAGCAAAATTATTTGAAAGATGGATAGTTTATGACTACTTAGGATATTTTTTTTTATATTAATATAAGTTAGGTGATTTTTGAGGGCAATCATTTTCTGTTAAGCTTGTGATTTAGTTAGAAGATTATGGATTTTATGTTTATAAATATATGCTTTAATTACTTTGGATATTTGCTTACTATTACAGATTGTACTCAACATTTGAGTGGCATTATTTATAATTATGCTAAGAGACAGTTGATATAGATTATTATTGCAACTATTGGTGATACTATTGAGATAATTAATTATGTGATTGCTATTGTTGTTAACCGATATAGCTATTACTTAAGCCAATAGAGACTTTTGTACTATTTTCCCTTAAATATTATTTTGATGATTAATTTGACTATTCCCTCCTGACAAATCTTGTTTTTTATTCTTTATTACAATCAGAGTTACAGTTAATTTGATTTTTATTTCTGGCCTAACAATAATTAGTGCTCATCATATTCTAGCTACCTTCTTATTAATTTGTAATATCATCCAAAGGATTATTATTTCCATTTTGGTTGTTATTATTGTTTGTCAAAGGAAAAGGAGAAACATTGACTATTCCATTAGTAATGCAATTATCTTGTATTTACATCAAATTTGAGTTTTACAGTTGGTTTTCTATTCAATAATATAATTCATTTTAAATTTCTTAATTTACAACATATAAATTTTAAATTATTGTTTGATAAAAAACTATTTGCATTTGAGCTGGAAAGATTAAAAAATCTTACCTCTTAAATAAAAATTTATTTTTAAATTTCTTCTTCAAATTTTATAAACATTTTAATTCACAATTGCCGAATTAATTTTATACTTAAATTTAACTCAATTATGATAAAATTTTTTTTTATAGGAAATATTAATAGACTATTGAAGATATTTTATTAAATTCTCATATAAAATTTTAAATTATGAGATGAATGCAAATAAATAAATAATTTTTTAGAGCATTTTTATGGTTTAAATTTGCTTTTTTTAAATATAAGCTTTTTGTAAATGTTTACATCTGCTTTCGTTTCTAGAGTGAGGTGTGATTATTGATCGACTTTTATTTATTTAAGAGGAAGGTGTTGCCTAGAGATGGGTTCGGGTAGGTTCAGCATGGGTAAAATTAGGATTAATTATATTTTACAAATTTAAATTTTCTATTTCCAGCTACTTAATTCGTTGATTAAGCTTCCTTTTATCTTTCCTTAACTAAAGTATTTCTGAGGCTATTTCTCTTTTGTTGAGAGAAAGGATGTCATCTTAATTATTGTTTTTTCTACATTCATTAGTTGACTCACTTGAGACTTCACTGCTTGTAGCATGGAATGTCTCCATAATTTCTAACTTTTCCCTCAAATCTTAGTTTTCCATTTGGAGCTATTTATAACATTTAAAAAAAGGGTAAATAAAAATCAAGAATAGTAAAGTGTAAATTATAATTAATTAATTATAATATTATGTTAAATTTGAGTTAAACACTTAAATAAATGAGTGATTATGATTTGCTTAAAATCATAATAAAGATTAAATACCCGATGCTTATATAAAAGTAGAGTGTAAATATAATTTGATTGTAAATAAAATTTTATTAAAACTGACTCAGTTACAGTTGTAAAAGTAATAAAAAAAAATAAAATTAAAAATAAACTTCTATTGTTTAAATAAATAGCCCTTATTTTAGTAACTAAATTTACTTATCAGTATAATAATTTATTATATGGGTTTTTAAATTTTTTTTTAATATTATTTTAAATGAGTGAGTAAAAAATTATCAATAGATTATTCTAATTTTTTATTTTTTTTTTATTTTTATTAGATATTTTTTTACTGGATAAAATAAATAATCAAAATTAGTTTTAATTTTTTTAGTTATTTCTTATTATTTTTATATTATCTTAATCGATTTTTAGTTTAAATTTACCAAAAAAATCATTTTATTTTAGTAAGCTTTTGTTTTTTGTTGTGTTTATTTGTTTTTAAAACAAATCATGCATGGCTATAAAAATTTTTATGAAAGCTAGAAATATCTAAATTTTACTGTATAAAAATAAAGACCAACTTTCAAATAAAAAAATAAATATTGAAATGAATAAGAAAAAGTACTAAAAATAAAATAATTTGTTACTATATTTAGCTCTGCATTAAAGTTTTCCTTCTCTTAGTTCATGCTGTCTATAATCTCTCTCATCTCAGTATTTGATTAAAGTAACTCTCTTATCATATTGACAGAATCTATTAGTCTCTTTATAGCAAAATCCTATTGATCAAATGGTTATAGTTAGATTAAAAATGACTGAATTAGTTATAGTAAATTTTTAGATAAAAATTTATTTGATAAGATTAAATTTAAGTCTTCTTGATTAAATAATTAATTAATAATTTAATTTTATTTTGTTCTATTTTTTGCGAATCATTTATAGATTAATCTTTCTTTACTCATGGATTTTGTTTCATTAAGTTCAACTATGCAAGTTTTTATGCTAATGAATATCATAATTACTTAGAAACTAATTTTAATATCTTAGTTAATTTTCATTTTGCTTCTTTTTTAAGAATTATGCATACTTATTCTAAGTTTTTAAGTAATTTTAAAATAGAATAATATATAATTTAGCTTAATGAGTTAACTTAATTTGACGATTTATTTCATTTATACTTTTAATCTACTAAATTTATTTGCTCTCTTTTTTACTAAAATAAAAATAGTATACTTAGGTCTTAGTAATATAAATAATTACGAAACTTTTAAAGTTATGCTGTAATAACTTTATGTTAATATTACATCATTTTTTTTTTTTAATAAACAAAATTTATGGATGATTTCTATGAAAATTTAGTTATGATTATATCAATCAGAATTGTTTAAATAGTAAAGCTATAATTAGAACGAATAATAAAAATTTTTTAATTTACAATGTTTGGGCTAAATCAATGATAGATTTTAAATTTCATATTCAATCAATTACTTAATGGAATTAAATTAGTATTTATTTCTTCATATTATTTAAGGCAAAAAAAAAATTATTGTTAAGTAATATTAAAAAATACCATGTTTCCTTTTTTTTTGAAATTAGAAGAAATTTTCTTTTTTCCCTATTAATTTATTGATTAGAATCTTAAAATAATTAGCTAACTATCTAAATAACTAATTTTTCTAGCTGATATTGTTTATCTACATTTATATGGATAGTAAAATAAAAATAGCCAGACTTTGTATGATTGAAATAATGCTATTATTAATTTGAATTTTAATACCTGCCCCAAAGTAGTGAATCCAAAACCATTGGCAACTCCAGATAGTTATGAAATATTTGCTTAATGAATTTATAACTATTAATTGTTTAAATTCTCTCCGAATTACTATTGCTATTAGATCTAATAATTGGTTTGCTTTGATTATTGTGAATTGTTTTCCGAGTCTAGTTTCGCTTATTAGTAGGAATCACTTGATTTTTTATCACTTTCTGCAAAACCTTTAATTGTTTGTAGATTAGATCCTGGTGATACCTACCCCATACTATTTCAAATATCAAAACAAAAATTTTAAAAATATTCAAACTAATTTTAAAAATTAGTTACAAAGATTTATTTAATACTGGCTAGAATCTAGTAGGACTATTAGTGTTAAGAGGTTACAAGATATTTTCTCTATTTTAACCACCTGCATTACCAAAACTTATTTATTGAGATTTTATGAGTATTTCTCTTTCATTTATCTTTTCTCCATACTGAGTATTCTGAATGTTGTGAGAGCGTCTTAACTCGGATGGAGTTTAAAATCCTGGATTTATGTTCTCGTTTTGATTTACATAATTAAAATCAAGCGTTTTTGTAGGAGATGGAATCTTGTTTTATTTATTTCCTTAAGGAGAAAATGTTTTACCATTCATATAGTCTTATCCAAAAACCTTCATAGTTTAGTTAGTTAAAGAGCTTAAAAATGCAATGTGCTCATTAGCTTTATGCAATTCCTTAATAAGCTCACTATTTTTGCTCTATTAATAATGATAAGAATTATTTGTCATTAAATTTTAAATTATTTTACCTTTAAGATATTAATCTGCTTTATCCTTGGATCTTCGTTTCTAACTGGTTGATTTGTAATAAAACCTGCCTAAGTTGCATAATTTAAAGTAGAAATATTCTCATCAAAGTATTCATCACAAGGTGATAGGCATGCAATCTATTATTATACATGCAAATAATTATTCATTAAATAATTGAATGGAGTAAATTAAAGTCAGATTTTAATAATAAATGCAACAAAATTTTATCAAAAATATTTTTTGATCTCTTTTTACTTTTAAAATGTTTTTGAAAAAAAGTTATGATTTTTTGTAAAATATTTTATTTATTTTTTTGCAGTGATAGGAGTATTCATAATAATAAAGAATATTTTATTGCAGTTAATTATTTTAAATATAAAAATTTTTATTAATTTAAACAAATTAAGAATATTTACTTTTAAAAAAATTTAAATTAAATAAATGCTGAAAATAATATGAAAGAGTTTTTTAGAGCATAAAAATAAACATGCTTACCATTAAACAGTAACTGTTGCCACCAATACTTTGTTTAAGTAAACAAGTAAGTTTACTGTCTCGATATGGTACAAACGGCATTTCCTTTTTCTAACTTTGATCTTGAAAATACTCAGCCAAAGCGCTAATTACTTATCTAAGGGTAAATAAACTCTTATTAATTTCTATAGCTTCTTTCAAATTTTAACCTTCCACTCCAGACTGGGAAGCTCTCTCACTTCCTGCTAAATCAACTAATTACATTTTACTAGATATGATATTATCTGGATCTTCTGCAGTCATTGAGTCTACTCTTAAAGTTAAAATACCTTTAAAGTTTTAATTATATAAATTCTTTTATTTGAATTATAAAAATTTTTTACAGTGAGAACGAGAAGACTGTGTATTAAGTCTATGTGTTGCCATAAATTTATTTTTAATTCCTTTATAAAACAATTCGAGAGCTTCGTTTGCATTTTAGCATTCAAAAACAAATAAATTTTCAACAGAAAATTGATCTTTCTTGCTCCATCTAATACGAAGACCTTTAGAACTCTCTGGGTTAAGTAGATCGTATATTTTTTCATTGTATATCTATAAGTACGACAAATAAACTTTATAAATCCTATTTTTTACTCTTGAGTATTTTTTAATAGTTTCAAAAGTTGAAATAATTGTTCTTGGAATAATTCCCATATTTTCGTTACGAATAGCCTTTTTATGGTTAAAGTAAATTTATAAAGAAATACTTTTTGGTAAATGTAAATAAGTAAATATCAATATATCTGTTGAAAATAATTGTTTGTTTATTTGAGTGGTTTAAGATTAATCCTTTATCTAAATTTTTATATTGTCTAAATCTTTTTAATTAAAATCAGTTTAACTGATTTTTTAATTATCTTCAAAATAAGTAAGTTGATTTCTAATTACATACGCATTTAGTAGAATTTGTTCAAAAACATAATTGGCTCATTTTATTTTACAACATATGTCATAATTAAATAAATATTCTTACCTCAGGTTCTATTTAAGGCTTCAATCCTTTTCCGTTGTTTTCATAAGTAATTCCTTCCATTGTAAATGTTTTCCCACTACCAGTTTAGCCATATGCAAATACAGTAGAGTGAAATCCCTATATTAAAATATAATAACAAGTGATTAATTATGATATATGAAAGTAGCTGAATTGATATTATATTTAATTTAAACTTACTTCAATTACTCTATTCACCATATCAGATAATTTGGTGTCATCAAAACATTGTTTTTAATTTTAATTCTATGTAATGATTTTGGTAAATTAGTAACATCGCTCTATTTAATTTTCCTCTCCATTAATACTTTTAAATTAAATTATTATCAAGTATTCTCATAAAATGTTATTTAATAATGTGCAATCTTACATTATCTCCTATGTTTCTTCTGAGATAGATAGCTTTTCTGTAGAGAATCCTTTCTTTTTTTCAAACTCTAATTATGGTCTAATTCTGACCATAACTCCTATTCTTGTAGTCATTTTATCAACTTTTACAGGGTTCTATCAAAGAAAAAACCAAACAAATATACGAGAAATGATACTGCTTTTTATTTTTTGTTTGTTAATGAATGAGCTGTTTATATAATTCTATAAATTTCGCAACCAATTTATATTTTTACGTCTTTGTAAAATTAAATTTGTCAAAATATTTAATTCTTTATTAAGATAAAGGAATTGAATTTTTATAGTTTCTTGTTGAAATTATTAACAAAATATGATTTGTTAACTAACTAATAAATTGTTTGCTAATTTGCTAGTTAATAAAGATTATTTATTTTAGTATTTGCTATATTTCTAAAGTAAATGATTACCACTAAATTAATATTATAAGTTTGAATAAATGCAAATTAATCATTTTAAATTTCTTAATATCACTTAATTAAACTTAAAAGCATTGAAAAAAAAATAAAGTTTTCAATTAAGAAATAAATTAGAATTTAATTTTTCTTAGTTTATTAAAAAAAAATATAAAAATTTCTTTTAATAATTTAATTAATATTTTAATTTTAATTTCATAAAAAATATTTTTTAGTTTAAAATTAATTAATTAATTAAATTAATTGATATTATTTTTAATTAGATATAAAAATTTTAACTTCAAAAAAGAAATTAATTAATTAAAAGTTGAATGTTTCCTTTATTATTAAAAAGTGAATTTAAAATTTGTTATGTCTGTCATTTATATTGAATATTAGTGTAAATAAATGCTTTTTAATTTATTTTGATGAACAAATCAAAGGATTAAATTGAGAAGGAATAGTTTTCAAATTTAAAAGGGATAAAACCTATTACTTATTCCTATCTATATACATTAAATGGGTTTAGTTGTTTAAAAGTATTATATAAAAGAAGTTAAAAATAAATTTTAAATTTAGGCAAAAATAAATATTTAAATTTCTAAAATCTAATGTTATGAAGAGTTATAAGTAGTTTATGAATAACTATTTTAAATTATTAGCTAAGTGAATTATTAAATAATATTTCTCTTCCTTCTACTGTTAAGCAGATAGCTTATGATGTAGTGGTAATGAAGATTTAAAGATCTAACTTTCAGATAATAAAAATCTTAAATTATTAAGATGAGATTAACATTTATTAAATTGATAATCTATTATATTAAAAGTAAGAAATTCTATGTTTTTATATTTTAAAAGTAACTACTTGGTTATTTATAAATTTGCATAATAGACATTTTAGGATAGACATAAAGGTTTTTACAATAAAAGAATTATTAAATAATCATTCAATTTTAAACAAAATTTTGAAATTAAAATATGAAAAAGACAGACATATATTTAGTTTAAAAATAGAAAGATTAAATAAAACAAAACAATATATAGCATCATTATTTATAGTTACTAAAAATTTTTTAAAAAATAATACGATATAATTTTAGTTATGAAAAACGTAATCTATTTTTATCTTAAAATCATGTAAATTTAATTTGAAATTAATAAATCAGTAATACAAGCTCGAAAGTTAATTTTTAATAAAAGATAAATTGTTTAATAATATTTATTAAGGAAAAATTGAAATTAACAAATTGATTATTAATTATCTTCTTTTTATGTTGTCAATTTTAATTACATTTTTTAATTAAAAGAATTTGAAAATAAAAGTATTTATTTTTAATAAATTAGTTTATTTTCAAAAACAAACAAGTTAATTAGAATAATATTTATTTTATGAGACTTATTTTTAGAAAAATGCTGTAAAGTTTTTTATTTTCCAAACTTCCATTTACAAACATATCAAAAATTAATAAATGATTGAAAAACAGCCATGATACTTTGTCAGAAATCAGAGCAAATTTTAAGATTTATCAAATTAATTATCATAAAAATTTTTGAAAACAAAGATTTCAGAATTTGATTTAAAAAGTGTAAATATTTTTTTAATAAAAATGGTAATTTAGTAAAAATACAAGTGTTTTTAAACAATATTCTATTTCTATTTTGTCAAAAGCCTTTCAATTGCTAATATCAGCGTAATTACATAACCTCTATAATCATTAACTATACTATTTAAACTCTTCCTCAAAATTTCTTTAACATAGATAGGAAAAAAATCTGATAAAATATTAAGAAGTTATATAGAATAGAGACCACTAATAAAAAGAAGATACTTAAATTAATAGCCAATTTTTGATTTTTATAATGTTAATTTAAATAATAATTATTAATAGCTATTTATAAATAATTAAAACTATAAATAAAATGAGAAAATTCAACTATTAATTTAACGAGGAAGACGAGAGCATTTATGATTAAGACTATAACTCTTAATATGAGATCATCTAAGATTAAGAAACTTAAAATTATTTTGGAGCTAAAAAATATTCTTAAGACTAAACCTATTAAATATTTGACCATACCTAGTAATTCGAAAATTCGTTATTAGAATTTTATAATAAAAAACAATTGATATATGAAGAGAAAAGTTTAGAACAAATTTTATACGAATCTAATTATTTACCTGATTCTAAATTTAAATAGCTAAATAATTACTAGCAAATCAGCAAATCTTAGATTCATAATTATGAGTAAAAATAAAATTATCACTCACATGATTAAACCTAATAATAATAAGACTTAATGGATTCAGATCCTAATCCTAATGAAATAATAATCATTTAATAGAATTATATGATTTAATAACAACAATAATTAACTTAGAGCTAATATGATTAGTTATAAAATCAGGAACAATAGTATGATGAGTATAATCAATTCATAAAAGTTGATACAATATATAATAATCCTAAAAATTAAAACTTGGCACCTTAAAATTTTGATTCAAAGAATGAAGAAGACTTATCTGATTACAATTAATATATTATAAACATATAAGAGAAGAGTGTTAATTAATTAGAGTAATAATCAAAATTTGGAGATTCTAATGAAAATAACTATAATAATATTATTCAAGTATACTAATAAAATGAAGAAGCTTCGTTTTTTATTGATAAAAATATAAAAGAAAAATATTTGTTAAATTAGAATTATTAAAATAATTTAATAAATGATTTCCCTATTATTATTAATACAAGTTAGGAATTTGAAATGGAATTTAATAATCAATAACAACCCGAAAATACAAATGATTGCTTTGATACTCCATAAAAAATTTAAAAAATTAATAATCATTCTCCTCAAGAATAGCAACTAAAATGCTGCTTTATTAATACCTAAGAACAATAATTTTATTGTACGGAATAAAGCATATAAAATATGTTTGAATAAGAATAAATGACTAATTAAAAATAATAACAAAAAACATATATTTTTGACTACTAATCTTTTAAAAATGAAGGCATTCCCTTTGAAAACAAATCAACTGTTTTTAATTAATAATAAAATAATTTAATGTGCTAATAATAATAACTTATTTTGAGTGATCAGGACTAATAAAATACATAAAATTATCATGAAAAAAATTTAAGTGGATCATAAACAAATGGCTATTTTGGGCTTTAAAATACTTTGAATTCTTAAAGCCTAATATCAGATTCATATCGCAATCAAAATAATACATAATTAACTAAGGAAATTTATGAATAATTTTAATCAAGTTATCTTGATATTAAAGATAATGAGCTAATAGGTAAACCTTAAAAAGAATATTTTTAAACTCCAAAATTACTGAAATAGTAAAACACAATCTCATTTTAATCAAAATCTCCTTTAAATCAAAATTCAAATGATTATAATTATCAATAAAATTAAATACATCATTATAATTATAAACCCCTTAGTGGCAGTTCTTTTTGTTAACCTTCAGATACTTTTGAAAATTTCAAAAAATAATAGCAATTATCTTAGTATAATTACAGATTTGGATCTAATAATATTTCAGATAAAAACTAATTTAATCATAATGAATATTTTTAGACAGAACAAACCATGTTAAATAACTAAACTATATCAAAAAATAAAAACAGCGATTATTTAAATTGTTGGAGCTAAAGTTAATCAAACGAAATACATAATTTTTTAAATAAATAAATTATTTTAGATACAAAATATTAACAAACTTAAAATTATAATTAACTTTAATAATAAAATGTGAAATTAGAGACAACATAACTAAGTAAATATATAGTCAGACACAGGCAGGAAAAAAATAAAACTGAAGAAGAAAATTATTAAAAACCTCAGTACATAAATTTTAAGGATGAATATAAGACCTTTTTTCTTTGGTATTTGGGTAGAAAAAGAAAATAGAAAATTATATAAGACTTAGATTTAAAAGGAGTTGAAGAAAAAGATTTCAATCGCATCATGAACTATTTTTCTAAAAATAAGAACAAAAGAGATATAATATTTTTAATTAGAGAGTTCCCTACTCTTACAGAATTATAATACAACAGCTATTTTAATTTAAGCTAAAATCTAATTAATTATAGTGAGCTCTTGAAAGTGAAATCTTACTAGCTTAAAGATTTTGAATTCATAATTGAAATATTAACAAACTAATTTAAATTAGAAAACAACTATTTGAACTTTTAAATTATCACAGGTAGAATTAATAGTTTTAATAAATATAATAGAATATAATTGGATAAAGCCTTCCAAGTTATGGGAGAATTCGATTAAACGATTCTTAAAAAAAAATGGACTAAAATAAATTACTTTTATTTTAAAAATTACATGCTCCAAATGTTACGTAATCCCTCATATATGGATTTTGAGTGAGTTTTTAATAATGTTTATTTATTTTAATGTATTTTTTTGTTTATCCTTAACTAGTTTAGTAAAAAAATATTAACTGTTGATTTCCTTACAGTATTATTAAACTTTATTATAAAATTTCTGGAAAATTATATTTGCTTCATCTATCTATCTATTTATATTATAATAGCTTGAATTTTTGTTTTTTACTGTAATATTTTTAAAAGCAATATTTCTAAATACATCTCATATTTTACTAATTAAATATTAATCGAAATTTAAAATAAATGAATTTTTTATTAATCATCAAAAAATTTTATTCTAATAAACTTCTTCTTATTTATATTTTTCCTCTTTATTTATAATAAATTTATTTTCTTAAATTTTTCAAACATTTTTTCTTTAGAATGAGATAATTTTCTTAATAAATGTAATCTCATAAGAAAACCAGACTTTCTATAAACAATTTTTGTAGACTTTTTAATCAAAAAGTTTGAGCCCCAATAAGTGATTTAAAATCAAGCGAACAATTTTTAATATCTACTTTTTGGTAAAAAAATAATACCAAATCTAATTGTGTCAAAGTTAAAAGAAAAGAAACTTTAAATAGAAAAAATTGATGTTTTTTTCGAAATAATATTATTCCCCTCTATCAATATCAAAAAATTATAAAAATTATATATGTTACTAGCATATTTTTAGCATATTCAGTATATTGTTGACAAAAAATCCAGAAAAAAATAATACCGTTTGTGAGTAAATTTAAATCTATCATTTTTGTATTTACTACAAATCAATTAATTTTGATTGATTGATTGGCAGTAAATTATTTATCAGAAATTAAATAATTAAAAAATAAAATTTTGAGATAAGTAATTTTTTGTGAATAATAGTAATAATGAGTGAATAAAATTATATTGATATAAAAAACCCTCAATCAATTAATGGTTAAGATTAATTTGATATTACATCACCCCCTAAAACTGATCTTTTGAAAGATCAATTAATAATACCTACAAAAAGTTGCAGATAATAAAAATTAGATTCAAAAAAAGAAGAAGTAGAAGAAGAAAATAAGAGTTCATTCATAAATGAAGAAACATACAAATAGAGTTTTGAAGATAATACAAATGAAGAAATAGAGTTATTAGAATTAAAATCAGAAAATGAAAATGAAAAGTTGTTATTTATGTAAAGATAGAAAACCTAAAGCTCTGGAGATGATTTCCCTTTTGCAAATGATAGTTTTTCAAAAGATAAAACCTTTTTTGATAGAAATACTTAATGTGTTGGCTAATTTTCTAACACTTAAGATTTCTAATAAAATGATATTGATTATCAATCTCAATATCCAATTCAACATGATTTAATTCAATATGATTAAAATTATGAAAACTAAAATGAATATGAAAACATCAAGCCTCAAACTGAAGCTCCATAGAGTTTAGAGTATCAATCAGAAGGTACTGATTTATATTATGATAATAATATACATTAAAAAATATATTAAATAAGAATAAATATTAAAAATTACAAAACTCAAATTGAAAAACCAAACAACAAATTTATCTAAGAAAAAAAATTTAAATCTTTTTGAGCAGCAAAAAAAACATTAATGGTTAATCATAATCATAGTGTCAATGTTTAATTTAAATACAAAAATTTAGAGAAAAAGAAAATAGAAAGTTTGAAAAAATAGCCAAGTTCAAAGTAAAAAAAATTAAATTCAATTAGAAAGTTAGCTAAAAAAAATATCATGCTTTAAAGGGGTTTATTAAATTTTATTCATAAAGAAACAAACAATAAATGCTGAGTTTCTTAAATTTATAAAGCAACATAGATGAAAGACATAAAGGAATATTTTTAACTTCTTCATTATAAAAACAATAGTGTTTCAATTATTTAAAAAAAAAAAAACGAAGAAATTGATCTATTAAAAATTTAACTTAATTAATAAAATATTTTAAGTTATTACTGAGCTTATTTAAAAATATATTAAAAATTATTAATTTCAGATTTTTTGAGAGATCTTGATTAAACACATATGATCAAATCTTAAAATAAATATTAAAAATATTGTTTATTTATATATTTTATTTAAAACTAAATCTAATTTATTCATATTTAAGCAAACAAACACCTATCTAAATATAAATGGGATATCTTGGATTTACTTATATAGAAAAATTAGTATTTTTAAATTTTTAAAGGTTTCACTCTAGCAAAAATTAAAAAAATTAAGTGTTTAAATCATCGAATTCATTAAATTAAATAAAGGTTTTAAAATGATCAGTAAAGTTAAAGAGATAAATATTTTAAAGAAAAATGAGATTTTATCATTTATTCTAGTATAAAAGAAAATAAAATAACTCAATTATGATCTCTATTAAAACTTCCCTTAAATCAAATTATTTCACAGTTAAAATCAAAGAACTCAAGTGATTAAGTGATTGATATTAATATTTTTTTAATTATCGTTCAAAAAAATTATAAAATATTATAGGAAATTAATTTAGAGGTTAATGTTTGTTATATTTATTTATTTTATTCTAACTAATATCATCAAATTCATAAAAGTAATTATCCCTCTGTAGAATATAAAATTCTTATTAATCTTTATAAAAGACTATCATTTAATTTTTACTAATTCAATGTTAATATTTTATTCATCATTTTATCTTTAGAGATGGAAAATAAATAAATTAGACGGCATTTATGTTTATTTTAAGAGGTTTTATACTTTTTTGATTTTAAAAGGAACAAGAAATAATTAAATTGCTAATTTCTTTAAATATTAAATACTTGTAATTAATAAAAAAAAACATTCAAAATGATATTTACTGGAGTTAATTAAACCTTTAAAATTTATCTGTTGAAAGATAAAATGATAGTATATTTATTTGATATTCAAATGAACGATAATAGAAAAAGAGTTTTAAAAAAATAGATTGATTAATTTGAAATCAAAACAATTATTAGAAATATTGCATATATATTCAAATTATTTAAGAAAAATTAAAGAAAGGTTATAAACAAACATACAGAAAATATCTATTTCTATCATTATCAAATAAGCAAATAAAACTATATAAATAGCCACTAACATTTTTATTAGTAGAAACATAAAGGCTACTTATTAATTTTCAGAATTATTTCTCATTAATAATTTATACTATGCAAGATAATTTTTAAATGCCTTAGGGCTTTAATACTGACTTCCTTTACTCAAGTTAGTAGAATCAAATAAAAGCTTAATCCATATTTTCTAGCTTTGGCCAAAATTAAAACACACAAAACGAAAAGTTGAATTGCTAAGACTAGCTAAATAAGCACTATACCCTAAGCACTGCAATTGCATAATCTGATCAAGATTCTTGCAGCAATAAGCTTTTATAAAAGTAAAAATTTGAGAGATTTTAAAATTATGTTTTAATTTTTATATTTGAATGCAAAAGGGGCGATTCTGATTTACTTAGCTTAATTATGAAGGAAAATGTTGTTAAATCTTCATCTATGTTCCCACCTATTAGCTAAAATAACTAGAATGACAAGTTAATTTAGAAATTGGGTATGCTTGAAATATAAAATAAAGAATAGGAAGAAAGAATACAAAATCTTTAAAAATTGAATGATCAATTAATGTCTGCAATAACAGATTTGAATGGAAACGACCAAAGCAAGGTAACTTACATTTAAAAAATTTTTTTTAATATTCAAATTAAGTTAAAGGATATTAATGCTTTGTTTTAAACTTAAATAGTAAAAATATTAAAGGGAGAAAGAGCTTCTCTAAAAGTAGCATGATAAAGAGATATCTGATTATATGTTTCAAATTAAAGATCTTAAAAACAAACTAGAACTTTAAGTAAATAATTAAAAAGCAATTAACTAACTGAATTTTAAAATTTTCAAAATCAAAAATTAAGAAATCTTAAATGAATGAGAAAGCGGCAGAATACGAAAAGGATAAGATGCTCTTAGAAAAATAATTATAAGAAGAAGAAAAAAGTTATTAGCAGAAGCTTTAGCAATACAAAGAAGAGAAGGACTCAATTAATGCTATGCTTAAAGACTATGAATAGATGAGATAGTATATTAAAAAACAATGATAAACAAATTTCATAATTATTTTAACTTTTAAAGAAAAAATTAAGAAGTAGTATAAGCAAACCTCGAGAATAAGATAAGAGTTTTGGAAGAAGTTATTGAAAAGTAAAAGTAGGAAGCAGAGGAGAGAACAGGATAGCTAGCCAACGATACTGAAAAAAATATTCAAAAGATGAAGCAAATTCATGAAAATGTAATAAAATAAAATTAAAATTATTTTATGAAAATATTTTTTTTGTGTAGGAAAAAAACATTCTAATGAATAAAATATCAAGTCTTTAATAAGAAAAAAAGCTTATTGAGTAGCAAAGTGAATACAATTTTAAATTGTTTAATGATCTAAGAAATAAGTCTGAAAATCAAGTAAAAAAATAATTTCTATTTTTAAATCTGATTAAGCTTAATTAATTTAAAATAGTAAGATGGTTTATATAATGAATTGGATAAGACTAGAAAGTTAATTTGTGGATTAGAGCAAAAAATTATTGAGAAAGACAGTATCATTCAAATTTAACAGTAAAAAATAGATGGAAATGAAACAGTTCTTAAGTTAAGAGAGAAAAACTATGAAGAATCTTTAAAAGCTTTTAAAAATTAAAATGATTAACTGATGTAATTTATAAATAATAAAATTACCTTTTTTCCTAATTTAATTCTCAATTATAGGGAGCAAATTAAAAAATAATAGCATGAGCTTAAGCTTATGCAATTCTAAATTTAAGAGAAGAGCTTTGAACTAACAGATAAAAGCAAATAGTTGAAGAAACAAATTTGGAATGAAAAAAAGAAAGCAGAACAAATGGAAGAAGTTGCCAACAGAATTAAGGTAATTTTCACTTAAGTTAACAAAATTAAAGTTTATGAAAAATTAATTTTAAGGATGACTACACAAAAAAGAACTCCTTTGTAATTCAGGAGCTTTTAATGAAGGAAGAGAAAATAAAGAAACTGAATAATTAAATTCACAAGCAATCAGCAATTTAGAATTAAATTGCTCAGTTAAATTACAATAGCTTAAGCAATAATAACAACAACAACACATCTTATTCATTTATTAATAATACAAATCTCAGTAATTTAATTCAAAACCCGAATTTAAGTTTGATTTAGTAAAATATGAGCTGTGTTAATCGTCCAAGCCAAAGACAGTAAGATAGAAATCAAGTCCTTTCATTATCAAATAATGTAAATTTGAACATGATTATGAATTAAGAAAATTTTAACTCTAGCGATAATCTCAATGTAATTAATAACCACAGCCTTTCAAAAAGCCCTAAAATATAAGTCAATAAAGCTTCTATCATGTCGCAATGTTAAGATAGCTATTCTGTACCTACGTCGAATAGAAACTTCAACAACGTCTAATCTTCTAAAAATAACCAAATTGCTGCAATAAGCAGTGATAATCTTTCTTAATCTAATCAAAATTTTAATGCAACTCGTATTTAGCATTTAAGAAGTATTAGCAATTATTAATCAGAGACTATAAATAAAAATAATTCTCAAATTTCACATGATAAGAGTAATATTGAAAATTTCAATAGCTGTTAAGTTGTGAATAACCTTTTGTCGATAAACAGTCCATCTAATACAACTACTTTGCCCTAAATAACAAATGATTTCATGTCTCCATAGAGCCAAAAATTAGATCTTTCTCGTAGTGAACCTTAAACGATGAGAGGAGTGGTTCCAACAATGTCTTAAAATTAAATTTAAACCATAGATTAAGGCAAGAAGGAAGAAGCTTAAAAGAATAAGCGCTCTTTAAGCCAAGCAGTCACTCCGTTGACTACTGGAGCTCTAAATAAAAGTTTCTAAAAAGTGATTAATTAACAAAACTAATAGAAATCAAACCAATAAAGAAATTAATAAAATAAATCTGGTTCTTAGTCACCTCTAGCAATACAGTAAAAAGAAATAATAGGTAACAACTTGACATTAATTACATATGATGCTTCATAATAGAAGAATAGTAACAACAAAAAATCAAACAATAAAGATGATATTCACAATACTAGTATTAATACTCCTATTTCAAATAAAAGAGGAGCTGTAAATAATAATCAAAATAGATCTGTATCTCCTATACATAATCAATCAGTCAATAGCTGTTACTCATAAAAAGATGTAGAAAAAACTAAAAATGCAAGCAATAGAAGAAATATTTCTGTAGACTAAAGTAAAAGTATCAATAAAGTAGTTGGAGTTACACTAAATAATAATAGAGATTTTAATCAAAATCATTTAAAAAACCTTTCAGTGTCAGCAACTCCCATGAGCAGTGTTAATTTAAATATTTTAATGAATTAACAAAATGAAAATATAGAAAATATGAATGTAAGAAGCAATTAAATGACATTTATACCAGAAAATAATAGTTAAAAATAGTAAATCTTTAACTTAACACCAAACAAACAGAATAATTCAATTAACTAAAATTATTCTAAATTCATGCAGAATAACTAAAATCTAAATCAAGATAACTCATTTTCTAAAGATAGACCTAATTTGGTTATTAACTTATAGCAGCACAATCTAAACACCAATGCTAATACTTAGTAAAATGACAACTGTTTTAATAATCAATACTAAAACTATGAACAAAATTAATAAATCAACTAAATCTAATCTAACTTTATTCAAAATAATTTAAATATGGGTTTTAATCAAAATAATTCGTTTTCTAAAGAAAACAATGTTTCAAGACCAAACTTAATTATTAATTTACAGCAAAATTAAAATGATATTAATAATTAAATTAACTGTAAATAGCAATTTGAAAATTGCTTTAACAATTAAAACTACCAATTATAATAATACTCATAACAATAGCAAAATAGTATTTAAATGTAGCAAAAAAGAGACATTACTTTTGGTACACCTATTACAGAAAATTTTTATAGCGAAATGTCTTAAAAGTTTTAGAAAACACAAGATGATAACTAACAATTTTCTTAATAATAATAGTCCAAATTTTAGAATGATCAATAGATATCTAAAATAAGGAAAATCTTAAATTAATTCAATTTTATTTAGCAAGCTTAGTTAAATAAGTCATCAATAGCACAAGCTGCCTGCAATTAAAAAGAAAACTAAGCAATCAACTAGCAACAACTCTCATCAAATTAACCTCAACAGCAATTTAAAACAAACTAAAAGGAAATCGAAGCAATTTTCTTTTAATAAATGAAGGAAGCTCTATAAACTTATCCAGAAATGATAGAGTAAAGCAATGGTATTCTTAGAACTTCTATGGAAAGTAAGGACATGAAGCTCGCTTTGAATGGATTAAAAGAAATAATTTAAAAAATAAACATTAATGAGAAAGAAAAGAAAGAACTTTAAATAGAAATAACATCATTACAATCTAAATGTAGTCTAGAGAAAGCTTCCCTACAAAATATACCAACAAATACAGTATATAATTATGATACATAAAACAACATCCAAAATTCATCTATTGGTGATTCTAAAGTTAACTAAATTATCATGGAAAATTTACAAATAAAGACTTCTGAAAACTCTTTTTGTGGAGTTAATATTAGTGAAAAAGAAAACGCTAAGGCAACACCAGTTTCATTAGAATTGAATAATAAATTCAAACCAATAACATCAATGATTCATAACGGGAACCCTTAATCTGTAAATAATTTAAGTATCAATTTAAGCGGATTAAAGTCCGCTTAATTTTAATAGATTAAAGAAGAAAAAAATAATAAACAATCCCGTGCTCTCTAATAAAAATCTGATTACCTTAATGACTATAATTCAAATATAGAAAATTAGCCTTACAAAAACAACTTATAAGTACAACAAAATAGCAAAACTTAAACAAATATCAACAATAAATCATCAAATATTTCATATAATCAATTTAATTCAGCAAGAACTAGCAACAAAGTCTCTGATGATCAAAACCAAAATCCAAGCAATACAATTAAAACTTAAAATAAGCATTCAGCCAGTATCAGTATAACTATATAGGCTAATAATTGTATGAATGACTAATCCCCTTAAATGTAAAGAATGAATAGTGGATTAAGTCAGACTATAAGATAGGTAGCTAATGTAAATAACAATTTATTGAATTTGAGCAATAATAAGATTAATAAAACTAAAACAACAAGTAAGATTTGAATTGATCTAAGTTTGAGCCAACAAGCATAATTTTTATTTAAGCAAAATTAAATTATAGAAACTAAGATAAATTAATCAAAGTATAAAAATAAAAAATTCAAAAATATATAAATAAATTTTATAATAATATAAGTTATTTTAAATTAAATAAATTATAAATAATATTAATTGCTTATTAATTTTTGTAAAAGATACTAAGTAAGTAAGTAAGTTTAAATCCTTTTATATTTATGTGTATGATTATCACTATATTTATTATTCAATATTCTTACTTTGCTACTAATTTAAAAAAAATAGTCTTTTTTTATAAAACAAATAAATTTATTAATATTGATAAATATAATTTCTAAATAAATATTTAATTAATGCAGAAAGGTTGAAAATATGTTTTTAAAATTTTTTAAATTTAAAGCTGTTGATAATTTCAACTTAAAGATTTATAGAATCATAAACAAATAAATTGAGTTATATTTTAAATATTTTAAAATATGAATAAGGATTTACTATCTATAAACTTAAAGTGAATTGTAGTTATAATAATTTCCATTTAAGTTATATGAAAATTTTAAAAAATAAATTTAATTATTTTTTAAATTTGATGGAAATATTAAGAAGTATTTTAAACTTAAAATGAATTTTTCAATTATTTTTTAGATTTTTATTTTATTTTTTGAAAAATTAAAATTAAAATGGATACTAGTGATATTTATTTAGTTAATTAGATAAAAAACATATATTTATTTATTTATTATTATTTTTACTTAAAAATTATATTTTTTTATTGAAAATATTTCTTAAATCTCATCACTTCTAAACAGTAAATTTGTAGTGATGTTGGCTGTTATATTCAGAGCAGTGCTTTAGCTTTATGTCATTGGCAAGCTGTATTATTTTTTCATTATATTATTTTCTTTCATCTTTTTTGAGAGGCACTATATAATTAGTGTTTTCAAAGTATAAAAAGGCTTCTTTACTAAATAATTTTAAGAATTCATTATCTTTTAGTACACCTGATTAGATAAATCCTACAACTCCGATATCGAAAAAGTCCTAAAACTTCTTCTTGATTGCAAGTTTTGGTAATTCTTCGAATACAGGAATAATTTTAATGTTCATTTGCTTAAAGCCTTCCAATAAGTCATACATCTCACTACCCTTTAGGTAGTCTTCTTTTTCTTTCTTTTCGCGATATTCTTTTTATCTTTACTCTATTTCTTCAGGTGACAAACCAGACAAATCTTCCTTTTTATTTTCTTCTTGCTTTACTGAATCTTTAGGCTTTTCAACTGGAATTTCTTCTTCTTCTCCTTCTTTTTTATCTTTCTTTTCTTCTTATTTATCTTACTCTTCTTTTTTGTCTTCTTCTTTCTCCTTTTTGTCTTCTTTTTTTTCTTCTTCTTCATCGTCTTCTTCATTTTCCTCTTCCTTTATTTCTTCGTTTTCTTTTTTTGCATCCATTCTTTTAGCTTCTTTTTTCTTCTCTTCTGCATTTTTATCACTTCTATATGGATCGGTGAATGTTAAATGATATTCCTCTTATTTTTCTATCATTTAAAGCCAATACTATAGATTGAATTCAGTAACTTCGACAGAGTGACCAACATGTTGCATATTAGAAATTTTAAATAGTTTTTCCTTCTCAGGTTCTACATCACATTCAACACCCATACTAATATATGGAGAAATAATAATATCACCCCAATAACCTCTAACTACAACATTTTCATAAGTTAGCTTTTTTTTACCAGGAATGTAGCTGCTCATAGTTCTATTAGGAACTATATAAGAAGAGAATCTCTATTCAAAAGCTATACCAGTTTATCTCCATTCTCTGTAATGATAAAAATGAATAATACTTGCAAAATCTTTTAATCCCATTTAGTAATCCCAATCAATTAAATTTTTTCTAAAATCGTATCTCTCCTTATAGTGATATCTACAAATTTAAAAAATAATAAGTAAAATAAATTGTAAATAATTCTAATAGCTTTAACATTAATAAAATAATATTCAATTATAAATATTAAATTATATTTTAGAACATAAAATTATGTTATTTTATTTGCTTGATTCTTTTAAAATGAGTATTTAAATGTTTAATTGATATAAATAAAATACCTTAATCTTTAATCTCTATGCTTTTCCATAGTGAATGGGATTTTACTGTGCCAAGAATTAACAATATCAGAAAGCTCATCACGCTCTTTAAATTTAACTTCTTTAAAATCAAAAATTTGCTCAAGAGGGGTTCTAGTTTTTTTTGTTTCTTCAGCTATTAAGTTTTAGATAGTTGGGAGGATAGAGTCTATGTAACGCTATGATTTTTCTCTTATCATAGCATTACCAAAGACATCTAAAAATAATTCAACTCTCTCTCTAAAACTCAAAGATGTTGTTTGCAATATTTATAATAAAAGAAGCCATCTGCAAAATGATTCTTTCTATTTTTCATAAACATAAATGTTGAGCTTTTTGATTTTTTAAGAATCCTTGTTTGATATGCAATTATCTGCTATTGTCTTTAAGACATGTCTTAAATCTGAAGTGCACATTAGAAGCACATTGATTGCATCTTTCTGAGGAGTATCATCCAAAAAATCTATTGCTGGAGATAACCCCCAAAAGTGAATAAAACCTATTTACTCTATAATTTCCATTTTGATAAAAGAATAATTAATTATTAGTTAATTTATTAATTAATTAATTTTTTAAAAATTTTAATTTTTAAAACAGTTGATTTTCAAATAAAATTAAATAAGATATTTTTGCTTGATAATATCCAGAAAATATACAATTTTCTTTTTATTATTAATTTTTTTTTTTTGATAAATTCTACTTTCAAAATTTATTTTTCATTTATTTCATTTTACATTTGAAATAACAAAATAATTTATTTTTTTTAATTTAAGGATTTCATTTAAAAGTCTTATTTTGAGTTTTTGCATTTTTAATTATTTATTTAAAATTATTTTTTTTAAATTTTTGAAAAGTTTCTAAGCAGTTTCAACTCAAATTTTTTTAATAATAATTATATTATGTAAATTTTTATTATTAAATTACCTTTTTGATATTTAAACTTAAATTACATAAATTGCTAACCACTCAAAAATATAAAATAATTTTTATATTGCTGATTGAATTTATTTTTCTTCTTAAAATTTTAATAAACAAATATACCTAACTGTTATAAACATAAAATTTAATTCCCTATTAATAATTATTTTGAGCTAGAAGATTTAATTATGTGTAAAATTATATTTATGGAGTGAGTTATCCTATTTTAATCATTTTATTATTCATTTGATTCTATTTTTTATTGCTTTAAATTGTTTTAGAGGTTTACAAAAATATTTTATTGATTAAATTATTAGTTAATTGTGGAATAATTAGACATTTAATTTAGATAAATCTAGTATAACAATAATCATTGAAATAATAACAACATAACCAAATTTAAAATCTATTTGTCTATTTTAGATTTTTTCATTTTTTCTATTTATTTACTTCAAAAATTACATTTAAATTTTTCAAAGTTAACAAAAAAAATATTAGTATTAAGAAAAATTAATTAAGCGCTGTTATAATATATGGATCTAAAATGTATTGCTGAATTTAAGATAAAAATAATATGAAATTTATTTGATGGACTACTATAACTATTATATAGTATTAAATTATAAATTTAATCATATTACAATAATATGTGATATTATTAGAATTTTAGAAAAATGTTAATTTATTCATTCAGTGGGGGATTATTGATGCGATACATATCTTATTTTTTTCAAAAATATCATCAAAAATAATCTGCATCAATAATTTATTGATAATATTTTCAATAACAGTATCATTATTCTAAAAAAAATTTGTAAATAGTTTCACATATTTTTTACATAGTAAATTTCATCAAAATTTTCAATTTATTAGAAATAATATACTTTAAACAATAATTATGCATGTCTTATCCTAGAGACAGAGATATAAAAAATTAAATTTTATAGGTTTTTTTATGATGCAATTTGATTATTTTAGTAGATTATCAAAGAATTTTAAAATATCTTTCTTTATAAATTTCTGATGTTTTATTTAATAAGTTTAAAGAATTCTTTATTTTATACTCATGGATACTTATCCATCAATTAAAGCACACATATAGTCATATTTTTTTAAGTATTGCATGAAGATCCATGGTATCATTTATGAGAAGTGAGAGTACTTTAGCTGAGATACCATTTTAAAAAGGTAATCTGATAATACGTAGAGTATAGTGTTTGTAGAATCAAATATTTACAAATTTGTGTATAGGCATGTAAATGTAAGTATTAATTTCCAATAATATGATAAATTAATAGATATGTGTCGAACAAATAAAACATTCACAAAAATTGACGATTGCAAAAAATTTCTGACGCACTTTTTGTTCTTTAAATTTAGAAAGTATCTGCATTTATATTTTATAATTTAAATATAACAAGTAAAAATTCTAATCAACAAACTATTTTCATTAGTTAATAGCAAAAAATTAATTAAAAATAATAAAAATAATAAATAAATAAATGCACACCATTGCTGAATTAGTAGAGTTCTTAAATAAAATTGGACAAGGACACTTAGCTTAGAACATAGACAAGTTCACAGAGCAATAATAGAAGGAGTTCTTAGAATAGGTATTTGCAATTTTTCATCACATTTTATTAGATAAATACCTAATCTAACTAACTCATTTTGAGCTTGATTTTTTCTTTATCAACCCATTATATTTTTAAAAATATCATTTTAAATCCATAAAATAGGTCAATAAGCTAAACACTACCTATCCTGGTGGTCTTGAAGAATACACTAAAAGAGCTAAGGTCTTACTTAAGAATTCTGCCGATAATGTCAATCCCTATGAAGGCTTTGTTCCCTCTGTCCCAATTGGTGAAAAGGTCAACTTTTCTTCATTTGAAGAAGTAGCTGGATTAGAATCTATTGGTCGTGAAGAACTCAATCACACTGCTTTTGTATTAGGTAAACACTCAAGCTTTTCGAAAACATAGCTTAATAATTATTACATTTTACTTTTTTCAATAATCTTTTGATATTCGTTTTATCAACTATTCATTCTTAAAAGCTCTACAAATAGAAAAATTAGAAAAATTTATAATCTTGAATACAAATAATAAAGTTATAACATAAATAAAAAATATTTTAGATATTTAATGTCTGATAATTCAAGCCATAGCTTTTGTTTAAAAATTAAAGCAAGTTAGATAAGAAATTTTAGTGATTTTAAATTTATTTATAATAAAAAAATAAATAAAAGGCAATTAACAGAAAGATTCTTTCTTTCTATCTATCTATCTTTGATTGAAATTAATTAATTAATAAAAATTTTAAAATAGAATCTTAAAAAAGATATTTCAAAAATAATCTGATAAGATATTTTAATTAAAATTATCTATCAATATATCTGCAATTAAATAAATAAATATTTTTTTACAAAGAATCAATTCAATTTAAAACTTTAAATTAATATGATCTTAGATCAATAAAAATTAAAGAATTTAAATATCATTTTAATTAAGATATAAAATATTTTTTAAAATCTTATTAAAATTTTTTTGATATTAATTAGTTGCAGGTGGTTTGGGTGAAAGACTCTAATATGATGGTATTAAGATTGGTATTCAATTTGAAATAACTACTGGTCAAACCTTTTTGAATTACTACTTAGACTTCATTAGAGCTTTTAACGAAAAGGCTGAATTAGCTATCATGACTTCTGATGATACATACACACTCACCATGAAGCTTCTTGAAGAAAACAACTATTATGGATTCCCTAAGGACCAAATTACTATCATGAAATAAGAGAAAGTCCCTGCTATGATTGATAATGATGCCCACTTTACTTAATTACCTAATTCTTTGTTAATTGAAACAAAGCCTCATGGTCATGGTGATGTCCATACTTTACTCTTTTAACACTAACTTCCTAAAAAGTGGATTTAACAAGGTAAGAAGTGGCTTGTTGTTTTCTAAGACACTAACCCTCTTGTTTTCCGTGCTCTTCCTTCTGTTTTGGCTATCTCTAAAACTAAAAACCTCGAAGTAAATTCCATAACTGCTCCTCGTAAACCTGGTGAGGCTGTAGGTGCTATTTGCAAATTAACTAAGGGTAACGAAAGACTCACTATTAATGTAGAATATAACTAACTTGGTTCTCTTCTTCCTAAAGAACCAGTTGATGAACATGGATACTCTGTCTTCCCTGGTAATATCAACTCTATTGTCTTTAGCTTATAAGAATATGATTCCGTCCTTGAAAAAACAAAGGGTCTTATCATGGAATTTATTAATCCCAAATACGCTGATGCAACAAAAACCAAATTCAAAAGTTCTTCTCGTTTAGAATGCATGTACTAAGACTATCCTAAATTGCTTGAAAACGACAACAGAGTTGGTATGACTTAAGTCAACAGAGCTTTCTGCTTCAGTACAGTTAAAAATGATATTAAGACTGCTGGTTAAAAATTCTAACAAAATCTTGCTCCTGAATCAGCTTCTTCATGTGAATAAGATTTATATTTCATGAACAGACAAATCCTTAAACTCGTAGGAGTCCATGTTGAAACTTCTGATGCCTCTGATTACGAATTTGAAAACATCAAACTTAACCTTTCACCTTAAATTATCCTTAAGCCTTCTTTGGGTGTTACTTTAGCTGAAATTAAAAACAACATTAAAAATACTTAAGTTACTATTACCAGAAATAGCACAGTTGTTTTAGATGGAGAAACCTTCAAAAATGCTAGTGATAAACTTGAAATCGATGGATAATTCAATGTTCCTGCTAATTACTAATCTAAAACTAAATATAGAACTTTCGTTGGAGTCGATAGTAAAGCAGCTCAACATTTATTAATTAGAGGTTATGATGTTAAAAGAGACTGAAAAATAAAATTAAGTTATTAAAATAATTTACTAAACATATCAATCAATCAATCATTGAATCGTTGTTTTTTATATTTTTAAATTATATTCAAACTTTATCAAATAATATATTTTATCCACAAAACTAAAATTTTTCCAAAAAAAATTTCTATCAAATAAATTTTTACAAATAAAAAATATAATAATTTATTTATTTATTTTGATGAGTTAGATTAAATACTTATACTAACTATTTAAATTGGTGCATAAATAGTTTAAAATACATTCAATAAAGTATATCAAATATTACAAAAATATAAATTCAAAAAACTTAGCTTTGAAAATCAAAAATTTCATTTTCTAAACCTAAAAATAGAAAAAAGTAAAATTTTTATATTCAAATTCAATAATATAAAATACAAAGAATATAAAAAACAAATAATAAATAAATAAATTTAATACAAACAATCAATCGAAATATAAATCCCAGAATTGAATATTATTTTTAAAATGTAAATTCTGAGAAATAAATTTGTTATATACTATCAAACTATTCACAATTTGATTTTCTTTGATTTTAACTTTTATAAGATCATGCATCAATTTATATATTTGAACTTTTTGAAGAGTAGATATTTCCTATTTAAAAGTAGAATCTGAATATGGTTGAAGAGATTGGATGGTTTCTAATTCATCATCTTTTTCTTCATTTTAGTTTTAAGTTATATTTTATAGGCAAATCGAAGTCAAGCATTATGATTGTTATTCTGACTTTATTTCTTCTTATTATCTTTCGCTTCCTATAATTGGATTTTAAATTTATGCTGATTAATTTTCATTTTAATTTTCAAGTTCTTCCTATGAATCTTAACTTTGATCTGAAAAATCTTGATATTCTTCATCTGCTTCTGACGAACAAATAAACTATAAGTTCAAGAATATTTTAACTATCATTCTTAATAGTAAGTGGGGAGCTATAAGTCTTACTGTTTCAATGAAATTAATGTAATACATGATAGGTTAGTATGAATAAATAACTTTTGCAAATTAATCAGTTTTTTTAAGTAGTTCATAAAATGTTGAAAATATGGGATTCTATCTATTTGGATCTAATAGAAAACCTTTTGTCAAATTTTCTAAAATTTATATTCTATTTTGAGGGTCTTTAAATCTAAAGTAAAACAAGAACTGTGAATAATTAGAATACTAAACTGAATTTATAGATTTATTTTACAATAAAGTCAAATAAGCATTTTCTGCTTTATCTAACTAGTTTAATTCCTCATAAACATAAGCTAAATTTCCAAGTACAGTAGAGTTGTTAGGATAGTTTTATAGCGCTAATTCTCCAAATTGTATTGCCTTTTATAATTCATTCATTTCCAAATAGCAATAGCTTATATTATTCAAACACTCGTCATTTTAAGGCTAAATTTGTAATCCTTATGTATAGCATAAGATAGCATTTTCAAAGTCTTCTAAGTCTAAGAAAGTATTACCTAGTTAAGCATACATATCTGCTTTTTAGTAAGGTTTTTTAGCCTTTTAAATAGCTTCTTTCAATATTTGTCTTGAAATATTCATATTTTTCTTAGATTTTAAGGTTAAACTTTTACAAGCTAAGTAGTAGGCATCGTTTAATCTTTCATCCTAAAAATTGAATAGTAAGTTTTGTAACTTTTTCAGTACTAAGTTTGATTTTGCTTGAGAAGAATCAACTAGAAAGGTCAAATACTCAAAAGTATTTTTAAAATATAAAGGGTCTTTTAAAAAAATGGATTGCATTAATCTTTCGGATTCAACTGGATCTTCTTATATCAATAATCTTGCTTCTATGTTCAAGATTCTACTATCTTACCTAATATCCTTATCTTAAATTGAATATAAAAACTCTTTTCCTTAAAGCCAAAGACTTTAATGGATGTAAACATCTTCAAGCTCATCAATAATCTACAATATTTTCTTCTCTGTTTAAATATTTTACTCTAAGAATTTTTAATCTCCATTTTAGTTTTCTAAGCTCATAAGTTAATTATTTGATTAAATAAATAAAAGTAAATTGAAATAATTAATAATATTCAATGATTTGAATCCACTGCATTTATTTATACCAAAGATTACAATATCCAAGATAAATCTTTTATTATTTGGAGATTCCTAGAGCTTAGTAATACATTTATGGAGTTGTAAGTTTATAAGTAAATTAAATATGAGTAAAATTTGGAAAATTATAATCTTGGATGCTAATATTTTCATATTTACACACAAATAGCTAAAATAAATAATTCTAAATATACATTTTTATAATTTACTAAAATAATTTAACAGAAAACAATCAATTTTAGATAGAGTAAATTAATACATATTTACTTCACTCAGTTGTTTAAATTTGTAAACCTCTATTTTTTATTGCCAAGTAAATCATTACCTTAATTTGAAATTATTATTTTACTTTATCTCATTATGGCGTTTGAAGAAGATTTTGATTTTTTAATCAAAAAATTATCTGTTTTTGGGGAAACCATCATATTTACATTGGTAATTTACTAATTATTACTTGCGGCAAGAGTTATTTGCTAGCTCATTTTGATATTTTGCAAGCTAGGATTAGATAATTATGGTAAATTTGAGCTATTATTGTTATTATTATTAAAAGCGTTTGTTGTTGTTTATGGAATTATATTCGTTAATACGCTGCTTATGTTAGTAGTTAACAAACTTTTAACTTGACTATACCTAGTGTTGTTATTGTTAGGTGCAATTCCACCTCCTTCAACCATTTGACTCTTGCTGACCAGTTAAGGAGTTTTCTATTTCTGAGGTGCTTAAAATTATTATTCTTTTTAGCCATTCAATTAACTATTATCTATAATTTATATTAAAGTTCGTTAAATTTGATAAGAATATTTTAATATAATTTAGAAAAAACTAATTACTTTGATAAGATTGGGTGGCACTAACTCCATTTTGTTAACCGTTGTTAAGCTAATTTAATTCAGGATTGCTTTAAATAAAACAAAAATTTTTAATAAATAGTTATATTTATTTATTTAAAATGATACTCGCTTTTTATTAGCTAGCCCTAAGTGTTCTATTTCTCTTTGAGTGAGTCTTCTTATTTTGAAGAATTAATTTCCTAATTAAGTTTAAAATTAAAAGATTCTTTATTTACTTTAAAAATTCCCTTATAATTAAATATCTATTTATCTTAAATAATAAAAAATTGACGATCTATTTTATCAGAATTTATAAATATAAATCAAATGTATTTTTGTCTATTGCTTAACAATTATATTTTCTGAGTGAAATCTTTTACAAAAACTTTGAAATTTCATTTATTTTATTTCATTTTTTTAGCCATAAATTCAATTTTGCAAAAATCTTTTATTGAAATTTACTTTATAAAAATTTTTTAAAGAATTTTTTTTTCCATTAACTTTTATTGATATTGTTTGTAATAGTAATTAATAGCTTTAATAAGTTTAAAGAAAAAGATTTATACTTTGACTTTGTAATTTCCTTGAGAAAATTTGCTCTCATTCTAGTGCCTCAAAGTTTAGCTACCATTAGTCTAAAAATAAAAAAAATTTTTAATTATTTCATTAGAATAAATATTTTATTACTTTATCAAAGAATAAAGCACTCATTTGGCTTTAAGGTGATATATTTTATTATAAGGAGTTTCTTTGATATTAATTTTATTATTATACAAAAAATTGATTTTCTTTTCTAGCCAAGGGATTGCTCATCAAATTAGGAACCAATTACCTATTCTGTATTAAATTATTTAATTTAGTTCATTTACTTTTCTCAATATTTTATTGAATTTACTGTTTAATCTTAAACTTTTTGCTGCAACTTATTAATCATAAATCCACCCATGCTTTAACTCTTAAGAAGACTGTTCTATATTTTTGATATTTAAAAATATTTAATAACTTAATTTTTAGGATAAAAGATTGATTTAAAATGAATCTTTAACAACTCTATCGATAATTTAACATAATATTATTTAAAATTTAAATATTTTTTGATAAAATTTTTTATGCAAAAACTAAATGTTAAGATGATATCTTAATTTAAAATATTTAAAGCAATAGCAAAAAAGAAAAATTGAAAGTTAAAAATTACTATTGACTATCCATTTTACAAGCCATTTTGAAGAGATTATTTTTTCATTAAATAAGCCTTCATCTCCATAATGAAAGAGGCATCTGTTTAAACAGCTGCATCCACCATTTCAACTTATCCTTCAGGTTTTATATTTTCAGGTTTTTTTTCAACTACTTTTTATACCCTAGGCATAACTTTGCTTATTAAAAATTTCTTCCTGTCAGTTTGTGAATCAGATTAATTGCCTTATAATAATTCATTCTTTTTTTAAAGTCTTTTAGCTGCAAGCTCTTTTTCTCTTTTTTCTTTAGCTTTTTCCTCCTCTTATTCTAGTAATTTTTTTTATTTTTTAGTAAGAACTGATTTTGGAAGCAACTTAATCATTTATTCATCTGATAACTCATCCTCTGAAGGATCTGAGTCAGATCCATCAGAATCACTCTTTGACTCCATATTAATAATCTTTTATTCATTATCTTTTATTTCTTTTAGAATGCTATTCTTGTTAAGTTAATTATTGATTTTTTTGCTATTTTTATTATCTTCACTTTCATCTTCCCATAAATAATTATATAAATTAACAACTAAACTTTTCCCTATATCTAAATAGTCTTAAATGCTGTAATGAGTTTTAGTTTAATTTTTTTATTTTCCATAAAAAGAAGCCTCTACTGTAAAGACGTTCATGACTCTTTACTCCTTCCAAAGAGTTATTCTTGCAGTCTTTTCTTTTGATTTTTATACATTGAATCTACACTCTTCAAAATTAATATAATCAGTCATTTTAGACATCATATAAGGGTAAATTCTTGTAAGAACAGGGTCTTCTTTGTAAGAACATCCATAAAAGAAGGTATTCATCCTTTTTATAATTTTTAATAAATTATTCATACATTTTTTATTTTTTAAAATAAAAATTACTTTCTGCTGTGGCCATGCAAATCTATTATTAATTTTATTTCACGTTCTCTTCCAAATGTTTTTATCATTTCCTTCATGTGAAAAACAGTAGGATGCAATTTCTAAATATTACATTAAAAAAAAAATATTTTTATGCTTATATTTAAATCATCTTACTTTACGAGGTTTTTTCCATCTTCTATTTAGATCACAGCCCGCCAAAGAGCACCTGTAATTACCGTGAATAACTCCATCAGGATTAAGCATAGGTACAATCTTAAATACACAATTATCTCTAAGGTATTCTGCTTACGGAGAGTCTCCTAATAGAAATTCTATACACCCTTGTACCATATAAGATCCACCTGTCTCCCCTGGATGCTATCTCGCAAAAATAACAATTCCCTTTCTTTAAAACCTTTTCTGTTAAATATAATGAATTTAAAAACAAATAAATTTTATTTTAAAATTTATTTAAAACATATATTTTTTTTAAAAAAAATAGCTATTATGAATTAATTAAATGCAAAATTGCTAAATGTATTACAACCATAGAACTTGAAGTAATAGTAAGCATTTCACAATTATTTCCAGCTAGTGTTTTACATAATTTTTTTACTGAAACTTTCCTTTTTTATTAAAAAATGAAAGAAATTGTAAATTTTATTTTTTAAAAATGTAAACAAAAATAGTTAATTTCATAAAATAAAAATTAAGCAAGTAAAGAAATAAATAAATTTTTTTACTTATTTTTAGTTTCATCTTTCATAAAGTCATTAATATATTCTTTTAAATCTGTAAAGGTGTAAGGAAAAGAGTGTGCAAAATAAATAGTATCTTGAGAATGATGGATATAATAGCTAAAAGTTAAAGTATAATGGGGTTTTCCTTTATTACCATCTCTTTAAATGTCTCCTCTATAATAATTTATATTAAAACCACCTCTAACCCATTCTTAACCTGATAATTCGTTTTGCTTAACACTAAAAATAACAGGGCAGAGTCCCTCATTAAAAAGACTACCTGGTTTATTCTAAGAAAATGTATAAAATTAATTTATAAATGGCTAAGAATATAAAATTTATTACTAAATTTAGAATATTGAACTTAAGAACTTATCCAGCCTTCGCGTTTGTGACACTAAAAAAGAACCATTATGTATTTCCTTTTGTATTAATATCATTTTAAAGAATTAAGTCAAATTCTGTTTCATTGACCTTATATGCACAAAAAAGATTTCCACTTTCAAAACTTGAAGAAAACTAAATTTTTTATTGTTCAGAAGAATTTGCATTTATAGCTGTTTAAGAGTTCGCTGATGGATTTGAGGTATGAAAGTTATGATGATAATTTTTTATTTCTTTTATAGAAACTTTTCGATTAAACGATGCCTTATTTTAATTAAAGTCTGAGTCTTCATCTTTATTCTTCCTTGATTTTATCAAATTCTTTAAATTTGCTATATAGGTAGCAAAGTAAATGACATCTCCAATACGTGTTGGGTCATTTAAGTTATAGTCACTGTACTTTTAATATATTAAATTATCTCTATTTTATTTATGATATTCAAAAAGTGTTTTAAGCTTGACTACTAATGTATTATTTTAATTTTAAATAGTTGTATTCTAAGCAGAAATTTATTAAACTTATTAATTGTTAACGACTTGCTAATTCTATTGCTACACTACTTAGCTCTAAGTATTAACCTATTATTAACTTGGAATAATCTGTTTTATTTAGTCATTTATTTTTATATTTTTCTGAGAATCTTTTTAAGAAATAACGTTATTTGTAGACCTTTCTTGTTGGAATTAATTCGTAGGAATATTAAATTCACTAGTTTCAGTATTTGTATTTATAATTTAGTTTTTGTTAGTTGAGATAGTAGTATTAATATTTTCTTGTTAATTACCTTCAGTGCTATTTGTTTTAATTTAATCGGAAATATTATTTTATAAAGTAGAAGATAATCTTGCTTCATTTTCTTATTTTAATGTAGAAAGAGCTCCTTATTTGTTTGGCAAGTGCTTCGTAATGGAGCTTTCTGCAATATTTTTAGTGTTTTCAGAAGGACTAGATGATTTAGTAGATTTTAAAACTTATTGCTGAGCAATATATTCTTGTAATTAAAGAGGACGCTCACTGGGTTCAATAAATTGAAAGTTTTTATTTTTGTTAAAGTTTGGGAGTGAACTATTTGTTATGATAAAGAATAAATAAAATTTGAATGCATAGCTAATAATTTAAGTGCTATATTTTTTATTTTAGTTGCCATTAATTTGTTATAAATTTTAATCATTTACTTAAATTGAATATTGATTGCAGTTCGTACTTCATAGTCTTCTTGAAATATTTTAGGAATCAAAGGGTTAGCTGGAGGAAGGTATTTAGTAATATCTATTGGAACTGTTTCAGTATCTTCCTAGGAAAAACTGTCATCACTCTAACTTGAAGAATACCAGTCATCATCTCTGTCAGCCAGCTTCTTTAAATCTTAATATTAAGCAGTAAAAATTAATGTAAAAAATACACTGATTGTTAAGAATTTGAAAAGAACTACAAATTTACTAATACAAAGTAAATTTTCTAACTTACGAAATACCTAAAAAAATAAAATAAAATGCAGCTCAACAATCCTTTCTTTAAAAATCAACTTGAATGTTGAATTTAATAAATAATTCACAATGTAAATGATTACTTTTTGCTACTTTATGAGCTGATGAAGATGAAGTATTTACGCTCTTTTGCTTGTCCATTTTTAACTTATTTTGTTTCTTATTTTTTTTAATTAGCACCTTTTTTCACCAATTTTTATATTACTTAAAACAAATTCGTTTAATAAAATTAGTGTTTTAGATTCTATTATCAATGACTATTTCAAGTAGTTTCTACTTTTTTAAAATTTACTCGATTTTTTCTATATAAATTTTATATTTTTTTTTGACATTTCCTGCTTATTTTATTGATTTCTTTAAATAGAACATAATATATGATCAGTCAAATAAGAGTACTGTATAAAATTTTCTATTCACTTTTTACTTTAAAAGCAATACCTTACAACTTAATTTATTTGAATAACTTACATTCATTGATAACTTTTACTATGAGTGAAAAAAAACAGTAAAATTTTATTTAACAAATTCTCTAAAACTTAATTTCGTTAAGCCTTTCGTCATTTAAAAGCAAAAAATTCAATTATGCTTTTAGTAATTTTTTGATTTATTTAATTAATATTGTAAAATATCTCTATAAATTTAACTAAAATACTTGTTAATTATCTTTTTAGTTATATGTAAACTAGCATATATTGAATTTTAACAAAAAACCTGCTCTAATAGCTATTTTTAATAATAGTTGCACTAATTTCTCCCAATAATAATTTTTTATATTCGAAATTTCATTTTAAAAAATTTAAATTCAGGTTAATTTAAAAACATATTCATTAATTTTAAATTTTATATTATTTATAATAATACTTTTATTTTTAAACACTTTTAAAAGTTTTTTTCATAAACAAAAGATAAAAAACTCACTCTAAAATAAGCAAAAAGTTTTATAATTAAATTCATCAGTACTTTCTTAGTCTGTCTAAAATACCACTTGAGAAATATTTAGATTTTTTAGTAATATTATTGAATTATGATAGATAATATTAATATGAACTTAAATTAAGATGAAAAGTTTTAATTAATTACTGTATAAATACAACAAAGATTATAGCAAATATCTTTACTTATCTATTTAAATTTTTAACTAAAATTGAATGAAAAACCTTGAATTTTAAATAAATGATATATTTATAGACAATCGAAAAGCATAAAGTGTGGAAGAACACAAAATAATATAGAATTAAAATTTTAAAAAGTAAACATAAAAATTATTTTAGTTATATATTCAATTTATTAAATTAAATTTTCAAGAAATTATGTTTGCATTTATGAATCAACTAATTAATGAATGAATTAATCGATGTATTAAGTAAGTTACTATTTTTATTGTAAATATTTTAGTCAAAACATTTTGGGATATTTTATTTATGATTTTATTTATTTTTTCGCTCAAAAATTATTTGAAACTGTAAGAGCTCTATTTTCTTCATGCAACTCTTCTAATTAAACTCTTAATTATGTTATATCATCAGATTGCATAACAAGGATTTGCTATTTTTATTAAATAGCTGGATCATTTAGAGCTTCATCTATTTCGTCAGGTCTATTTCCGTTTTTGCTGTTTGAACGTACACCAGCTGTTCTAGCACGCTTAAAAGATGTAGTTAGAGATCTAGCATGTTCTGCAGGTTTTCCTGTTTATCCTCCCTCTCCTTTTTGGATATCTTTAATTTACTTACGTAATATATTAATTTCTTTGATGAGATTGACATTATTAGACATAAGACCTAAATTGTAGTCCTTATGAATTTGATTATCTTGCTTAAGATACTTTTTAAGACGTTAAACTTTGTATTGTAAGTGAGCTTTTTGATTTTCGTATTCCTATAAAATTTATTCATCGTTTTTATTACGTTCAATATTCTTGTTAGCATACAATCTCTTTAATTCATTAACGTGTTATTACAATTTTTCATAATCCTAAATGTGTTGTACTGCTTTGTATAAATCATCTTTGAAGCGCTTGATTTTGTTATTAGTTGATGAAATAACTGTTCTTTGATTCTTAATTTCTGAGTTCATTAGCTCTTAAGCTGTGTATAGCTCATCTACAGCATTACCTAAATGGTTATTATAGGAATTGTATTTCTTTAACAGTTGATCCATCTAATTTGTTTCTTCCTTCATACGAGCTATTTCGTCTTCACGAGGACCTATATCACGTTTTAATTCTTTGATTTTATGATCAAGTACGAACTTAAACTTTTCCAAGTTTTATGATTTCTTCTTCTGTTTATATATTTGCTTTTCTTATTTGCCGATTGTTTTATCTCTTTCTTAAATAATTTCTTTTTATTGTTGGATTTCTTTGAGCAAAGTTTCATTTTCTTCTCTTAATTTTTTGAGCTACTTCTAATGTAATCTGAATTACTCTTCGTATTATTCTGAATCCTTTTTCTTTTAGTCTATTTTTTTAGTGGTGATGGCTGCATCACTTTTAGCTTTTTTATGTCTTTCTTTGACTTCAGCTTCATGTTCTAAATTTTTGTTATTCAAGTTTTCAATTTCTTCTTTTGTTTCTTGCTCAATTTAGCGGTAAATTTCATCATTATCCTTTTGCATTTTATCTATATCATTTTAAACTCTTTCTCTTTAACTTCTCTCTTCATGAAGTTTTTATTAGTACTCTTAATCTAAGCTCTGAGCTTGCATTTAGCACTGCATGGCTTTTTATTATCTTTCTCTATTATTCTTATTTCTTTGAATTTCGTGAACTTTCTTCACACTCTCATGCTTTTCAACTTCATCCATTACTTTTCTCTAATAGCTTGTATCCAATTCTTGAATTTCAGCCTCAAATTTTTCCTAATATCATTAAAAATAAAAATTAATTTTATCATTTATAATTTATATTTATTTGCTTTTAAATCAACATTTTTAATATTTAAGTATAAGTAAGTAATTTATTTACTTTCATTATTTTAAGTTCTTCATCATACTTCTTTTCAATATCTCTCTTCTTTTCTTGAAGTTATTCATAAGCTGTTTTATTGTGTTCCAAAGATTTTTAAAGTCTTTCTTGTAATTATTTAATTTGTTCATCCTTTTAGTTTGTTTAGTTATTCAAGGTTTGATTATTAAATTCTCCAATCAAAGACTAGTAATTATCAATAGTATTTTTGAGGTCATCTAAATCTTAGCGAGTGACTAATATTTCTTCTGCATTCTTTGGGTAACCTTCTTTCAGTCTCATACCTCTGGCATCTTTATCCTTTATTTATTTAAATATTAATTAGCTTATTTTTAAATTGAAAATAATATTTACTTTAATTTCGAAAAGCATAATGCATCCATCTCTACCAGCAGTTATTAAATATTTATCATCATAAGTGATTCTTAACTTTTCAATACCCTATTCATCATGAGCAGGGTAATCGTAAAATTTATTATTTGTGGGAGTTGTGAATAAAATGCATCTAACAGCACCAGAACTTCTTTACTCATCTGCAATACCAGCAAACATTATTTTATTAGTAGATGTGAAAGCTATTTAGTTTAATTAAACTTCTTAATTGATTTTTCTAGCCTATTAACTTGAGTCAAATATGAATCCTTAATGTAAAAATCTGTCACTACCACATGAATAAATCATTTAAGTATCCATATTAAGAGCAACACAACTCAATTAGATGCTCTTATGAGAGTTCTCATAAAGACGTAAATCTCCTGAATCATTATCAATACGCCAAATATACACCATACCATCAACACCGCAAGAAGCTAGTAGTGAATCATCCTTTGACCAAGCTAAACTTTTTACTCTACCAGTATGTCCTTTGAACACTAAAGAGGGCTAATTATTTAGAAGATTAAATTAAAAATGGGTTTTTTAAATGTTTTGAAAGTAGTAATTACTGGCTGTTCTCCTGTATAAAACCTGAAAACTTTGATTAACTATGAGCTTTGAGTACCATCAATTGCAGCAAAGTAATGACCTCCATTGCTAAATCTGACTTCTTTGCATTATTTGAATTAAGTAATTTCTTTGTAGTGTTTGCTTTTATTAGAATTTGAAGACTAATGCAAACAAATATTCATCCATCTTAACTTGTCATTAAGGCATACAATCATCTAATAAATTAATTCAAAAATTATTGAAATAATTGCAAGTATTAAATTTTTTCTAATTAAAAAGCTAATGAGTAATATTTATAAAAAAGTATAGTTTAATGTAACAAAAGCCACTATAATTATCATTTACTAAGCTAAAATATAAATAAAGAAATATTACATGTAAACCTGAAGGATGAAGTGCAATACAATATGCTTCTTCATTAAAAAGCCAAGAAAGTTCAAGAGTTTTCTCTTCATAATTCCAAACTTTAATAGTCTTGTCTTTACCACAAGTAGCTATTAAGGGCTTTCTGATACAAATATCCATTCCATTTATAGGTCCACTATGGAAAGCAAGAGAAACTTATTCAATTTATTCATCAGAATCACTTGAATATATAGAATCTCTTTTTAATTTAATTGAATATATTTAATTGTTGGAGAGAGAGCAAGCTATTTTATCTTCAGAATGAGGTGTAATGCTCAAACCAGTCACGTATAAATCTTTTAGGTCGCTGTATTACTTAAATAAAACTCTATTAACTTCTTCGTAACGATTCTTATCGTCGTTTGTAGCTCTATAAACATATATGCTAGAATCTTTAGCTCCTACAATAAAACCTTTAGAATAGGTATTAATACACTCTATTCTCCAAGATTGCTTGTTTATAAATACAGGTGATTATTTCAAAACCTCAATAAATTCAGCATTTTCATTACAAACAATAATTTCACCATTTGCTGTACAAACTATTAAATTATTGTCACATGTTAGCCATGTGTGGCAAGTATAATCCTAAGATAACTCTTAAGGAGCTCCATTTAATTGAGTGCAATGATTTTTTAAAGTGGCTTTATATTTTTCTCCTTTTTATTTTTCACCTTTCTATTTATCATCTGCCTGTCTATCACCTTCTTCTACGCTGTCTATTTTCTTAAAGCACTTAAATACCTAATTAAATATAAAATATGCTTAATTCATCAATTTCTAAATGATCAAAACTTATAGAAAAAACAACCATTTTATATTTATTCTATCACCAAAAAAAAACAAACAAAGAAATTAATTTCTTCTCAATTTCAATCAAAAGATTAATATCCTTCCATTTAATAGCTATTTTTTTTAAATTGCTTAATATAAACTCTGAGCTATCTTGAGAAAATTTTGATTGTTTTGATTAATTAAATTTAAAAATATTTGAGAAATTGAGTGGTGTGAACCACAATTTAAATTTGAGATTGCTTTTAATATTAATAATATAACTAATTTTTGAAATATCATTAAATTTTATAAATAAAATCATTTATAAGCAATCAGAATTATTAATGCTTTAAGTCTCTTGGCATGGATCAAGGAAAGCAATTTAAATGTTTTTTCTGAAATCATAAAAATTTTTTGAAACAAAGAAACGCTTATTTTGAAAATCAACCATGTTTCCAATTAAATCTTTTCATTCAACGGTTTTCTTTTTTTTCGTATTTTGAAATAAAATTTTGATTTTTTACCTTTCTTCCAATACAACTGAAGAATGATGTATCGTTTTTATTGATAGATATTTCGAATGCATCTATATTTGCTAAAGAAACTTGAACCCATGCTAAGATCTTACCACTACCTGATAAATTCCAGTAGCATGCAATAATTTCTCCTTCAATTTTATCACTACCTTACTATGCAGAGCTTTACTTTTCTTTAGAGTCTCTATCTTTAGACTCTTTATCTTTATGTCTTTCACTTAAACAATTTCCTGATAGAGACACTAAATGCTTAGCCTCTTACTGAGATGAAGGGAATGCTAAAGAAACCCAATATTTAATTTTCACCTCTTTGAAATTTAAAATATGTTTTTTACGCTATGTAATTGTATCATAAATCGCAATAGAAGGATTATCGAATTTTTCATTATCAAATTTCGCTCCTTTGAGTCCTACGGCAAGCCATCTTCTTAGAGGCGATAATTCGATACAAGAAATGCCTCTATAATCAGTTAATCCTTGGTAATAAACCTATGTTTTATCCTGAATATTATACTATACAATATTATAACCTGCAGGATAAATGATCTTTTCTTCATCTAAAAAGTATAAATTATTTTTAATGTTGGTATTGATACCAAACGCAAATTTCAACTAAATGTGCTAAGTATTTCCAATTGATGGTAGCTACATTCTTCAATAACTAAATTTATTTATATATCTTTTCTAATTATTTTTTACAGTTGCTTTATTGTTCCTTTTTTTACTGATATTAATGAAAAAAACCCGATCGATAATATTCTTAGATTTGTTACTTATCTTTATCAATCTTTATATCAATAAATAACTCTTTGATTATTTTCAATATAATTGTTAGCTTTCTACTATTTTTTATTGATTTATTTGTTTTTGATTTTAGAAAGTGAATCAACTAAGATGTCATCTTTCAAATAAATACCTTTCTTTTAAATATATCTTCCATTTAACTATTGATGAATTAGTTGGTAATTGCCTCACATTAATTTTTTTGCAAATAATTATTAATCTTATACCATATAAGATAAATAAATGATAATAAATTTAATTTTTTGCTTATCCTTTAAAATCTAAACATAAATTCAAAAATTAAAATTGAACTAACATTTTCCATTCATTTTGAAACTAACTTTTATTAATACTTATTTATTTTCCATAAAAAAATATTAACTATTTGGATTATATTCAAAATAATAAATTTATTATCTAGTTAATAATTAGCCTAGAGATTTTATAACAGTCTAAATCTATTTTTATTACTAAGAACTTAAAATTGTTAAAAATTAATCATTTCTAAGTATGTAATTTATAAAGTGTCCCTTTAGCTTTATTAAGTTACAATTAAAATTTTATTAAAAAAATAATTTTTTTTTTAAATTTCACTTCTTAATTTTTGATAAATTTTTTATATAGAATTATTGAATATTTTTTCATTCTTAAATATGTTTAATAAATATAAGGAGCCAAAAATTTTATCATAATTAATCTTAGAATTGTTATCTTATTAATTTAAAAAATAATATTTATTTTTTTAATCATTAAATAAATTTTTCTTATTTTAAAAATTTAAATAAATTAATTTCAATCGTAACATTATTCTTTGATTATTTACTTTTTAAAATTTTATTTTCTGTATTTGTTAATATTTTATGAATTAAATTTATCATTTTTTACAAAATTTTAGAACAAAAAAGTCTTTTATGTTTGAGGCGAAAAAAATAAATAATTATTTATTATTAAAAATAAAAAAATAACACATCAACAAAAGAAACATTTTATAAATAAAATTTATTTATAGGAGTAAAAAATCACATTAAAAATACTTATAAATGATTATATATATTATTACACTAAATCTTATCTTATAATAATTAAATTTTTAAGAGTAATATTTCATTAAATAAATAAATTTTAAATATGACCAAATAAATAATTATGTTGTAAAATCTTAATATTGTATTTATTTTTTTGCATATAAAATAAATTTCTAAGTTTTAATTATCTAAACCTAACTTAAAATTTTTTAATTTTATCTTCTGACTAATTAGAATTTCTTATATTACAATTTAATCGAATTCTGAAAATATAAAAATATCAAATAAATAATTTTATTGCAAAACTTCATACTTCTTTAAGTATTTTTAAATAAATTGAATGTTTTTTAGATATTTCATTAATCTAAATCAGATATTTATTATATCATCTTTACTTTAATCAAATAAATTTGCATTTATTAATAAAATTAATTGTAGATAGTAAATAAAAAAGAATACTTGAAAGTATTTAGCTGATAAATGTAAATAAAATAGCAGTTTATTAACTAGGAATATGATTCAATATATATCTAAATTTAGAAGGATATTTTATTCTTAGAACTAGTTATTTTCTGAAAAAGAAATAACTATGTTAATTAAAGTAAGTAACTTTAATATATATATCTCCTAATTGATAACAAAATTTATCATACTTCTATTAAATTTCTTCAATAATTCTTTTATTCTTTAGAAATATCTTTAAAACCTAATAATTAATATCAAAAAAAATATTACTTTATCAATTTGATGAAATAATTTGTAAGTTTATTATCTAAATAACATTATTAGATGTCTTCTCAAACAGGAAAAAACCTCATTGAAGAGCTTATTGCATAAAGTAAATACTGATTTTTTATCACACACATATTAAATTATTTTTAATCTTATTACAGATAAGCTTTCTAAGTAGGATTTGATCGATTATCTTTAGCAAGACTCTGCCAATTAGTCAGAAATATAACCAATTTTATCAAATAAAGTAAGCATTTCAAAAAAAATTTTGCACAAATTAATTTATTTTATTAGCCATAAAATAAATTTTTTAGCTCAAATGAATTGAGAGTTTAAGGAACTAAAATGCTTAACTTAATTGGTGATATTTATGACAATTTAGATTAGATACCAGTGTATCCTAACATAAAATTATATGACTTAAAATCACAAATATCTGAAGAGCCTCCTCAAGAAGGTTCATCATTTGATGAAATTTTAGAAGAAACTAAAAATAAATTTGTTCCTGCTATTACTCACTGGCAACATCCTAAATTCTTTGCATATTTCCCATCTTCAATCAGTCACCCTACAATCTTAGCCGATATGTTTGCTTCTACTTTCCATTCTCCTGCTTTCACATGGAATGCATCTCCAGCTCACACTGAATTAGAATACGTAGTTGTTGATTGGATTGCTAAAATGCTTGATCTTCCACCATAATATTAGCTCAAAAATTCAGGTGGTGGTGCTATTTCAGTCAGCACTTCAGATTCCTACCACCTAGCTGCTCACGCTGCTAAGCTAAGAAAGATAAATTAAATGAAGTTAGATCCTTTAAGTCCTGAAATCCTTAAATTTTCAAGGTAGAAAAAAAAATTATTGATTAAAAATTAAATATTATGAAGCAAATATTTTAGAATTTTTAAAAATGTTAATAAATTTTATTTTACAAGAAATATTTAAAAGCGAATAATTTAAATAAAATTTTCTATTTTATTGATAAGTTTATTTTAATATTTTAATAAGCTATGTCTTTGAACACACTTTCAATACAGTAGAAAAGGCTCTTAGAATAAAGGATATAAATTATATAAGAAATATTCCAGTATATTTTGATGAATAAAAAAAGAATTTCATTCCAGATATGGCTAAGCTTGAAGCTTAAATTGAAGAAGATGTAAAGAATGGCTTACATCCATTCTTCATTTCAGCTACATATGGAACTACTCCAACATGTGCTAATGATCCTTTCGATTAAATTATAGCTCTTTCTAAAAAATATGGAATGTGGTTGAATTTAGATTGTGCTTACGCTGGAACTACTTGGGTTTGTCCAGAATATCGTTCTTTGAGACCAGATAATCTACTTAATGAGGTTGATTCTTTATAAATTAACTTCGCAAAGCTTGGAATGGTTGGAAATGTTGGTACTCTTACTTATGTCTAAGATAAGAAGACTTTTACTTCTGCCTTTAAAAAGGATTAAGGTTTTGAAATTACTAAAAATGCATATTCAGGATCAGGAGATGCAGTTGATGCAAAAGATTGGATGATTGGTTTTGGTCGTAGATGGAATGCTCTTAAATTCTATTATAATTTGAAAGCGTTTGGAGTTAAAGGTTATTAAGAGCACATTAGGTAAAGTTAAATTTTTTCTGATTTTTTCTAAATCATTTTTTAAACTAAAAGATCTAAATCATAATTAGCCAAGAGATTCTAAGAATATATTGAAAAAAGCGATAGATTCGAATTATTCTCTGAGAATTTATACACTCTGGTTACTTTCAAATTGAAGACTTTCAAAGAAAATTAAAACCAAAACGACATTAATAAAAAACTTAAAGAGTTACTTGATAAAAACACCCTAGAAGGTTATGTTACACCAAGTAACATAGCAGGTATCTACTTCTTTAGATTTGTTGTCTGTAATCCAAATACCACAGAATAGCATGTTGATGAATTTTGGTAATACTTAAATAAATGCACAGATTAATTAATAAGAGAATATTAATGAAAATATTTTAAGTGGTATATTCTAAATAGAATAAATAAAATATATTTCATATTTCAAAAAATTGTAAAAATCCCTTTCAAATGTAAATTTAAAATAATTATTTTATAATTATATAAAAACTCTAGAAAAAATTAATTTAATAATTATTATTTAATTTTGATTATCATCTTTTTTCTAATACCATTATAAAATTTGAGGGAAAATTTAAGCTCTAATATACATATTTCATAATTTTATTCTCAGTAAAATGAATTTATTTGATAAATATATACCTTGTTTCTCATTAACTAAATCAATATTTTAGAAAATTTTTAAGAATGTCAATTTTATTTAGCTTCCCTTTTTATTTAAGAAAATAAAAATACTATTAACACCATATATATGAAGATATACTGTATATGCTTTGCAGATACTAAATTAGTTTCAGAAATTATTTTATTTAGTTTTATTAAACTTGAAATTTATTTGAATTATTTTAAATAGTTTCGTTTTTTTATAAACTTAAGATTGGATGCTGAATATAAACTATTAAATAGTAAAACTCTAAATTAATAATAAATTTAAATTTAACCATATTATCTTTATATTTATTTACATATTTTACTTATATTAAATTTTGTATTTATTTTATTTATAGTATTTAGTTAGTATTTTATGTTCTTTATATTAAATTTTTAAATTATAATTTTCATTAATAATTTTTAAGGTGGATAGGCCCTTCTGGATCCAAAGAATAGTTTCTTATTTGCTAAGAACCCTTGACAGTCTTGAGCTCGTCTTTACCTCCAGGATGAAGCCATATTTTTAATAATCTTTTTTATTCTTCTTAAGATTGTATTGCTTACAGTCTCTTTTCTATTGAGTATTAGTTTTATTCGTACTTTCCAGGACCAGGAACTGGAATTTAACTGCTTAAAGGAAAAATTTATTAACCAAATCTATCTCTATCATCCTTCATAAACATGTAAGAAGTATTTTAAGAGTTATCGTTTGTTGATTAGTAATTATTGCTCATTAATTCATTTCTCATAGATTCATACTCTTGCTCTTAATCAATATTTAAAGCCTTATTTAATCTACTTTTAATTCTATTTAGTTGACTTATATTTCTACTATCCTCCTCTTCATCAAGGTTTTCTTAAATTATTCCTTATTGTTGCATAGAAATCGAGCGAATTTTATTTATTTTTAGGTTATTTTCATATATTCTCTTTACTTCATAATCACCAGGACCAGGAGCATATTTATTCTTTTTCTTTAAATTTGCCATATCCTCTCTTTCCTTAACTTTAAAAGAAGATTAATAGGTTTACTTATATTTAACTGTATTTTTGAATTTCTTTTACTGAGGAGTTATTAGATCCTCATTTAATTCATACAAATTTTTCAAAAATTCCTTGTTAGCATCATTGATCCTTTCTATTATAGGTTTGTCTTCTTCTTTTGCCATTTTTTTAGCAAGTCTATCCATTTTTAATTTTTATAATTTCCCTTTATCTTGGTGAAGGATATTCATCTACCCTTCATTTTCTTATTAAAAATCTAAATTTTATTTTATCTTGGCTTCTCTTTCTTTTTCTATTTCTAACTAAATTTATGCATAATGATTTTTATGAGCAGGAATATGAATCCTAGTTGAAACAGGCTTTTTTTTTAATATGAATTTATTAACACTAGCTTCTGTACTAGCATCGCTATCTCTTGAATAAAATGAATGAGATCTTTGAGTTTTACTCAGACTAACATTACTAAATTTATCAGTTAAAAGCTGCATTATTTAATTGGGTTCCATTTAATTCAATCTAAATTCAGATTTACCAAAGCCAGGTTTATTTTAGCCAAATATTCTCTCTACAGGGATAGTTATTTGCTTGCTTGGTATAGATGTTGCATTTTAGAAAACTAGTTCATTCATTCTAACAAATAAATAAATAATTCACAAAATAAATTATTTTCAGTTATCAAGTTGTTTATAGCAAAAATATATTTAATCAATCAATAATTTGATAGTAAAATAATTACATAAAAACAAATACACAAAAAAAAAAAAATCAAAATAATAAATATATTTCGTTCGTTCAATTAATCAATTAACCAATAAACTTATTTGCATATTAGTATTTAATAATAATATCAATAATTTTTCTACCACAAAATTAATTTATTTAAATAATATCTTAATAGAATATTTTTTTCAACTAAATTATTTTTTACATAAAAATTTAACTAAGATTCATATATTTATTTATAGGCATTTTAAAGTTATTCAAACTAGCTTTTTTAATATCTTTAATAAAGAGCCTTGCAACTAATTCTATAAACTAAAAGTCTTTTAAACGGATTATTTATTAAAAATAAAAGGTTTCTGCACAGATGACGAAAATGGAGTTTAAGGAAGTAAGAAACTAGTTGAATATTTAAATTTACTTTTTCCTTATAATTAACTTTCTGAAGACTTGTCTTTCTACATACTTTTTTATATTTTTTTTAACGATTCCTTCATTTTAGAAGCTTTATCGGCTTCAGAAGTTTCTGTTCCTTTAGTTTTTTCTAATTTATCAAAATATTCTTAATTATTTTACTCAGACTTCTTAATGAATTTATAAAATATCGCAAAGAATATAAAACCAGGAGTTAGCAATATAGCACCAAGCTTCATAAAAGCTACTAAATCAAATGCTTAGGTGTCTTCCTATATTTTAGGTATTTATTTAAGATATTCTGTAATCTTTTCATTTTCAGGATCTATCTTCAAAATGGCTTCAACAACTACCCAGCTTAGTCGATGCTATTCCTTTTTAATTGAATATTCTAACTCTTTAAACAACTTTTCAAGCTTTAACTCTTTCTCTTTTTAAAGAGCCGCTTCATCTTTTTTAGTTTCCATTCACTGAATTTTCTACTTTCTATTTGTTTGTTTTTTTATATATTAATTTACTATTCAAATTTTGATAAAAGTATCTTTAAACAAACAAATATTTTTTTTAATTAAGAATGTTTTTTACTATTAATAAATCATAGTTAATAAAAAAATATCTTCTAAAAAGATTCACATATAAATTTTTTAATTCTTAAGTTAATTAGTCAATGCAGTAGTTAACTTCAATAATGACATTTAAAGAACAAAAAAAATAAAATAAATTATTTTATGTTTCAAATATTACAATAATTTTATAAATACAAATTGAGTTAGTATTATTCACTGATATTCAATATCTACCTTCATTCTTTTATTTAAAAAATTTTTAATAATTTATTCTTAAATTTAACAATCTACTTAAAATGATTTAGGCTCAGTTAGTTGGTTCAGTAGGTTGAGGTTCTGGGGTCTTTATTATAAAAAATATTTAATTAATTTAAAATAAATAAAATGATTTTTTATTTATCTAAATAAAAACAAAAAACTAATATTTTTATTAAAATTGATTTGATTTTTTCAAAAATTGAATAATATTTCAATTAAAATCTAACTATTTGAAGCTATTTAAAAAACATTAATAATAAATTTAAAAACAACTGGTTCAGGTTAAGGTTATGGCTCAGGCTTAGGTTCGGGAGTCTATTTAAATTAAATAAAATTTTAATGGTAATATAAAAAATTAATAAAATAGAAACATTAAGTGATATTTTTTATATTATTAAAACAAAATGATGATTTTAATTAATTATTTATTTAATAAAGATTATCATAATTATTTGTATATTTTTGTTATGATTTATCTTACTTTTATTGATAATATTATTACTTCATTTTAGTTAATCAATACTTATTTTGTTTCTATTATTTATGTTTGTAATTAAAAAATTACTGGTTCTGGCTTAGGTTCAGGAGTTGGTTCAGGTTAAGGCTCAGGAGTTGGTTCAGGTTTAGGCTCAGGAGTTGGTTCAGGTTTAGGTTCAGGAGTTGGTTCAGGCTTAGGTTCAGGAGTTGGTTCAGGTTGAGGCTCAGGAGTTGGTTCTGGCTTAGGTTCAGGTGTTGGCTCAGGCTTAGGTTCGGGAGTTGGTTCAGGTTTTGGTTCAGGAGTCTAAATAAATTGAAGTTTTATTATATAAATATCTTTTAATAGGGTGGGTTTGGTCGAAAAAAATAAATAAAATATTTAATTTGTGCTAATAGGTGTTTTTTTTTCATATTATTTAAAAAATTATTTTATTCATAAAAACGCCATGCCTTAAATATTGAAATATTTATTCAAAAGTTTTAATTTTTTAAAGTTAATGATTTTAAAATTTAATCAAAATAAATTTACTGGTTCTGGCTTAGGTTCAGGAGTAGGTTCAGGTTTAGGTTCAGGAGTAGGCTCTGGCTTAGGTTCAGGGGTAGGTTCTGGCTTAGGCTCAGGAGTAGGTTCTGGCTTAGGTTCAGGGGTTGGTTCAGGTTTTGGTTCAGGAGTAGGCTCTGGCTTAGGTTCAGGAGTAGGTTCTGGCTTAGGTTCAGGGGTAGGTTCTGGCTTAGGCTCAGGAGTAGGTTCTGGCTTAGGTTCAGGAGTTGGTTCTGGTTTAGGCTCAGGAGTTGGTTCAGGTTTAGGTTCAGGAGTCTATTTAAAATTTGAATTTTATTTAATTATTTTTATTGTTTAGATAAATATTTATTTGTAAAATAGAAATTGATATAGGATGATATAGTTATAATCTTATGAGTATGTTTTAATAAATATTGAATGAAATTATTTCGGATTTTTTGGTAATAGTAATAAAAATTACTGGTTCTGGTTTAGGTTCAGGAGTTGGTTCAGGCTTGGGCTCTGGAGTCTATTTAAAGTTAAATATTATTTTTAAATTATTTTTGAAGAAAATATTTTCCCATAAAATAAAAAATTTTAATAACTCTTTATTCCTAATAAAGCTAAACTTTGTTTTTAAATTAAAAGCTAAAAGCATTTTTAAACCATTTATTAATTGCTTATCATTCATGTAAAACCAAATGATTATCTAATATAATCATGCAATCTTCAAAGTTTAGAATTTTATAAAAATTTAAGTTTGTTTTTATAAATTTGTATCAATTAAATTGAATATGTAGCATTTCATAATAGAATAACTTTCTTTTGAATTCTATGAGTTATCAATTCTTTGCTTGCTCTTTAGAGTTTATTTAAAACGATTAACTTGATATAATTTATTAATTTATCTAGGTTCTCATTCTTTTTACATTGTTTATTAATCATTTATATTAAGATATATTAATATTTCTATTTTTAATTGCTTATGAATTTGCTTTTTATTGTACAGTTTATTTTATTATTTGATTCAAATTTTAAATAATTACTGGCTAAGGCTATTTTTATTTTATTAAAAATAATATTTTATTTTAGTAAAATATAAAAATAAATATTACTTGAGGTCCACGTACTACACCACGAACTGAATCATAGAAGCACTTAGCAAACTATATTAAATATTTAAGGTTAGAATAAGTAAATTGCTATTGAAAAAAATGTAAATACTTCAGAAGTCCATTATCTTTCCAAAACTTCAACTTTGTTAATTAAGTCTTATTAGGAAGTTTCTTTAGTGTTGATTAGATTTACCAAAACAACATCATTTTGATAGTTAGTTTCAGCAAAGATAGATGATTCTAATTCTCTATAGTAAATGTCGTTACATTTATTTTAGAGGTATCTAATCTTAATTTCTTTGAAGTTTTAATTGGTAATAGACAATGGGACATATGAGTTGTATAATCTGATTAGATTCTTGGAAGTATTTTGAACGCAAACCCAATATTCATTGTCGTTTGTATTCTCTAATTAATTATTTAAATAAAATTGTTGATATTGCTCCTTTATTATATTATAATATCTATCTATGAATATTTTACTTTGAGCTATATTGTTGGCTTCAAGTTCAATTCTCTTCAAATTAGGGTTTTAAGAAAGGAATTTATTGAAGGAGTCAAGTTATGCGCTTTAAGATTTTAAGTAAATACAGTTGCAACCATCTTATCTTAAATGTTCGTCTAACCATTGGTAGTTAGTATTAGTAATAAGAGGGGTGTAATTTGAAACTGGAGCAGCAGCTAATTCAGGGTGGCATTTAACTAAAGACTGTTACACGCATGTGTAATATTTTTTATGTGATTCACCATAATTAAGGCAGTTGTAGAGACTATTTTATATTTATTGATATTTTTAGTATATTGATTGATTCAACAATTTTCTGTATTTTCAAGAGTACACAATAAAACATAAATGTTTAAGTTTTATTGATATCAAAAATGCTAATAGAAATTTTTTTGAAGTTGCAGTCATAGATAATTAAAAACTATTAGTAAATTATGAATATTACTCATTGTATTCTGCTGCAGATTAATGCTTTTGGTGTTTTCTAACAATTCCGTCAAAAACGAATCTAGGAATATCTTAAGCTTCGTCATGACAATCTCTATTATGCATTTATCTAGCCAAACATAATTTTTTGACTGAAGAAGAACCCTAATCACCAGATTCAGAGGTTCTCAAGTTACCTGAAAAATTGTCATGTTTCAATTTTGCATTACTAAATGTAACTGCTAGAAGAAGCAGACATAGAAGTAAAAAATTAGATTTCATACTTTTCTAACTAATACTGTTTAAAATTAAAAAGATTTGTTATTTTATTTTTTTATTAATTGAAAATACAGAGGATAATATTTAATAGATATGCTTAGATAAACAAATGCGAATCAAGGAAAAGTTTTCTCAAATATTTTTAATAATGCTTGCAACGATTAATTCAAATAAATTAATCAATAAAATTTCATTTAAAGAAAAATCAAAATCTATTGCCAAAATAAAGGGGAAAAATTAACAAATACAAGTAAAAAAGGTTCAAGCTATCTTTATTACCGCTAATTTTAATAAATAAATGTTGAATTCAAAAAGTTTATAGTTTGTTAACTATTAAATATATTAAAATAATATCTGACTAAAATGTATTATTTTTCTTAAGTCATTATCTAAATAAAAATCAAAGCCAGTAAAATATTGATTTTTAGTATTAAAATATATTTTAAATTTTATTAGTATTTATATAGAATATTATTACTTTTGATTTTTTTTGTTATATCATAAACCAAATAAATAAATAAACATATTTCATTAACTAAAACAAGATTTTTTGATTAAATAAAACTCAAAGAAAGATCTAATTAATTTCTAGTGATATATTTTTTATCAAATATTTATATTAAATCTTAGATCATATCAATATCTAATTTTATTTCGATGATAATTAATTACTGATAAAAATTTAATTTTTTTACAAAAATCAAATATCCTTGATTTTTATTGATTACTCACCCAAAAAAACAAATGCTTTTAAAACGAAATAATTTACTAAAATTAAAAATTTTTCTTATTTATCTAATTTATTATTTAAAGTATTAAAATTTTTATTTTTAATATAGAGATATTTACTTGTCTATTCACTCAAGTAGGAGCCAATCCATTAAATTAAAAGTGCTCCTTTTTCAATTTATATTTAAAATTAATAAATAAGTAAAAAACAACTCTACTTTTTTATTTAGAAGAAAATATAAATCTTTATAAATTAATATCAACCATCCTCATGATAAATATTATTTTATTTTTTTCTAAGGTAATTTATGAATAGAAAAATATAGTTTTTTTTGGGGATTACTCATTCAAAGTAGAATTTATTTCATTGGTTGTAAATTTTTTGTAACTTAGGAAAGCATTCAATATTTTTGATTCTCTAATTTATTTCATATTTTTTAAATAAGATTTTAGAAATTAAAAATTAAAAAATTTAATAATCTTTTAGCTATTGATTTAGCAAATTTTAAATTTTCTATTTTTTATTTTTTAAAGTCTTTATGATTAAAAAAGAAAAATAATTTTTCTAATTCTGAAATCCTAGCTTTTTCTTTTTTACTCTATTTTACTCCTAATTATAAAGATAAATTTATTTGCTAAATTCTAAAATAAGAAAATTATTTAATTTATTTTTTTGAGTTTCATATTAAAAATTTTTTAACAAAAAGAATTTGTAAACTATTCAAAGTAAAGCCTCATTTTTCATAGAAAGAAATTTCGAATTTAAAAAAATTTATAAAAGGAAAAACAATTTTTTAATAAAATACTAAAAAACTTAAAATTAAAAATTTATCATTTTTATAAACATTTGTGAAGCTTTATTTATTTTTGAGAGATTTTAATCAGATTTTAAATTATTTGCTTTAAAGATTGACATAATATCTATTATACAATTTAAAAACTAATCTAAATTTTATTACTATGTAATAAGATTTTATTTTTTGTATCTACTTAGATAAATGAAAATCAATAAAAAAAGTAAGATTGATTATATATGTGAATGAAGTAAATTTGAAACTTTTGATAATAAAAATTTTAAAAATAAACTCTATTTTAATAAATTTGATTATATAATTATTTTTTATAAAGTGAAACGTATGTTTACATGAAGTAAATTAATTGAGATTTTTAAGATGAAAATATATTTTTTAAAGTAATATAGAAAAGAAATTATGTGAGGAATTAATTTATTTTAATTTATGTTTAAGTTATTAGTAATTTTTTAATTATAATCGAGTTAAATTTAAAAATTATTACAGATCATTACTAATTGTATTGCTAATTTTAGTAGGGATCTTAGAATTATTATTATTGAAATTAAATATTATCTTTTAATTACATTTTTTATACTTATTGAGAGTTTTGTTACTATTCTTAGAAATTTTAAGTTTTTTAAAATTGTTAATTCATTATGAATTTTTCTCTCTTTTTCAGTACATATAGCTTTTCATTTAATACTTTTATTTTTTCATTTATGGTAATAAGCTCTTTTCGGATCTCACTTTTTTTCTTCGAATTTTCTTCATTCTAAATTAAAAAATAAATGTATAAAATATTTCTGAATATAAAATTAATTTACTCTAGATTCAGTTAGAAGGACTTCATATCTCTAATTAAGAAGTTTCAATTCGCTTTCTGCTTCAAATATATCTCTAATTAGCTCTTATCCTATTTAATTTGATGGATAATCTTGATTAAATTCGTCATCAGCAGTATTATTTAGATTATCTGCACTATTTTTATGCAACTTAATAATTTGATTCTGTTACTAAGCATGCTAAGACTAGTTTTATGATTTACTTCTTTTGTTTGCAAGAGCTAAAGCTTACTTTTTATATTCTAGTTCTTTATTTATTGCATCACTGTATTAAAGGTAACTAGAAGCTTACATTTACTAGTATTTTTAATTGATTCTTTCATTTTAATTCTATCTCAAATTATACATATCTTAATTTTAAGATAATAATTAAAACTATTACTAACTATTATTGTTCATATTGTGATAACTCATTTAATTGTTTTAAATGCTATCTATTTACTGCTAATCTGTAACTTGAATCCTTTAAAATTCTTTAGAATTATTGCTTAATTAATTTCTACTTACGTTGTTTGAAATGGAGTTTTAATTTTTAAAATCTGGACTTTACTAATGATATTAATTTTAATTATGATAAGGATTGTAAAAAGGTGAAATACTACCAATTTATTACATATTTTAAGGAGACCCAATTACATCATTTTCATGAGAGCTGTTAGGTAACATAAAAGAATACTAATTCACATTTTATCCATTTTAGAATTATTTTGTTATTTGGAGAGATGAAGAAATAACTTCATTATTTTTAGACCTTTTCCTTAAAGGAGAGTCTAGAGATATTATTTAATTTTAAATTTTTGAATAAAGATTAGGAGAATTTTTGCTATTAATCCTTGATTGTGTCTACAGTTCATCATAATCAAAATTAAGCAAATCGCTTTCTTCTTGTAGAGAAAAGTTTTCTATTTCATTTACTTAATTTGAAATAGCTCTTTGATGTTGGCTTTATAGAGGTTGCTAATACAGCTACATTTGCTAATTATTGCTTTAAAAGTTATTTAATTTAATAAAATTTTGCATATTTTTTTATATATTTTGTTAAATAGTGTTCTACTATTAAATATTAAGCTAATTTTAAGGAATTGACAATTCATTATTAATTATATTAGCTTATTGCTTCGGATATGTATTTGTCAACGTTTATTTTGGATTTAAGTATTTCTCTAGTTCACTATGCGAATTATTTTCTTACACTGAGTTGAAATTTTGGTTATATTATTAATAGATTTAGTTTTGCTGATATTCATTACTAGTTATCGAATTAGCATCATTAGCAATAGCATTATTTTAGTTTAGTCTTTGGTTATTTTAAAGGACACTTTAATTATTAATTAATTTATTATTCGAACTAGGTGAATTAATACTTTAATTAAATTAATCTATTTACTTTTAAAGTTTATTTTTTTACATTTCTTTTATCTCATTTCTAAGCTGCTTTTCTACTTATCGTTAATTGTTTAGTTCTGATTCTAATTATTACAATTTAGACTCATAATTCTATTTTATTTTATCTTCTATCTTATCAAGATATTCTTTTTACTCTCTTATTTGATCTTTAAGCAAATCCACGTGTCCTTAATTATATTATATTCTGTACTCATCAAATTCTTTTTCTCTTATTTAGAGCTTGTGATCCAGAGCTTTGTTCTAGGCAAGAAGAGTTTCTATTTCCTCAGAACTCTTAACACATAAACCTTTCAGTTCATTATGTTAACTTTTTTCATCATCAAAATCTCTTTGCAATTGTTCGATTCTCTTTGCTTCTATCAATTAATGCTCTTGGTGAAGTAACTACCATTTTTATTAAGTTTCGTTTATTTCAATTTAAAGCTAATGATTTCTTTCTATTTCTTCCTACAGTTGTGTGCTAAGCTAAGATTATTTTTATATGTGAGATTCAATTATAGCATTTCTTTCTGAGTTACCCTTTAGCCACTCTTCTCTTTATTACTAGAATTCCTTTTCTCTTTCATTTATTACATTTTTATATTGCTAAATCTCATTTAATAAATGACCTATCTATTCTTCAAGGATTATGTTTTTATTATTTAAATTTTCTATAATCTCACTACTCTCTTCAAGACTCTATTAAAATTAACTCTCAACATGCAATCTTATTTCATTTTCACTCTTCAGAGAAAGCTACTTCTCGAGCTCTTTGATTCTCTCTTGAAGAGCTCTCATTGCTTGCAAGTAAGCTTTGCTTTCTTGTATGCTTCTTTCGTCCTTCAAGCCAAAAACACCAAAAGCACTTTTGTTCTTTAAGCTATCGCTTGTTTAATTAAGGACAGATTGATGATTTAAATTATTCATTAAATATTTCTAAGAACTATTTTAAAAATTATTTATCTGTGTATATGCAGCACTTTAATTATTTGCCAGACCTGAAATAGAATTATTATTGGCGTTTAATAGGTTATTTTAAGATTAAATTGTAGTAAATTATAAAATTCCACTCTGATTCTGTGAATTATTAGAATTCAAAGCACTTGATTTAGAATTTTGAATGTTTTTTCCTTTTAAAGGAGGAGAAGTTCTTTTTGCCAAAATAGCACCAAAATTAGGAGGATCTTCTTCTCTGCTGCTATTCATCTTTTAGTTATAGACTTTAGAAAGATACTAATCAACTTAAACCATCTCGCTCTAGTAGTTAAGCTCATCTTAATTTTTTATCTTTGCTAATAATTTTATTGTGCTTGCATTCTGTTTTTAATTAGGACTTAGCTCATTTTTAAAGAATAATTTATTGTTATTTTAGCTAAGCTAATATTTATTAAAGCTCAAAGGCTAGCTAATCAAATTAGTATTATTAAAGTTAATATTATTACTGAGGCTATACTAATTTTCATCACCCTTAATGCTGTCTATATTATTTCTATTTATATTTAATCTACTATTGCTAACACTTGAGTGACTACTATTATTTGTATTATTGCCATTTTAAATAAAGCTACTTGTTTAAGGTCCTGTATATAGATGATTTTTGTTTGGTAATATGTTAGATGGAGTAAAAGGATTTGTTAAATTATTCTATTATAAAACACTACTGCTGTTACTTGGAGTTATTTAAGATGATCTAGCAGATCCTGTAACTGGGCACTATTTACCCATAATACTAATTTTTGTCTAAAATCTGGAAACAGGTGAAATATTACTAAAATAAGGATGTTAATCAGTTTTCATTTCAGTGTGTGGCAAAGAGCTTAGATTGCTATTGTTCTAAGGAAAATTCAAATTCATCAAGTTATATGGAGTACCTTAGAAATAATAATTATTTTTAATAAAATGAAATAATTGCTCAAATAAATCTAAATGCTAACTTAAAATATTTTTTTTTAATATTTAATTTTATCAAATTAATTACCTTCTATTTACTGCAATAACTACTCATTATTATCCTTATAATTGCTCGCAAGTAATGGAGAAGGATTTTCTAGTGTTTAAAAAATAGGATAATTTTACTTTTGGTCTATACAATTCATGATTTGTGAAATTTCAGTTAGTTTTGTAGTATTTAAGTTAGAGTTGTTTTACGTTTTATGATTAATCAGATAGTCATTCATATATTCCTAATCATTCAAACTCATGCTCTTAAGAAAATAGTTAATATAAAAATTAATATATTAAAAATGAAATTCGCGATATTTTTTGAATCAAAAGTGATTGTCTCCTAATTCTTTATTGAGAAGGCTAAATAAATATATCTTTTTTAACTTTCTGGTGTGCTTTTATTTTATAAATTAGTATTAAAATTAACTGTATGTTTATTTTGTGAATCCGCAATATCTTAGTTACTTGATTTTATTAAAAGCTAAATTGATTATTAGCATTAATAAATATTAATAAAAATTTGAGTAATTTTTAAAAAAAACAAACATTCAAATCTTCTTTTTATTTTTAAACTGAGTTCTATCTAGTTTTAATGGTAGAAAGTTCAAAAATAAAAAGAAAAAAAAGCTGTTAATTTATATGGATTTATTTATTCAAAAAAAAAAAATGACAAATAATGAAAAATTAAAACATAAAAAATTAACTTATTTTTATTCTCTTCCAATAAAAATTCATTTGTGTCTTTCTAAATTCCATTCCAACTTTCAAAATAAAAATAAATATTCAAACATTTTAGTTGCCAATTTATTTTTGATAAGTTTTAAAATTTGATTAAATTTAAAGAAAATTAATTTTTTTATTGAAAATAAAATAATGAAATAATAATTGTTAAATAAAAGAAAAGTTGAAAAAATGATTTTAAATTATTAACCAAAAAGAAATTAGCTAAAAATGCTATCCATGCTCAAAGAAGAAATTGTTAATAGTTAGACTAATTGCTTGATGGTCAAACTAAAGAATAGTTGAAAAGGATCAAAATAAACAAATAATCAAATAACTTGAATAAGGATTAAAAATTATATGCAAATTACTAAATAAATAAAGGGTTTTTCATAGATTTTAATATAAAGTGTTTAATAGATTGAAAGAGATCTTGAATTATATAATGCAGATTCTTCATTAAATTTATAAAGAAAATGATAAGCTCAAGCTGGTTGGCTGATAGCTACAAAATTAGATTGGAATGAAGAAAGATAAATTATCAAAAGATAGACTGAACATATCAAAAACAAAAGAATAAAAGATTAATAAAATATAAGATAAAACAAATCAAACAAAAATATTAACAAAATTTAATTATAAATATCATAAACAAATAAGTAGAGATGGCTAAAGATTTCAAATCAGCTGCTAATAACGCTGGTCCTAGAAAGGACTTCAGACAAGGTGGTGGTAACGCTGGTGGCAGAGGCGGATTCAATAAAGGTGGTAACTTCAGAGGAAATAATAACCGTGACATGGGTCCCCCTGAAAGAGTTGAACCCGTTTGCGTATTCTCCCACACTTGCGGTGATTAAATCGTAGTAAAGGCAACCGATGTCAAGAAGGTCCCCAAATTCAACAGAGGTATTTACCTTGAAAATAAAACTAAAGTCGGAACTGTCGACGAAATTCTTGGACCTATTGATGGTTTCTACTATTCTATTAAGCTTGTTGAAGGTGTTTCTGCTGATTCCTACAAGCCTGGTGATAAGTTCTATATGGGTTGGGACGATACCCTCCCTATTGACAGATTCCTTCCCAAGCCCAAAGGTGCCGGTGGTCCCAGAAGAGGTCCTGGAGGTATCCAAAAGGGAGGCCCTGGTGGTAGAGGTGGTTTCCAAAAGGGAGGCTTCAACAACAATAATAATAAAGGTGGTTTCAATAAGGGTGGATTCAATAAAGGAGGATTCAACAAGGGAGGTAATGCTGGTGGTTTCAAGAAGAACTTCAAGAATTGAAAGATTTGAAAATTGATATAGGATAAATAAATACTCACACTAAAAAGAGAACTGGATAAATAGATAGATAAAGAGAGAGAAAGATAGATATATAGAAAGATAGACAGATATAAACATATATATTAAACACATTCATATTATATTTAATATACTAATTAAGTATTTATTAATTTATAAAATTATCAATAATCAAACAATCATTTAAGAAATTAAAATTAAACTAATTTCTTTGATCTTATGCATTATTCGTATATTTTCCTTTTTATGTTCATGTCGTTAATCCTACTATTATCCCTTATTATTAAAATCATATTCAATATGTCATTTGATTGATAATAAAAACTTATGCATCAAAAGTAATAATTTATGCAGCATTTAAGTAATAATGTATGCAGCAGTTAAGTAAAATATCATTAAAATTATTTTATCAAACTAAAAAATATTTATTTACATAAGATTTAGTTCATAGTAATTCAAGTTATTCAAATCGTTTAATCCCTTACTTATATTCAAAGCATCTTCATCTTTTATTTAAGTTTGCCTTCAAATAACAATTAGGTTTTAATTTTTTATCTATGTATTTTAAAATTTATGATTACTTCAGACTTAATATCAGTGTTTTCAACCGAGTACAATTCTTTATTGCTTCATTTAGATACAAAACATATTTTATTTGGTTTTTGCTTTTTTCAAAAAAATTTTTGAATTTATTTTATTTAAAAAATTTTTTAATACTCCAAATTAATTTTTAAAAATGTTAGATTCTGAATTTGAGAAATCCCTTTTATACAGTCAACTCCTTATAAAGTTATTTTATTGAAACTAAATGCAAAAAAGAAATATTTTAAATATGTATTGTAAAAAATATTTAATTTTTACCTTAAATCAATACATAATTTATTTAAATGGCTAAGTTTTTAAAAAGCTTTAAACAGACTTTCTACTCCTAAATTTTCAATCTTGTTTGACCTTAATTAAATTTTGAAAAATTTAAAAAAAATAAAATTAGTTTAATTTTAGTTACGATAAATTAAGCTACAATTGATCTATCTAATACAATTTCTCTAAGTTTATTGAAGATGATTACAATTATTAATCATCAATATCATCTTGACTTTAATAATAGTTTTTATTAGAAATATAATCTTTTTATAAATAATTTTACTTTAAATTTAATTTTAGTTTCTTTAAGTTTTTAAATGATAATAAGCCTTGAGTAATCTTGCTAACTCCTAAGCTTTCTATCTCTTTACCTCTAAAAGTATAAATAGAGTAAAATTTAAATCAACACAAAAATATTTTATTGATATTAATTTTAATCTATTTAATTAATAAATTATTTTAAAAGCATTAATTATTACTTCATACTAATTAGAAGTTCTTCTATTGTTTCAAATTTAAGAATTCCTAAATTTAACTATTATAAATTGTAAGCTTCACTATTTTTTTAACTTAAAAATTTTTATTTTTAATTATATAATAAATCTAATTAACTATTTATTATATTACAGCAAATATGTAGACACTTTTTTTAAACTTTTAGATTTCGATATTCCCTTGAAAATTAAAAACTCACCTTCAACATCAAAATTATTCCATCTAATTTATATTAATTATAAATTTAAACCTAAGTTAATGCTTTAATTTGAAACCTTAAATCTATTTTAAGATTTGTTAAATGTTAACTGCTTGAGATTAACTCTGCCAATTGAGTTAACCCTTTATTAGTTATCCTATTAGATCTATTTTTTATGAACTTAAATTAATATTAAATTTTAAGCATTAATTTATCCAATTACAATAAATTAATATTTATATCAGCTATTTTTTTGCATTCTAATAATCCTTAGAATATTTTAGTTACTCCAACATCCCCAATATTACTCCATCTTTTTAATTTATTTATAAAGTTATTTTGTGAAAAGTTCTTTTTTTATTTACTTCATATTTAACAAAATATGCTCTAAGTTTTTTAATTAAGAAATAGCTTATCCTATTCTATATGCTCCTTCGTCATTTATATAGTTGGATCTTTGGTTAATTAAATATTATAATATTTTATCATTTTGAAGTTAATGCTTTATAATTTAATTCTTTTTAGTTAAAAATTGTTTATCATTAACATTTTAAATATTAACAAAGTTAGAAAAGAAATATTTAATAAAAAATTTATTAAAGATTACTGAATAAAAAGAGTTAAAAATCTAATTCCAGGACATTTTTAGATTGATTAAGCTAAATTTGAGGCTCCTTCTTACTAAAAGTTGTTAGCTCTTTAAATTAAATAATTGTTTTATTTCTAAAAATTTTTTGAATAAACTCACTGTAAATATAAGTTAAGCAACTAAATATTTTTGCATAGCTCAAATGATTAACTTATTTCTTAAATACTGCTAGAATCAAGATTATTATTTCTTTAATATAAATTACACTTAATGTTATAAATATTTTTTTTAAATCTACTTCAATTAAAGGTTTAAATTAGTTAAATTTTAACATTATGATAAAGCTTTTCCAAGTTATTGGCTTCCATACCATCCAATTTATGCGTTTCTTTTGTTTTATTGAAAAAAATTAAAAAAAATATTTCATTAAACAAGGCATGGCTAAAATTTAAGAATATCGAATCAAAAAGCATTTTTATTGTTAATGTTATTATTTTATTTTAAATATTTAAATTTTAAATTGATTTTACTTAAAATTTAATTATAAATTAGTTAAAAAGCGGCATTATGAAAAAGCAAAGGTAAGATTAAATATGGCCTCATCTCCAACACTAATTCCACTTTAATTTAAAAATATTTATGCTTGATAGTCAATAAAAAATCTTAATACTTTAAATCAACAATAATTTCTTTAAGATTTTTAGCATTTATTATTCCTTATGATATTTTACATGCAATTAATTGATTAACTTAAGCGATTTCACTAATAAATTAATTATTATTTAAATAAATAATTTTTTAAACTTGATTAATTATATCTACCCAAAGTACAGTTTTAACGACTATAAAGCTTGTGGCTATTTAGCAAAATATTTACTTAATTCTGTTAGATATTCTTCTATTATTAAGTGTTCTTTACTAAATTTTATCAATAAATTCTTTAAAAATTAAAAAAAAGCTTAGCAAAATAAGTTACCGAAGATCAATTAAAAGCCACTCTAAATCCTAATTTTTTAGTAATTCAACCTATTTTTAAATAAATGTCCAATAATATTTTGTTTAATATTTAAATTACTTATGATAATTTTTTGATAATCATTCTATTTCTAAAATCTAAATAAGTCTTTACTTTATAAAAATAAATTATTTAAAAATTAATAATTATTATTCTTTGAAATTTATTATATCAAAATTTTTTTCATTTAAAAAATTTGAATGATAAATATTGACTAATTTTTTTTTCTGATCAATTATTTCTGAATTAATTAAAAAAGATTATAATTTTTACTAATCTTATTATGAAATTTAAGTATTTTTTTATGATAAATTAGATTGCTTTTGAGATAGACAATCTAAATTTTATATTTATTATGGCTATTTAGATTTTAGAAAAGAAATTTTTTTATCAGATTTCGATTCCTAAATCAATTGGGAAATTTAATAAATATTTTTACTCAGATATTTCTTACCTCTTCAGAAATTTATTAAAAGTATCTAGAAGCAATTAATTACACCATAAGATCAAACTCCTTAAAGAATTAGTTTTAAGAATTTTTATCTATCTTATATTGCCTTAAAATTAATAAGATAAAATTTTTGATATGTTAGGTTGAGGTATGTTTAGTAATACATTCTACATAATATATAATGTAGTATTATTATTTTATAAAATAGTCAATAAATTTTACTAAATTTCAAAATATTTAGAAAATATATCAAATTATTTTAAGAAATGTTTTAATTCATAATAATTATTATTATTTTAGTTGCTAATAATATATTTGTATATAATGTTAACAAAAATTATACTGAAGCACCATGCAAAGTATTTTTGAAAAATTTAAATGAATATGAATGAACCTTTAAAAATTAAATCAAACTATTTTATATTTTTTTAATAAAAAAATGTTGAATTTAAATCTAATATTTTTTTGACTAACAAATAAATAATATCTCTAGTCAAGAAAAAATATTTTAATGAAGTTAATATTTAAATAGAATCAAAAATATTACAATAAAAACTTCTTTTTAGTTATTATAAAATTCAATTAAATGAAAAAATAATCTATATTTTATGGAAAATTAATTAAATAATAAATAGCAAGTATTTAAATTTGTTTGCTTGTTTGTTTGTAAAAAAGATTTTCAATTAAAAAATTTTTAATCATTCATTATTTTATTTAGTTATTTAGTTTATGATTTAAGTATAATTTATCTGTAAACGAAAAATTTGTAGTCTTCAGCTTTTGTAAAAGAACTTCATTTAAAAATCATGTTTGATAGATATTTTAAATCATAGATAGATTTTTTGATATAGAAATCATAAATTATTATTAATAAGTAATTTACTCATTTATAGGAGAAATGAATTGAGTTTTTATCTATCAAAATTTCTTTTTCAAGCAAAAAAATTTATATCAAAAAAAACTTCAAAAAACATAAGTATTAATAATTATAAGAAAAAATGGGATTTTGTTCATTTTCTAGATGTGAAATTTTCTGCAATAACTTAAACCCTTTTAGTAACAAAAAAAATAATTAAAACAAGTAACTTCCTAATTATGCTAATAATTTTTAAAGACTATAATCAAGCGATGAAGGTATAATGAGGTAGAGCTTTGATGATCAGTAGGAAGAGTAGAAAAATTAATTTTCAGCAGAACTAAGTTTTAATAACTTTGAAGAAGAAAAAAAATAAGAAACTAATATGTAAAATGATATACCTCCTGTAAATGAGGGTGAATTGCTTTCTTAAGAATTATATTAGTCGTTTTAAAATACACAACTAGCTGATTTGAGCAAATTTGTTGAAAGGGCATTTGATCCTACTATAAATCTAAAAGAATATTATAATCAGGTGCAAATAAACCAATCTAATTAGCCTTCTAAAAGAGGTAAATCTGAGTATAGGCTAATTACCTTCTTTATTAACTCAGTAAAATATCATTTGCATGCATATAAAATTTTATTAGGTAAATAATATGTTGATGAATATAAAAAATTCAAAACTCTTAAAGATTTGCATTAACAAAATGATTAAAATGCAAAAGAAATTAGCATCAAAAGTATATCTTAAGATGATTGCATCATACACTACTTTTTATTGAAATAATAATGAAAATTTAAGTTTATATTAAAAGTATCAAACTTAAAATGATCTAATTTTAATGTAATAAAAGAACATAACTTTCATATTATATATAAAATGTAATTATAATTAAATAATTTATTTATTTTGTTAGCTACTTCTTCTAAAAAATCTAATTTAAAATATTTTAAAAAAATGTTTTAACCTAACATTATGATGACAAATAAAATAATAGTTCTTTAAAATAAAACTACTTTGTAAAGTAAGAATATTTATTAAGCTGAAATTGAGTTAAGCTATTTTCAAACTTAGGAACAAGATATATGATAAATTAATTTGAAAATAACCTTTATTTATTATTTCCTTTAAATTTGTTGATGAAATCTTAACTAAATAAAGGTGAAAAAAAAGTAAAAAATAAATATTAAATTTTGAATACTGATTAATTCTTTGAATAAATTCAATTTTTAAGTAAATCAGTTTTTAAAAAAAAATATTCTAATTTATTTAAATTACATTTAATATAAATTATAAATATATTAGAAACAAATATTTTTATGAATTAATTATGCTGGTTGAAGAAAGATTAATATAAATTAAAATAATACTATGAGAAAAAGTTCGTTTTTAATTAAGATAAAGTGTTTAAATAATTAAAAAAAAATCTAGTGTTTTTCTTTATAAGATTAGTATATTTAATAATACATAATAAAAAAATATTCAATAAGTTGCTTACTAATTATCCCAATATACATTTTAAATGGTAAAGTTAGATATAACAGAAATTAATTTTTGAAATTGTTAACTTAATAAAGTATATTCATTCATTCTAAGAAAACAAAGATTATAAAATCTTAAAATTATTATTTATGTAAAAAATAAGTCGAAGAGCCAAAAAAAACGGTATTTTATAAATTGTATAAAATTTGAATTCAATTTTTATATGATTAAGATCAACTAATATAAATATAAATCAATAGATAATTATCAATATGACTAAGCTTATTAGTTTATTTTTTAAGATTTTATAGGTTAGTTTTTCTTTTGAAGAAGGCATTATTTTAGGAGTTAATTATTTGATTTCTTAATTATATTATTATGTAATTTTTCATACTGATTAGTTAGTTAGTACAAAATTCATACTGATACACACACATAAGATTGTTTATTAAAAATTGTTATTAAACAAGAAATACAATTTTATACAACTATTTAATTATTTTTTATTGAAATATTTATTTATGTAATATTAAATGTGAGGGAAGTACATTAAAACGTTTGAAAATCATAAAATTAGTACTTTTTCTTCTTAATTGCTACATTTAAAATTAATATTTTAACATTTTTTGATTAAAATATTAAACATCTTTTTATCAACTTCTACTAGTTTTTGGTTTTAATTATGAATAAATTAATCGTAATATATAAATAAATAAATTAGTAAGTTTTGTAATAAATATAATCATTAAATAGTTTTTAATTGATTTATCACTTTTTTCTCTCTATTCTGATAATTTGTTTTGAAAATTTATATTCTAACTTAGATTTATTTCAAATCATGCAACAAATAAATTAATTAATATTCCTTTAATTTTACAATTCCTTAATTTTCTTATCTAAATTATAAACAAAACTTATTATGTAATTAAATGAAAATCAATAATTTTCATTATTTAGATAAATATTAGAATACCAGAAAATATATTTTTTTATATTATAAGAATTACTTATTTACTTATCTGTTGCTCATTTCAAGCTTTTATTAATAATTATGTATTTAATTATTCGTGGATTATAGTAAATAAATTATTTTCATATGCTTCAGTTAATTATTATGCAGTTGTATTAGTTTAATTACTGTTAACAGAAAATGTATTATTTTAGTTATTGTTATTAGTCAAGTTTACAAACGAATCTACTTATCCTTGCTGTATGATAGTTTGTTCATTCATTGTTATGATTTAATTATTTTCATATACTTAAGTGACTGATGAAGTTGTTGTTGCTGTTATTGTAGTTTTTGTATTGTTATTAGAAGAGTTATTATTTTCATTATTATTTAGATTGTGGTTATTATTGTTCAAAACTATTTAAGTGTGTTCTTATCCATTATTTGTTACAATATTCTAATTATATACCTGAGTAACTTTATCTTGAATGATAGATTTAGTAGAGTTGTTATTGTGTGATTGTTATAAACTTTCATAGCTTTCAGTACATGAAGTAATTCTTCTTGAGTTGTGTTCTTCACCTTAATTAACGAAACTTAATTATGAAGTTGGATCCAAAATACTTTTGTATGGTGTATCAGTTTAATTTTATTACCCACCAGTTTCTGTAGTTTATTCATCATTAGATTATCCATTATTACTGAAGCAGCCACATAGATACTTTATCACAAAAGTGTAGAATACAGATTTCTTTTTCTATTGTTTGGAATCTAACAAATTTTCATCAAGATCTTTATTTTCTGACATTCTCAAATTTTAATTTTTTTAAATAATTATAATTTTTTTTTGGATTATAATTTGGAGTCAGTATATATCCACAAAAATTAGTTAATAATAGTTTATAATAAATACTTTTAATTAATTGAATTCACTTTTGCTATCAGTTTATATTATTGTGCATAAATGGTAGACTAGCAGAGTTACATTCAAATGATCCTCATTTTTTTAATTTTTAAATTTTTATAAAAAGCAAAAATATTCTATAGTTTTAAAAAAGCACAATTGAATAAGTGGAAACAATATTTTATTTGAAAAATTTTTATTTATCTATCTTACAAATTTAAAAAAAAAAACAGAGTAATATCTAAAACAAAAATTTTTTTTATGAAGAATTATTAAAGTGTCTATCTATTTTCTGTAAAGATAGGTCGGAATTTAATAAATATTAGATTGAGAGATAATATAGATTGAGAAATATCGAAATATGTATGAAATAATAATAATTTTTATAACAGTATAAGAAAAAAAAAATGTTATTTGAATGTTTTTTATTTTTTATTTTAAAAAATTGATTTTCTTTATTTTTATTCTAAGGTTATGTATCAAGATTTCAAGATATGACAAATAAAATTCTGTAAATTCATAAGAGATAGGGTTTTAATAGCATTTTTATCTATTTAATAGATTTGAATTATTACAAATAAAAATAATCTGATTTAAATTTTTTTTTTCTTCAATAAGTCATTTTTCTTCATCATAAAAGATTCTCTTTATTTTGAATTAATTAATATTCTTTAGATGTTTTCAATTTAATTTTTCGATTGACCCTCAATAAAAGCATTACAATTGATTTCTTAATTTATGATAAATTTATAATCATTAATCTATTAAGAAATACATTAAAAAAAAATTAAACCTAAGTGAAAATAGCCAGCAAAATGTAATTAATAATTCCATTTTGATAGATAATTTTTTATAGTTTATCTCAAACAAATATATATATATATTTGGAAAAATTATTTTAAATTTAAATTATTAATTGAAAGTTGTATCCCTATTGTTAACAAAATTTATTTGAATTCTTTATTTCTATTTAATTCTTTAAAATAATTTTAGTGGAAAAATGAAAAAATAAAGATGACATTTGAGAATGTTTAATTTATATTTTAATTAAATTTGGAACCAAAGAAATAGGGCGAAAATAATGAATAGATAGAGGGTATGATGATTGTTTGTGATTTGATTTAATCTAAAAATAATTAAAGGAAGTTTATTATAAAAAATATATATAATAAAATCTCTATAAAAAATAATTAAAAATAGTTATAGGTTTAAAAAAGAGTGATAATATAGATTTTATAAAATATTATAACTAAATTATGAGTCATGACTTTTTAGGTTTAACAACAAAAGAACCGCTCAATACTGAAAAAGACAATCCCTTATCTTTGAATTAACGCCTCAGCGAAGATCTTAAAAACTGTATAAAGTAGCTTAGAAACTTTTAAAAGAAAAATAGAGAAAATAATGGAGTTGAAGGAACTTAGTAAAATATTTATAGCAGCAATAACATTCTTCCAAATGGTTAAGGAAATGGAGCAATATCAAGTGTTACTAATTTGAATGCAATTTCCTCTTTTGGCGGCCTAAACAACAATAACAACAATAATAATTTATTGAGCATGCAGGATTTGCAAAATGAAGAATAAAAGAAGCCTGTTAAGGTTCATTTATGGCTTCACGATGACGAACTGAAGGAAAACCGTATTACTGAATTAGATACCATGCGTTCTTTCCAAGTCAATCCTGCCTTTTTGGGATATGACACAGAAAGACTTAAGAATGACCCTAGCTAGAAGAAAATAAGAATAGATATTGCAGCAACATCTAATAAAGATTTATTCAAGCCATTCGAAATTCCCGATCCAAATATAAATACCTAAAACTAGCCTTTCTCCATTCATCACATAGAAGGATACTAAAACCACCAAATATAAATACCAAAGTACTTCCGCCATAAGTCAAAGAGGATGAAAATGGGAGAACGCTCCACTATTATTAAAAAAGGGAAAGTTTTCACTATAAAATACCTTCCAAAAGAATATATTTAGTAAGAATGAGGCAGTTTTAGTAGCTATTAAACACTATGCCTTATAAAAACACAAAATATTTCATTCCTTTAAATAAAAAAATCTCAAAAAACTTTTTAAATTCTTAAATATTTCTTAATCCAGTTTCTAGATCTCATCATATTTGAAGAAAGTTTAATTCGACTAGGTATTCTTTAGCAATAAACAAAAGATATAAAAAATGTTATAAAAGTATGCGTATAGTAATTAGAGAATGGATTATTAACAATATGATTTATTTTTGGCTCAAAAAATTATAAATCTTGAATTATATATTTATCATTGACCGAATAGTAGATATCAAATAGAATTTTAGCCGGCTAAATATATAAATTTATAAATAGAAATAGCACCCAATTAATAATTTGAGCGGAAGAATTAAAGTGTTTAATAAATGTTTATAAAATTTAAATTATTTAACTTGCTTGCTTGTTTGATTGCTAAAAAAGAATTTAAAGAAACTTTTTATCAATTAAAAAAGAGATAGAAATTTAGATTAAAATAAATAAATAAATAAATAAATTACAATTTTTATGAAAATCTAGTTAAAGAATTTATATTTGAATTATTTTTAACTTTTTGTAAATAAATAAATAAATATGCATAACTAACTAACTAACTAATTAAGTAAGTAAGTAAATAAATGTACAAATTAATTATTTTTATATCTCTTTTTAAAAATTCAATTATTTTCTCATTTCTTAAAATATTTTCTTCAAAAAATTATTTTTTTCAAAAGCTCTATAAAAAATCATATACTAATTTCCTTATTTCATAGTATTCCTTGCATCTTATACCTTCCACGCTGAAGTTCTAGTCTTCTTTTTTAATAATAACTTTATCCTCATAATTAATACCACCCCAAGCTACAGTAAAAGTATAGCCAGATTTTTGTAAGTATTCCAACAGCTTTTCTAGAGGATAATCTCCATAGTATTCCCTATTAGGATTTGAATTATTCATCTCCTGCTCTAATGTTAAATTAACTTTATTTTAACTACCTTCATTATAGTTCATAGTTATTTTTCCAACAAAGCGTCTACCTTACACTTTGCTGTTAATTTTTATCTTGCTCTAAAAGTTAAAAATGTCCAAACTCTTATTATGAATATCCGTTTCTTCTCTTAATAATTCTTAAACTTAATTTATTCCTTAATTTATCTAATTGATAAAATAATATTAAAATATTATGAAAACTACTAATTTAATTTTCTAAAAATAAATTATTTTGAATTAAGTTTGAGATTATCTCTCTTATCAATACATAAATTATTCTAAGAATGAAATAAAATCTATTTTGAAAGTTTGAAAATTGCATTGAAATTAAACTTTTCAAAATTTCAAATCTTTAAAAAATTCTCATTGTGAAAAATAAGCCTTTTTGGATAATTGTAAAAATACTTTGTTTTTTTAATAGTAATAACCAAAAAAAATAAGAAAATATTTACATAGAATATTCTTTTTGGATTAAGCAATGTAAAGATATTAGAGATTGATCTATCATCAGAAACGCTATCGATATTGAATTCTTAGATATTCATACAAGAATTGAACATGAAAGGGATTAATTTGTAATTTTATATTAGTGTGTTTTCAACAAGATCAAATACTTGTGTTGCTATTTATTCAGGTGTAATATATGTTCTGTTTGCAAGCATGTCCTTTTTTTTCTTTTTATTAGTTATAGTTTTTAGTAATTCTAATTCTTCTTCTGTCAACTCTTCACCATAATCTCCTTTTTTATATTTTGTTGTTTTATACAAAAATCTGTAGTAGTCCTTTTGCTTATATTCAAATAGCTATTCCTGCTCTTCTTCTTCATTATCAAATAAGTCTTTTCCTATATTTGTTTTATCATCCAAATCTTCTATATGGTTATCCTAGGCTGTGGCTACAGTTTCATTATCGAAGTTATCTTCAATAGGCATTCCTGATTGTTGATAGTTCAATTAAGGTTAGTTTTACTCTTCTTCTTCAAATAAAAACTGTTTAATCACAGTTTTGCTCAATTCACTAAGCAATAATTAATCTTCTTTTATCAAACCAGTAAGACCTTACTTCAGCCATTTGTATCTATTAGAGTTTGACTTTTTTCCTTTAAATTTTTGATGTTTTTATCAACCTTAAATTAAAATATTATAATATGTGTTTTACCTATAAATAAAAGTGTGTTTTTATCACTACTTGCCATACTTTTGATGTAATTAAGCATCTAAGGATAATAAAGACAACACTGTGTAGTAACAATAATTTTAGGTCCCCTAAAAGGCTAGCCTGGCTATTAAGGAGTAAAAATGTTTTCCAAATTGATAAAATTGCTTTCTGGTTATAAGGGATTGCTGTTTATCAATATATCTGCTGTTTCCTTCTTCATGCATTTAATTTAGTCATTAACTAAATCTTATAAATACTTTTTATAATTATGGTAGAACTCTATTTTAGCATACTAGTCTTCTTATTGAGGGATTTTAAAAATTTTTCTATATTTATAAATGTAAATATTTATTTTGATAAATAATTTTATAATTGTAATAAAATTTTATAGTAAATATATTTTTATGATAACATTTTTAAAATAAATAATAGTCTCAATTCTTTGTATTTATATATTTATATGAAAAATTTTTTTCTTTCACATTACTATTTTTGAATAAATAATATTTTTCAAATAAAATCTTTTCTCTTTCTTCTATTTGTAATTAAAAAAATATTAAATATCAAAATCGTGATTTAATGTTTATTAAAAATATATCATTATATTATTTCTAAGACTAATCTTTATTGTTATTTTATTAATCATCTTCTATTTTAAAATAACTTATGAGAAAAACAAAAACGCTAATAATATTAGAATGACCAAATACATTGCTAAAATAGTCATAATTTTTATATTTATTAAAAAATAAATATAAATGCTTGCTTAATTTTAATATCATTTTTTATATTTTATGCATCTCTAAAATGAATAAATTTATTTAATTATATTTAACAATGTTTTTTGTGTGAAAAATAAAACGAAGTATTTACTTAGATTCATTCCATATCTACCACAAAATCATAATAATTTCAATCACTCTTTCGTTTGGATATGATACGATTACAAGGCTTGCAAATTGTTCTACAGTCTTTTGAATAGCCTATTTCAGAGTATCTTTTAGGGAGTTGTTGCTTTTTTTATTTGTTAGATAAAGAGGAGTAGTTGAAGGAAAATCACTAGAAATAGGACCATTTAACAAAGTCTATTCTGTAATAAGCACATCTATTCTTTTCTTTACAAAAGTTTTGATATTAATTCCATCTAAGTGCTCATCACTAATATGATTAAACTAAATCATGTACATTATATTTATTAAGTTATCTTTAATTATCCAAGCACAAGCACCTAAAGTATTACCAATACAGTTGGGACTGATTATAATATCCTTATCTTTAATGTGAACGACTTTTTTTTAAAAAAACTAAATCACTTTGCACCTGTCATAAGCAATATAGAATTTTTAAAATGACTTTTCAGTTACTAGAGTTTCTTCTTCACTAGCAAGCATCATTGTATTTAAATATTAATTGTAAGAGTTAAACATTCCCAATTTCATAACAGGGGTGGTAGAGTAAATCCTGATATTTTTACCCTAACTCATAATTTATTTATTATTTAACAAGAATGGAAGAGCTCCTACATACTCAGCTCCAACGTGCGATAGTAATATCATATCAACTTTTTTCAATTTTTCAATATTTTGCCAATAAGCGGTAAAATCCATATTAGAATTCAAACCACAGTCAAGGAGAATGTATATTTCTTCATCCAAAATGAGTAAAGTGGAGGTAGCTCCATCTCTTTTTAAATTTAAAATTGACTCAGCTTCAATTTTCATTTTATAAATTATATTTATAGTAAATGGTATATTCTACTGATTCTATCTGGTATTTAATTTTATATAAACGCAGCGTCTTTTTGATATAAATCTTTGATAGTATCTATCTTCAAATGAATTATTTACTAATTATATATCAAATGAATATTAAAATCAATTATAGGATATAGAATTATAATTCATATAATTTATAATTATATTTTACAAGCAGCAAATAAAATAATTTTTTATTAACAAATAACAAAAACCGTCAAGAAAAATTTAATATAGTTAAAATTCATTTTAAAGAAAATAAAAAAAAGAAAAGCACAACAATTATTTTTATAAAAAAGTACTACTTTAAGTTTTTATAAGTAAATTATTGATTCAATCAAGACTTATTTATTAAATTAAATACTTTTGAAAAATTTAATATATAAGTTTGAGGACAAAATTAAAAATATAGAGAATAAGAATAGAGAATTTTTAAAATTTATTATTGTAATTTTAATATAAATTGGTATTATTATTTATTTGTTTATTTATTAAGTCTCTGATCAAATTTATTTATTTACAAATCTAAAAATTTTTTCTAAATGTTTATGCCTTTTTTGTTCAATTATTTTTTCCCATACTTGAAACACTTCTAATTTCTTTTTTCTTTTCTTTCATTTTGTTTCTGTGCTTATCTAATACTATCGTTACTTCATCACCCAAATAAGCTCCTAAGAGCAGTTATAAATTTTTCTATTGTGAGAATGAAACTTTTATTTTAAATAAAATAAGTTAAAAAAGTTAAATTAAAGTTTATTTACTTGGCCAGTAGGAGCTAGCTGCTTTGTCTTGAGGAAGAAGGTCTACATTTTTCAAAAATTTAGCTACCAATTCTGAACAAAAGTATTCTTAAGGATCTTTTTCTCTACCTAAAGCATCTCTATTGCTTTTTGGGCAGTAGCTAATCAGCTTTTTAAAGTTAAAAGAATACGATTTTCCAATATTTTCCTTTAATAATAACATAAGACAGAGATTAATAAACCAATTGCGAACATGATTAAATTTACTAATATAAAGGTATAAAGATTCTCTTCTATATACTACCTATCAACATTCTATAGCTTTCTTACTGTTACTCTTTAATTTTCATTTTAAAATTAATTTTTTATTTTAAATAAAATATAATTTACTTTTCATATAAATCATTTATGAATATATACTCTTTCCACTCTGTCAAAGAAACACCATCATCACTAGTAGAATCAAAAATTCTTATTTCATCTTACATTTTAACACATAAAGCAACATGATCTTTAATTAAAATAAAATATGTTTTTGATATCAATTAAAAAATAATAAATACCATATTTGCTTCCTGTAATTTTTCTCTAAAACTTAGCTGCTATGTTGTTTGTTCTTTTAAATATTTTTATTTGTTTATTTATTTATTAGTTTAGCTTTTAAAATAAAAATTTACTCAAATAGCAAAATATCTCCTGATTCAATGTACTCTAAGAATTCATTTTCTGTCATTAGATCATTTTTAAAATAATGACCCATTTTTATAGTTTATATAATTGGTTTTTTAATCTCACTGTTTTCTTCTATTACTAGATTTATCAAATTAACCCATTCTTGAGAAGACACTTTTGAGTTTGACTTTAGTTCGAATTTTCTTTTGTATCCATCAATTTCTATACTGAATCTATCTCCATCAATATCCTAAGTAAAATTTTTAAAGAGTTTTGTTTAAGTTATTAAATAACCTTATTATAAAATTCCTATTTTTCGTAATTTTCTAAGTTAATTATTTTTTTTAATGAATCATTTTACTAACTCAATAAAAAATTTTTTTCAATTTAAACAAAAAATAAATTGATAATATAATTTTTTATTCCTTTTTTTAACTATTTTGTAATGATTTTTTTTAATTTTTTATTTAATAAAAATAAAATTGCTTCTTTAATATTAAATTAAATAATTAAAATTAATAAAATTTTTTATTATCAAAAAGAGTTATTTTATATTTTTATAACATTTACTTTAATTTAAGCATCGGCTATTTTAAAGTTAATGCAACCTCTTATTCTCTTCTTTTAAGCTTCTTTGTAATAGCATATTTTACTTGTGGTAAGTACGAAATATCTCATCTGTGTAAAAAATGTTAATTAATTAGTTAAATTTCTAAAATAAAAATATATCTTTACCTTCCATCCCTTAAATATTGAAGGACTTTTTTTATAGAGCCAACCTTCTTTTAGTATGTCAGATGAACTCTTTGATTTATGCTAAATAGAAATAGGTAGAGCAATCGTGCTTTAATCAGGCTAGCTATTATTGTTGACTATAAATTTTTATTTTGGCGAAACTATTCTCTCAGAGTTAGTATTCTTATCAGATTGTTTGATAAAGGATGGTTTTTTCTAAAAGACTTGAGGCGTTTTAGGAGTGGATCCTCCATCATCAAGATTAATGTAGCTTTTAATTTAACTAGGGAGATTCAGTCTGTTAATATCATAACCTATAACACTACAGATAAATTAAATTTCTTTAAAAATGTTATTTTCTGTTAACTCGATGTAACTGAGCTAAGCATCTAAATCATAAATGTTCCTTTGCTTTATATCAATTTAATTTTCTATTTGTTTCAATCTAGTGAGCTAATATTGATGATATTTATAGTATTATTGCTCCTCTTCTTTGTTTTTGTAGTGATGAGTGTTTTATATTTACACCCTTAGCTTTTCGTGATCTATCTTATCCATAATTAGAAGTTATTTTTCTTTTTGCAGCTTTTGATAACATTCTTTGTGCATTTACCTTTATCTCTCTAGCTCCATCTGCTATAAAAATAACTTTTACTTTTCTTCCTCTTCAAATTTCTTTTTTTCTATTTCTTTGTCCTTTTGAATTTTATTAATTTCAGCTATCTTTTCTGATTAATTCATTTTATCATACTATTTATCATGTTAATTTTCTTCTTTTTGCTATTAATTTTGCATTTTATTTGTCTAAGAATCAGTTAGTTGCTGATGTAATATTAGTTTCTATAAATTATCTTTAGTAAGAGAGGACTTTTTAATATCTTCAGTTTCAGTATTATTTTCTTCTATTAACTTTATAAAATTTATTTTAACTTAATTTAGAATGATTTTCTAATTTTAATTTATTTTATTTTTAAATATAATAAATAATTTACTTCTAGATCATCTAAGATATTTTAAGATAAGCGCATAGGAGTTTAGTCTTTTTGAGGGTTATGCTGTAAGCAATTAACAATCCCTCCCTAAAATTAAAACTCTGAACTCATACTACTGTCCATACTCATTGATTCTTCAAAGACACCATTTTATGCACTGAAGCTCTAGTCGGTGTTGTTATCTGAATTAACACTTTTGCCTCTTTTGCTTCTTTTTGGACTTGTAACTGGGCTCAATCTCTAAAATTTAGATTTAACTGGTCTAATAAAAATATTTTACTAATTTTTTATTTGGTTTGAATTGTTTAGGGTAGAGGAATTTAATGGTGTAATTGCTTAACTACTACTCTCGATATCTAAATTAAGATTTTAAATTTGTTGGGACTCTTCAAATATTTCTTCTTCTATTTATTTGTCTAACTCCTCTCTCTTTTTTTTATTAATTTTCGCAAATATATTGTTTCCGTGCATAGGCGTTTAATCTAAATCCTCATTTTCATCTTCTCTTATTGTCCCATAAAATTGATAAACTTTATTGAGTGAAGATTTATCATCCTCCTTCTTCTTTGAAAAAATATTTTAATTATTGTTATTGCTATTGGCGTTATTGCTCTTATTACTAGCAATTAATTATGCATTTGTAATGCTTGTAGGAATGCTTTCTATGTCCTCAATTTCCTAGATATCTCCTTCCTGATTTATTGTTTCATCAAAATTATTTTTGGAGGTAAATTTTATTTTAGGAATATCATCATTGTTTGGCTGAATATTTGAAAAAATGATATCATTAGTCTAAGCGCTATTATATTTTTAATGATCTTATAAATTATTCGCCTTCTTACTGAATTCTTAATCGTTAGGATTTATTTTCAGATCACCCTTATTAAGCGTGGTTAAAATATTTTTTTAGTTCGTGTTTTACTTTACTCTAGAAGACTATATTTTTATTGGTTAAAATAAGAGCTGAAAAAGAAGAAAAATAATTTAAGGATGGATAAAATAGATAAATAATTTGCTTTTTAAGCATGAAATTCGATTAAAAATAATGTAAATTATCTAAATTAAAATTAATCGCTTACAAATAATTATTGCTAGTGTTATTTCGTTGGAGAATCTATTGACAAATAATTTGTTGTATATTAATCTTTTTATAGAAGTTTTATTAAAGAACCATGAGAATTAGGTTGTTTATTAGCATTAATATAATTATTTTATGCATCATTCCCCAATTTTTAAGCATTTATTTAATTTTTTGAGAAGAAGCTATGCAAAACATTTTTCTTTCCATTAGTTTAAATATTATTTGAGCTAGAAGTGCCTGGTACTTTTCTAACTATCTTGAGTGTTTCTTGTGTTTTTTGTTAATATACAGGAGATTTCTAAGATAAATTGTTTATGTTTTTATTATTCTTGACTTATATCTCAGAGATATTTAGTGTACTGATATTTCCACTACTATTTGGACGAGAATTAATATCTGCAGGAGCCATTTTAATTAGTAGTTAATTCTTCTTTTTATTCTTTTGTAGTCCTTGATTATTGTTTACTGTGCTAATAGGAATATTGTAAATTTAAGATACTTTGTTTAAAGTGTATTGATAGGAGTAATTATACTAGTTATCCATATTTTATTTTATAGCTTAATCATTATCTTAGACCATATTTTTTACAGATTTAGCACTCTTAGGAGGTAAATTTTTCTTTTTTGTAAGTAGAGGAGCTTCATGTTAAATATTATCCAGTTTTAAGTTTCTTAGATCTTCAACTTTTTCATATTATTTTTACTCTATTTAATTGTTATCGTTTACATAATTGTTCTGCTATTTTTATTTATAAGGATCATCTATTGAACTCTCTATAAAATGTGAAGAAGCAGCACTAATAGTTTCTTAAATTTTATGATTATCTTGCTGTTTCAATTGAACAAAATTTTAATCTATTTAACTAAGAGGTAGATCTTAGAGCTGTTAATTCTCTTTATGAACGAAATTCTCATAAACAGCATTGAATATTTATCTCTCCCTTTTTTACTGCTTTTTTAAATCCTTAATTTATATCTCTACTGACTATTTCTTTATCTATTCGGCTTGATAATTGTTTATTTTGTTTTCCTATTAAATGTTGATTGACTTCTTTTTGGAAGTAATTCTTCCTTTCCTTTAGTGAAATCTTCCTTGTTAGGAATTTATTATAGGTAGGTCCAAGAAATCTTCTAAAGATTGTCTGTCCTTACTAAATAAAATATATAATATGTTAATTTAAATGATATTAATTATGGAAAATTATCTCATTTTTAATTTTTGATGAATTTATTTATTTGAATTGCATTAATAGAGTTAGTTAATCATAATTTTATAATAAACTAAAAGTAATACTTTGAGCTTGCAGCATCCGCATTAAAATATTCAACCATAGCCTCCTAAAGATCATAATTATTTCTATTTTCATCTATTTTCTCATCAACTAATTATAAGGAACTTCTTTTACTAATAGAGTCCTATTACAAAGATTGCATTTACTGGACTTTTTGCTTTATAATTTTTTTTTTGCTTCTTTAATTTGATGATGACTTACTTGGAAGAAACTTATAACTAAATTATCAAAAAATTTAGAAATCTAAAATATGAAAAAAAAAAATTAAGTTAATAATACATTAATTTATTTAATAACCATACAAAACAACAAAAACAAATTATAATATTCATTCTTAAAGATCTTAACTATTTTTTTTTAAACAAATAACATAGTTCTTTTTAAATGTAATAATGGATTTCACTTTCGATTTAAATTTTATCCATCATACTTAACTACTTTAATTTTGTAATTTCAAGTATTTTTGTAATGAGTTGCCAAAAATACTATTATTTTTTATTCTTAATTAACTTAAAAACAAGAAGTATTTTTTATAGTTTTAATTTTATCATTAAATATTTATTTGAATAATTTAGTGATTTTTTGATTTTTTTCTGATAGCTAGCTAAAAAAATGTTAGTACTAAAACCAACAAATTTAAAATTAAAGTCAAATTTTATAAATACTTTAGATTGGGTAATTATTTAAAAAAATTTTAATAAATTACATCTTTGATAAATCTATGACTTAATATTTAAATATCTTTGAATTCATTTTCATAATTATCTTTGAATATACTTATAGATATATCTTAATATCTCATACCAATACCTAGTAAGTTTAAAAATATGATTTATCTTAAATATTTTATTTACTTCACTATCACAAATAATTTAATAGTTTTTGATTATTCTAAAATACAATGAATTTTTTTAAAAAAAACTTACGAGTTTATAGGTAATATTGCATATTTAAATTAAAAAATTTTCTTAAAAGATTTAAATTAAATAAGTTGTGAATAAATTATTTTTTTTAAAAATTAAAAATTTTTGAATATGTTAAATCATTTTAAAAATTAATAAAGAAATAAACATTTTTTGATTTAAAAAAATTGAAATTGAAAATTTTTTGATATTAGTGTCTTCACATTTATATTGGATATAATTAAATAGATACATTAAAAAGCTTTTAAAATTGTTTTTTATTTTTTTTAAAAGCTTTGAAAATTAATTAAAAGGAATTTAACTATTTTATATAAAATCTAAAATGGGGATTCATTATAAATAAGAGCCCTTTTAATATTTTGAATGCTTAATTTATTGAAATAATTTAATTTAAGAATCAAAATGTCTAATTTGATTGGGGATTCTAAAATTTGATTTAAATCAAACAAAAATATTGTTTTTAAAAATAAATAAATAAATATAATTCTTCCTTTTGACAAAAAGTAATTTGAAAAAAAAAGAAAAGTAAAGCTATTATAAATGGGAAGGTAGAGAACTAACAATATTTTAGATAAAAATAATTATTCTCTGATATCTAAATTTGAAGATTTATAAGACAAATCATAAATAATTTTAAATATTACAAATAAAATTCAAGACGGTTTTTTGCAATTAATAGGATAAATAAAATAGATAAATACTATTTAAAATATTGAAATCTATGATACTAGTTATAAATAAAATTTGACTAAATTCCTAAACTTACTTTAAAGAGGCATTAAAAATTAGAACAATCTTAGAAAGCTAAAAATTACACTTTCTTAGTTTTAAAGCTTAAATGAATAAGAGACAAACTAATTAAAAGAATGTATTACAGAAAGTATACAGAATCTCAGTATTAAATTTGAAAAAATTAGCTAAAAGAGTATTGAAAAAATTTTGAAAAGAGTAAATAGTAATGAAGGCATTCAAAAATTTAAACTTTAAGTAAATTTTAAAAATAAAGTAAATGCTAACAATATTTTACAATTAATAACTAATATGAAGTATTTGAATAAGTTAAAAATTCTAATTAATAACTCAGTAGTTGATCAAGAAAAAACTATTTGTCTTTAAATTTAAGAATGTGAATAACTTGAGACCTCCATAGAAATAATCAATATTATTGGCAATTTAAAACAAGCCTATAACCTTAGAAAGTTAAATTTATTCATAGATAATACTGAATAAAATGCTTTCGATACATTTATAAATGTGTAAATACCCTTTATACAAAATTTATAGTCACTTTATTTTAATATAATACAAAATAATAACTATTATTTACGGTTTCTTGAATAGGCACTGCCTTAATTAAGCAATATACGTGAATTGTATATTAAAATCCATCAAGTAAATTAAATAGAATTCTCAAAAATAGCGTCTTTATTAAAAAATAATAATTAAATCAAACAATTTACATATTATGATCTTCTCCAAGATATATAATTTTAAGAATTAGATATTAATATGTTGTGCAATATTTAGCATTTAAAAATAATTGTTAATAATTATAATTAAAATGAGTATAAATACCTCAGAAAACTAACTAATTTAATCACGATTCAATTATTAAGTATTAAAAATAAAAAAAATCTATTCAAAATAAAAAGATTAGTATCATATAAAATTGGATATTGATTAAAATTTTATTGTATTTTATCAAATTATATTTTAGTAAATTAAAATATAATTTTACATCATTTAAAATTCTTTATTAAAAGAGATAATAAAATAATTCTATATTTTGAAAGCTAATTTAACAAATAAAATCACTATGATAAATGAAAATCTCACTATAGTTGTCTAAAAAAATATTTTTAAATAGGTTTTGATTATTCTTTTCAAGAATCTGTTTAAAAATAATAAGTATGAAATATTAAGAATAATATTTTAAATACTACAGATATTTTCAAAGTATTTATTTTGTATAATTTTATTTACAACCTTTTAAAATCAATTTTATTAACAAATTCTTAAAAAACTAATTAATATTTATAAAATATATTTTTAATTATTAATTTAACAAAGTTTCAAATCTGCATAAACAATCAAATTTAAAGCTATGTAATCATATATCTACCTACATCTGAATTACCTTTTATTTTTCGATTAAAAAATATAAATATGTAATTTATAACTTTGTATTTAATTTTATAAAAAAATTAGATTATAAAGATTGATATAATTGTTTTTATTAATTATAAAATTTAAACTAAATAAATATTCAAAGTTATTTTAATTTATTTTATAATCAATTTTTATCATTTTCTTTCTTCAAGAGTACTTTGAATAGGAAATGTTATAAATTAAAATCATAAAATAAATTAAAAAAAATTTTTTTATTCTAAAAGTTTTCAAAAAACTATTCCAAATATTTATTAAATATTTTAAATTATTTTTTTGAAAAAGTTTAAAATCTACATAAACAATTAAATTTAAATAATATAATCATAAATAGATATGAGAATTGCCTATAAATTTACTTTTTGGTTAAAAAATATAAATTACTAATTTATAAATTTGTTTTTACTTATATAAAATTAGATTATTAATATTGATATATTTTTTCCATTAATTATTTATTAGTTATGAAATTTAAACTAAATAAAGATTCAAATTTTTTGATTTTTTATTTGTTAGTTAGTATTATTTTATCATTTATTTTTGATTATTATTATTTTTTTTTGAGTAAAATATTTATTCATTTTTTAGTTATTTGCTGATTAAAACATTTTAAATTTATTAAAGAGCCAATTATGAAGAAGATTGTTTTAGTTTTGGTAGTGTAGTATACATCTATGCATGAATGTCTTTAAATTTATATAATTAAATGAATTAATATTTACTTATAAGTCATAGATTTAAAGTTTATGTTAGTAAGATTTAAGTTAGAGGTTGACTTGAAATAATTAATTAGTAAGTTTTTGCTTTTATTTTATAATCAGGATTTTGTTTGAATTGGAATTGATTTGAATTACAAATAAGAATACTTTTAGTTTTAAAATTAGAATGGTTAGTTGATGTTGTTTATAAACAAATTAATTAGATTCAGGAGCATTGTTTTACTTAAATTTTTTTTTGGTTAGTAGGTTTAATTGTTTTTGAAAAGAAAATTTATTAAGATTATTAGTTGAGTTAGTTAGTTAGTTAATTAATAAGATAATTTGATTATTATTTGAATTTTTTTTTCATTCTAAATCAGAGTTGTCGCTAGCAAAAAAGATATGTCTTTTTAGCACGACTGTAATTTCGTTGCTAAGCTTTGCATCGTTGAGTAGTTTAAGTCTTTTCTTTTAGCAGAATGAATCTATTTAAATTATAGAATTTGGTTGATGCAAAATGAAAATTATTTTTTAATAAAAATAGTATTTATAAAGTTTATATATTTATTGATTTACCTGTTGTATATTTATTGATATTCTTTTGATGTTTAATTAAATTTGCTTTTTAGTAAATGGAGGCTATAAGCTAGCTATTTCTTTGAATTGATGGCAATAGCTTAGAATCTTCTTAGCTATCACTTAGCGTGTCTTTGAGTTTTTTCTTGTAGTTGTCATTTAAATGTTATCTAACTGACTCATAGATGTAAGGAAGGATTTGGTTTCTTTCACTCATTTAGAGTTTTCTAAAAATCAAGCTATAAATTAATATTCAAAAAAAACTCATCAATTGATTATTTTTTAAATTAATTAATTCTTACGAATTGTAAATATCATTTTCTAAGATAAATCTTTCCCAATGGCATAAGTTAATTGAGTTATTTTTATCAACATAAAAAACTCTGAGATCGTTATTGTTGAATTTTATAAGCATTCCCATTTCAAGTTGATTACAAATTGATAAATTTTTAGATTTTTCTGAATCACTGCTAATTTGGAAAAGAAATGAATTAAATAAAAATAGAATAAGAATAATACTGGAATATGATAATGTCGCCAGTTTCAGCTATTGTTTCTAAATCCGATTCTGTAATCACATCTCTCTGAAATTAAATGTAAATTTAATTATTTAATGAATCAAAAAAAATGTAATAGATTTTATAAACAGATTAAAAATTCAAGTAATTACTTTGTAATTGTTTTTAGTTTAAAGGTCTTAAGCCATCATAACTTTTTCTTAATTGTAATAGTAAGATATAACTTGTTAGAGGTTTTTCTACCACTTAGAGATGTCTCCAGGAACTATTTCTTTTAATTTAAGCAATTTTTTCATTTCAGTAATCTTCAAATGAAGTTTTTTGGGGTTTGTCTTATTCTTTATTTATTAGTTAAAAAAAGAAATAGATTAATTTTAATCAAGGTGAAAAGCATACAGCGTAAAATATTAAAATAATCTATTAATAATATATGTAATAAAATAACTATAATTACTAGAGAGACAAAGCAAGTGAGATATTTGATATTGATGCATCCTTTAATCTTTTTGAATGTGGGATCTTTAGAGTAGAATAGTTTTTCACTAGTTAAGATGAAATATCTTTTCTGTTTTATGTAAAAAAGGAGTTAATTTGATTGAGCATTTAATAATTTTTTTATTTATTTAAATGTAATATACAAGACAGCCCAATAAATTAGAGCTATCTATTACATTCAATTTATATCTTTATTTAATCAGGAAAAAATTTATGTTGATTACTTGATAAGTGTTAAGCATTTTATTTGTGCTCTTTTTGAGAAGCCAGCCTTCTTGAATTATATGTTGATTTTTTATTTCAGAAGATCTTTGTTCGATGATTGAAGGAGTTAATTACATATTATGAGAATTTTATTGAACTTTGTTATTTTAAGACTATGATCTCATACCTGAAGGATGAGGTAGCGAAGGGCCACCTTTACTCTCAGGAATAAGAGATTAATTCATTGATTAGTCATGGTGCTTTTTAAGAAGATCTAAATTACTATCAAAAAATTCTACATTCTAATCAAACCGTACCCCATAACAGTGTTGGTCATTCTTTTTACCGCTGAAATGATTTTGGTTATGAGATTGAGTTGAAAGAATACTTTTTTTCTTTTAATTAATCATAATGCTGTTTTACATTAGATTGTTAAATTTTTGGTTCATTTATTTGTCTTCAAAAGGATTTAATTACTTCATTTATTGAATATTTTATTACAAGTCATAAGTTTCATCCATCGTGGAACCACTTAGAATATTATTATCGATCATCTGAGGAGGTATTAAAAAAGAATTTCTTTCTACAGGTTACAGTAAATCAAAAGGAGGAGATAATTCTTAGCTTTATTTGATTTACTGGTTATTTTCTGAATGGATACCTAATTTACTCTATGCTGAAGTTGGCTTAACTGCAGTGTATTATTTTTTGATACTCCTAGATATATTTTATGAGTAACTACTCTCTTAATCTTGTTAATTGGCGTTTATTTAAACATTTGAGGTTGTCAAGAATTTTTTCTGACTGCGGTTGAATTGTTATGATTCTGTTAAGCGCTGGGATTATAAGACTTGGTCCTTTTGGAGTTCAATCGAGTTAATAAGACCGTTTGCATGCATATGTTACTTCATAGTTTCAATATCCTTATACAATTGGTCCTCTTAATTTTATTTTAATTTTCTGTTTTTTTACATTTAATTACTTCCTTCTGATTGCTATTTTTGTATGTTCATCTCTTAGGAGTTTTCGTTTTCTTCTAGGCTATCTGAGCTGTAATCATCACTGAAGCTATTTATCATTTAAGAAGTAGTTTTTGATTCTTCAAGATTAGATTATTTTCTCTTTCCCAGATTCCTTGCTAAAATGGGGGTTTCTGAGCTCGAACCCTTCTTATAAATTACTTTCTAGAAGATTTATGGAGTTTCTAAATCTGTATCAGAGTCAGAATCATCTAAAGAGTCTTTTTATTAGCTATTTTACTTTTTCCTTTCATTCTCTTTCCTACACTGTTACAGCCATACAAGTTGTGTAAAATTTTATTCCAAGTATTTAACTTTTTCCATGTCAGTTGTTTCATTCTTCTGACTTAAAAGATTTGGTCCAATTATATCACTTTTAATAGTATGAATAGCTATGTTTTCATCAGGAACATCTTCTCCTTCAGCTTTTAATTTAGTAGATTAATTTAATATAAAAAAGTAAATTCAAAATCGTAATTATTAAATAAATAAATAATAAATAGATTCTGGTAAACTATAATATTATATTTAATTTTAAGTGTTAATTGAATACATTCGCTTTCTTTCATTAATCAATTATAAATTGTAACCATATTCTAGCTTAAATATTTGAGTGCATTAAACGAGGAAGAAATTAAATAAATAAATAAATAACTAGTAAAATGTCTCAAATTATATATTTTATTATTATGTATATACAGACTTAAGCTCTTTTATCGACATGACAACTTCGTCATGCCTATCCAAATGCAAAAAGATGAAAAATGAAATATGAAATAATTACTTTCGAGGAATGCTGATTGCTATTAGTTTTATCTCTTTTGCAAATATTGAATAGATTGAATGAGGTGCTCACTTACTAATTTTATTAGATTTTCTTCTTCTTCTAATAAATCTTTGTTTTTTTGTATGACAATAGAATGATCCAAATGATTGATTTCGCCTTTATTCTCAAAAATGGTAAATTTATTTTTGTAATCCATAGAAGTTTAATAAATCCCATTCTTTTTCAAGTTATTAACATTATTACTAGACGTCTAGCTAATCTTAAAGTCAGTTCTAGCATTATCAGCGCGATGAAATTACTTGCTTTGGAAGAGTAACTTATTCATATTCTACTTTATTGAGCCTTATTATTTGAAATTGCACTATGAAACTTAGAGAGAGCACCTGAGCGATTGCTCTATTGTGCTCTCATCTATACAAAATACAGATATATCTTGGTCACCTATCATTGCATTTTATCTATTAGCATCTGCAGATGATTGTTTTGTAGCACTTAGATTCATTTAATATCAATCTTAATTATGCTTAGGAATTTAAAAATTATATTATTTAAATGAGTTCGCTCAAGCTATTCTGAATATGGAAGCTGCTAGTATTTTTCTACAGAAAGTTAATTTTATTTTATTTTCGCGATTAGTATCTATCCTCTACGATAGAGTAAATGATACAAGTTTTATTTAGTAGGTAATTTAGGAAGATATTTCGAAGACCTCTATATCTTTCTGAATATTTTACTTTAATATCAATTATAATTTTACAAACGATTAATTGCCTTCCAATAATCAAAAATAAAGAAATTTATTAAATATAAAAAACTAATATACTTACTTACAAACAAACAAAAGACCAATCAAGCAAGAAAGCTTGTATGCATTCTAATCAATAAATTATTAATTATTTTTTTTTTTTTCATTCAAAATACATGGATAAATAATTGTAATATTATTAGCTAAAGCAATTGTCTGAACTAAATCGAAAAATAATTAATTTGTATATAAACTTTATCATATAATTAGAATCAATCAATCAGTCAAATAGCCAGTCTAATTAATTATTCAACCAAGACTTTACTCTATAAAAAATTAATAGCGCTGATTAGCTACTTAACATTTAGAAAGATAAAAAAGTGAGTCTATGACTTACTTATAAACCAAAATTAGTTTATTTTTTAAAGGGAAATTAGTTTATAATTATTTACCAAAGTGAACTAGCTAGCTTTATATGAATTATCTAAATAAATTAAATTGCTATCATTTATGAAGGTAAATTCATTTAAATATAATTTAGTATTAATATAAAATATCAATATATATTTTTCTACATTTTATAAATTTTGCTCCTTTTTTATGCTTCCTCACTTATTTTTTTTTTACTGCTCTTGCTAAAAATTGATTAATGTTGAATATTAAAGAAAGAATAAATGCACTCTATATTGGCAATTTTAAAAATTATATTGATCAAAGTGCTGAATAGATCAAAATTGCTATTTTTAATTTTCATATTTTTAGAGAAATTATTTGTATCTGTGAAAGGAAAGATTATTCATATATTCTGCGAATTTGATTTTTCTAAAATATTACCTTACTAAATTTATTTATTTCCCAAGGTAGTACAAGCATACTGCTTGCTAAATTTCTAGATACCACTCAATTTAAAAATACGATGGGTAGATTTTAATTCAAAAACTATTTTCAAAAAACAACAAAAATCTAGAAAATAATTTAAATGAAAACTAAAATCCTATTTAAAAGCATAAAAATATTGAAAAAATTTTTTATTCGGTATTTGCGATTTAATTAATGTAAATTTACCTAATTGAAGTTGTGAATGCAAAACATCAGCGTTTTTCGGCCACTCCAAATTAACCATTTGATGTATTTGAGATATTCTTAATATCCATTACTCACCATATATTTTAAATCTTTAAATTAAGAAATTTATTTATATCAACTCGAAAAATTTGTAAAGTACAAAGGGGAATTCTTTTTTGAATAATCAAATCATATTAAGTATTTACTAAAAAGATATTTATAGAAGGGTCTAAGTATTTAACTTTCATTTTCTATCAATAAAAAAATAAAATTTAATTTTCATATTAAATCTCCTGTTAGTAAATAGGAGTTTTTTAGCAAAAATAAGCAATTTCATGACACTTAAATAAAAAACTCTGCTAACATAGAAATAAATGACATAATTTTATTGCGCATAAATAATAAATAGTATAGTTTTTATATTCATTTATAAATTAAGCTTTTATTAATACAATCATTTAATTGGATGGACTAATAAAAATAACTCACAAATAGGGATTTCTTTGAATAAGCTAATCCTTGCAATTTTTCAAGTGGGTATCAATCGCTTGAACGGATATATTATGAAATCAAATTTATTTCTTTTTATTAAGATTTTTTTAGTCTGATCTATTCGGAACACTAAAGACACATAAATTATTGATAAAAATAAAAAGTATTTAGTAATTAAGCAAAAAATGTAATATTATGTCATTCTGTGCTTGGTAGACCATTAATTTTTTACTTAATAATTTTTCTTATCTTACTAACTTACTTCTTCTTTTTTAGAAATTTTATAATTTTTTTTTTTGCATTTTATATAAAAATAATATGCAATTTTATTTATTTATGTATTAATTTCATATAAAAAACGTGAATAGACTTTAATGCTAGCAACATTAATCATAAATGTCACTCACATCATCAATTCCACCAAATTCTTCCAATCGAAATTTTCGTGAAATTAAAAAGTGTATTCATAATTTCTCTCAAATTTTAAGTATTTAAATTAGTGATAGATATTTAGTATGATAAATAACTAGAAATGTGATTAATTGAAATATGGAGTCACAAGAAAAGGTGATAATAATAATTTTTATTACTTTTCTTCAACCCTTTTCTAATTAAAATTGTACTAAAATACACCTTAAACTTTTTTTTAAATATTTTTAATTTGCAAAGATATTTTTACTAACAGCAGATAAGGCCTTTCTTAAAATTCTCAAAAACTTTGCTTCAATTGTAAACTATAAATAAGATAAACTTTTTTCTATCCCAAATAAACCTTCTGATTTGATCTGCAAACATTTGAGAGAAATTCATTATTTGAATTAATTTTGTCAAAGAAAATATAAAATATCTAAGATATATATTCTTCTATCTTTTGCTTTATAAAAGTGAGGGACTCTTGATTAAATTAAAACAGTGACTAGAACTAAACATTTTTCTAATAAATTATATAAACTTGATCAATATTTTTTTTTACTCTTATTAATGAATTAATGGTTACATCGTTTTTAAACAACTTTTAAAATTAAGAATAAAATTTAAAAATACATTAAAATTTTAAATATTTATAAAAATTCTTTCAATTTTTGAGCTATTAGACTGATAAAAAATTTCATAAATTTAAAGAAAACAATTAAATTATGCCAATATTAAGCATTTTATTGAGCAAATTAGCTTGAAAAATACTACATATTTAGTTTACTCCCTCAAAATTCAATCAAACAAAATCTCTTATGATCACATTATGTGTGTAACATAATAAATAAATATATTTTAATTCAAAGAAATAACATAAATTATTAAAAATAACATTCAGTTGTAAAATAATTCTGCTAGAAATTTATCTATGATAAAAATTAACTGAATTTTGATAAGAGATTTAAAGATATTTAAATTATAAAAATACATATAATCCTAATTAAAATACTAAATTATAATTTTGATAGAACAAAAGCTTAGAACTTCAAAATTAAAGCTATTTATAAAAGTAAATAAAAATTGAATTATTCACTTATTTTACACTTTAATAAATGTTCTTACAAATCAATAATTGTGCAAAAAGATTTCCTTATTCAAAACTTTAATTAACATTAATCTTCTTTTTATACATTTAATAAACTAATTATAGATTTAAAAAAATTCAAGTTTTATATGAAATTAATTTAGGTTAGATAAATATCTAGATACATATATTCTCACATTCTAGTTAATTTTAAAGCTTATCTAGTGAATTTATTTATTTATTAATTATTATCAAATTGATACTTTATTTTCTAAAAGAAATACATTTTTATTAAACTAAAATATTTAATTTAAAATTTTTATTTTTTGATAATAATTAAAGTTTTATTTAAAAACCATTTCAAACATGAAAACAACAAAAAACTGTCTCAATGCTTTAAGAACTTCTTAAGTCAAAAAAAAAGAATAAAATCAATCACTTTTCTCATTTTCTTATTATACATCATGGAAAATATGCCTGTTTAAGAGTATAGGACGTTCTTTATCAAGCTTGACACCTTCATATAAATTTAGTTCGCTTTCATATTATTCTGAAAATGATCCTTATTTGTGTTTCATGTTTTTTTTAATAAAATTAAATAATTTGAGAAATAAATTATTACTTGGCCAATACTAGCACGAAGATTTATTAGGGTTTATTAAACCTAAAACTTTAAATGATTTAGCTGCTAGTTCAGAACAAAAGTAACCGTCTTCTCTGCTGGCATCATTAAGTACAGATGATCTCTTTTTCATTAGTTTACTGACACTAATATCATATTTTTGTCCTAAACTGCTCTTTTTATGTTAAAAAAAAGTTATTTTTACATAATATATTGATTGATAAATGTAATTAATACTAAGGGTATTTTTTTGTTTGACTTCCAAATTATTTTTAGAGAAATTGAATTTAAAAAATAAAAACTAGGAATAATATAAGAAATAGTTAATTACCAAAACAAATTAGTAAAAATCAGGTAAGACTGTTTTCAATTTGTCATAGTTTAGTTACCTCAAAACCACCCTTATAAAATTATTAATTTTTAATTAATATATTTAAATTCATGAAGAAAATAGGCTTTTATAAAATTATTCAAGTTATAGAAATAAGTAATTACTTCTCAAACAAATCATTGATTTTAATAAAATAATTCCATTCTTGAATAGAAACACCATCTTCTAACTATGCATCGAATACTCTCACTACGTTGTCTTTTAACTTAATAACAATACCAACGTGATCTTTTTTTAATAAATTAATTAAAATAGTGTATAAAATTTACTATTATTTACCATAATTACTAATAGTTGTTGCTCTTTAGAGCTTCGCATTAAAGTTATTTGTCCTAAAATTTAAAAAATAGTAAAAATATCTTCTAAACATTAAATTATAACAAAGAATGTATACTTAAATAGTAGGATGTCTCCAGTTTTTGCAATTTAGAGAAACTCCTCTTCATTAATTATGTCACTCTATTTTATTTTATTAATAAACTCATTAGAGAAATTAACATAAACAATAGAACAGGTTTAGAATATCTAAATTTTATTAAAATAAATTGAAAATTATAAAAATTTAATATTTTCTTATATTTTGCTCCATGATTATTTTTTGAAAAGTATAGTTAACTTCTCAAACAATTTTACTTTTTAAAAAAATTCAAATAATTAATACATTTTTTATAGAATATTTTAAATTTTAATTCAAATAAAAAATACATCTTTTTCTTAGATTCAAGTTACTTAAAATTAAGTAAGTCTTCAGTTAGATTGTTTTATTAAGTAAATTTTGTTAAATTTACTTACTCAATTCATTAATTATTTATTTTATTTAATTAAAATAATTCTTACATTCAAATTTATTAATTTATTTATGTTTCTTTAAATTATTTTTTCTAATTTAAAGATTATTTTTTTTTTTATAAGATATAAATTCCTTTAAAAAATATAAATTTGATAAAAAATTCATTTTTAATTGTTGAATTTCATTTATTTTACAAGATCTAAATTCCTTTAAAAAATTTAAATTTGATAATAAATGCACTTTTAATTGTTGATTGTCATTTGAAATTTTTTGAAATAAAAATAAAATTTATTTAATAAATAATATTTTCTTTTTTTAATACACTTAATATAAATTTAGTCTGAGATCCAACCAATTTTTAGAAACTTAATTAGTTTATTTTAAAAAAATTACCTTTATGTATTAACTAGCTTTATCAGGTTTAATATTTTATTTTGATCTTATTTATTTATTATCTTCTATAACCTATTTAATTCTCGAAAACCACTCTTCCAACTTCTTCTCACTATCTGGAGATTCTTTTAGTTTAAATTTTTTTTTCTAGTTCTTTATTGTGATAACAATTTAGTTCTTCTTCTCAATTTTCTAATTAAATTTTTTATTTTTAATGTAAATATTATAATTTTTTAAAATTATGCTACTTCAATTTCACAGGATAAATGCTAGAAATTAATGCATAGTTACAGATCATAATCTAATTGATTTTTATTGTCCTTTTTTTCTTCATAGATGCAGAATTTTTCATCATTTAAAGTGCAAAAATATTTCTTTTAAAATTATAAAAAAAGTGTAGAATTTGTATAAATTTCTACTTCTAAGCTTTATAATATAAATTACTTTCCATCTCTTTAGCAAACCGTCGTTTTTTTTCATTAATTTTCCTTAAATTATATTTTAATCTTCATCTTCTGATTCTATTGACTCTATTGAACCTTTAGATCTCTTTTTATCTTAATTTGATTCTTATTCTTGCTCATCTTGTTCTAAATCTAATTGTTATGTTTTATTATTGCTCCTTACAGTATTCATAATCCATTAGCTTCTTAAAATTTATGATTTCCTTTATTCCATAGGTCCCTTTTAATTTTTCATTGCATTTTTCAATTCATTTTCAATCATTTCTTTTTTATTTTCTTAATCTATTTATTCATTAAAACTAAATTTTAAAATGTATCTCGTTTTGATAAGTTAAATTTATTTTGATTTCATTTTTATCATTAATATACTTTAAAAAAGTGTTATTTTTTTCTAATTTAAACATGCTTAAAATATTCAAATGCTATTGAATTTCTTTTATTATTTATAATATATACTTCAAAGTTTTTTTTTTATAAATTACCTATATTTTATACAATATCTTAGATGTTGCCTTGTTGCAACATTTCTAATTCTTGCTCAATCAGCTTTATAATATTCTTTCTAATTATTATATCTACGCTATCACTCAAAAAGAAATTTTTAGCGTGATGCTATTTGTTAAACATTAAATTTTTAATATCTGCTTTTAATTACTCTTCTTCAGCATCTTTATCAGCTTGGTTTTTATCTTCCATCTTTAATTTTATCTAATCTGAAAATATTTAGTTATTTAAATTATATTATTATTTAATAATTAGAATTACTAGCTATCAACAAAAATAAAAAGCGAATCTGTATTATTAAGTTTTTTTAAAAAAACAAAAACAAAATTAATCTGAGCAAAAATTTGATAAAGATTTTTTGTTAAAATTAATATGAAAGAATTAACATATTTTTTATATTATTGACTTACTTATTATTAAATATTTTAGTATGTTACAAATGTAAATGGATGGAGATTTTCTTAAGTATTCAAATAATAATAATTAGAGTCTTTAGCTTAACTAAAATTTTATGAAAGAATAAATGTATTTTAAATTATTTAATTATTTATTTTTAAATATTTTAGTATGTTACAAATAAGAAAAAGCTAATACTAAATGTATGGATTATTTTTGAAGTATTCAAACAATATAAATTAGGATCTTTAGCTTAACTAAGATTTTAATTAGTCGTAAGTAGAACCAAGCGAAACAATATTTGAAATAAACTTTATTTTGAAGACAAATTATGATACTTTCAAAAAAGTATTTTTGATAAAGAAAATTTGTAAAGAAAGTGTTTTTATAAAATTAAAATTTAGAAGAAATAATTTTTTTAAATTAACTAACTATAAATAAAATAAAAAGAGTCTTTTAGAGTAAAATAGTGAATATAAATAACCACAAGTATATTTTTTATATAAATATTTAATAATTTTTAATTTTGAAATCTTATAAATAAATAAATTAAAAGCAATTTTTACATAATTTATTTGAAATTATATTATCAATTCAACAAAAGTTCACAATTAATTCATCTTATTACTTTTATGAATGAGCTCCTCATTCATCTTATTAGACTATAAAATATCCAAAATCATTATCTTATTCCTCAGGGAAAGATTACAAAGAAGAAATTTTTTTACCATTTTTTTTGTATTCTAATAATGCTTTAGATAACGAATGATAAATCAATGGCTACTGATAAACAAGAGTGTACTTTAAGTCTAAATAATTAAAATCTATTAGATTTAATTCACCTGAATCGTTTTGATTGTTTTAAATTATTTACACTCCATCAGGAAGTGAATTTAAAATATCCTTTTTAGCAGTATAGCATGAGTTTATATGATTTTAGATTTGATCTAAATATTCATATGAAGAATAAGGTAAAGTTGGTCTATTCATCATCAATTAACTTCCTAGAATGGTATCCCTATATTCTTAAGGTTATTATATATTAACTGTTTATCTTATTGTTGAAATTTCCATTTTATTTTTATTACATAAACTACCCATTTTTACTTAATTATTTATATACAAGTTTCTTCTATTTATTTTTTTTTCAACTTTAATTGCTTAATTATTTATATTTATGAGCAAACATATTCTTTTATTATGATTAAATACTTTTTGTTTTAAAAATAAGCATGGATATATCTTGCTTACCCAAAATATTGATTAATTTTCTTTGAATATAGTAAAACTAAAATTTATTAATAAAAATCTATTTATAGAAAAGATTTTTAGCTATAAATTGTTGATAACTTTTAAAATATTTTATGTCTTATTAGAAATAAGAAATATTACTGTAATCCCTTATACCTCATAATTCGTAATTCGCAGAAAAATATAGAGATTGCGAAGATTAAATTCTCAAAACCAGCCAAACCTATAAATCTGCAGCGCTAAGATTTTGAAGGTATTATGGTACTCATAAAATAAAAAGTAATTCAAAATTTTATTATTTAATTATATGTAAACATCGGATATAAAGTGGTTTTTTTTTAACTTAACTAAATTCTTTTAATACTTTAAAATTAAAATAATAAGTCAGCTTGTTAGAAGATAAAGAAATCTAAGTAATTGATTGTTTAGTTAAGTAAACAAAATTAAAAGTAAAATAAATAAATAATTTAATAGATTGTAAAGTAAAGTGATAATTTCTAACATAAGTATGTAATAAAATAAAAATTCCTTAGCTAGCTAACTATAAATGAGAAATAAGAAATATTTCGTAATGAATTAATAAAGATAAATTAATAGAAAATAAGTAAAAGAACTGGTAAAAACTATATGACGCTATTTTACGTGATTAAATGAAAAGAGATAGAATTTGTGTTAATATTCTATTAATTAATTAATTTGTTAGGTTTAATGCAATTTTTTACAATAAAATAAGGCAATGAATGATTGATTGTAATTATTTAATAAATTTCTATATTATTTAATATATAAAATATATGTAAGAGTAGTTTTTTTATTGGTTAGTATTTATTTATTTATTTATTAATTTTTGCGTATTACAAAATTGATTAAATTTTTTATTCATTTGATTTCTTTAATTATAGTACTCTGTTAATATGGATAAGTAGTTTTAGCTATAAAGTAAATTATTTAATTTCCTGTTTCATCGTAACCAACTTTTGATTTAACGGAATTATTTCCTATGAAATTCTTTTTGTATTGCAATAAGAGATCATCTAATAAGTCGAAATCTTATTAGTTCTAATATTCTTTGCCATTAAATATGTATTCAGTATCAAATATTTTGTATTATATTTCAATTATATTTTCATCGATATATTGTATGCTATTAATCATTAATCCAGGAGGAAAGGTAAAGTTTGGTTATTATGCTGTCTACATGAAACTTTTTGCAATTTAAATTATAAAGCTACTATAGTCTCTTTCTCTATTAATAAATAAGTTGCTTCCTTCCTCGCTTTTTTCATCCTTTTCTATCAAAGTTTAGCATTCTAATCGCTAGTTTGGATTATTATTTTCTAAATTGCTCTCTATTACATGATTTACAACTAGTTAGTCACTATATCTTAAGCCTGTGCTGCTCTTCATTTTAGAGCTGATTGATTGCATCAAAACCGGTTCTTTATTATCATCCTTACAAAAGCAGCTCATTAATCTTTGCTTTTAAAAACTTAAATTAATTGACTAGATTGCAAAAATCTTTAAATCAAAAAATTATTATTTTTTTGAACACTTATACCTACTTAGTTACTGATTTTCCAATTATTTCTTTTAGATTTCTTAATTTAAAATACCAAAATGTATTTACACGCATTTTAAAAGATAATAAATAATTTCAAATTATAAAGAAAATCTTCTTGTGTTTATAGTTAGTAATTAAATATCTCTAATATCAAGTGTAGTATTAATATATTCATTCCAAAAAGAAAACTCTGTAAGCTAAAAATATATAAAAAGTTCTAAAATTGAATAATCATCTTTTTGATTAAAATATATTTAATTATGTTTCTTTAATTAAAGTTTTACACAATTAATTTCTAAAAATATAAATTATTCAAATTAGATTTATTTTTTATTAAAAAATTAATTTAAATAATAATTAAAAAAAATTTTTTTCTCAATTTTAAAAAAATCAGAATATAAAAAATTAAAACACAGATTATTAAAAAAAAAATATTTTTAATATGAAATAATTAAATAATTATGGAATAGTAAAGTTAAATAAAAATATAGATAGAATTGCTTTAAAAAAAATTAAAATCTCATAAATTAATAAATAAATAATTAATTAAGAAATTAAAATTTTATTAGAAGTATTTATTAATTTAAAAATTACTTATAAAATAAATAATTTTTTGCTTATTTAAATATTTATTTAAGTTAATATAATACATCGCTTTTATTGAGAAATTTATTAAAATCATAAAATTTTTAAGTCAGACTATGTAATAGATAACTATTATAGTATCAATAAAATAAATAATATTTTAGAAATTTAAAAAATAAATTTGCTGAGATTCAATTAAAAATAAAGATTGATAAATCAATCAATTAGTTAGTTAGTATATTTATTTATCTATTTATTTATTTATTTATTTATTTATTTATTTATTTTTCATTCAAATTAAAGCATTAAGGGATCTGAGCAGACTTCATCTTTTTTTGTAGTAACATTAAGGATCAAATATTCTAAAAATTCTTTTCCAAATCTTTTGGTTTCAACTACTCCTTATTCATTATCCAAATAAATATTTTAATATTCTTGAAGCTTGTCATGTAAATAATTTTGATCATAATCCTAGTTTTTAATCTAAGCATACATTTTATAATTAACTTCTTTGATTTTAAATTATAATTCTAAAACATTTTTGCTATTTAAGGTACTCTCATACACTATAGGTTAAATTTATTCCTGCTAATCATTTTATCCCTTTAAAATATTAAAAGCGGTATCATTAAGTTTGTATTCTCTTACAGCATCTTTAACACTTTAAAAGGAGAAACTTTGTTTACTTAAAGATGAACGGACTTAGCTTGACTATTTATTATATTCAATATTATTGGATTTTAACATTTTTTGCTAAAGAATATTATCTGTTTAGCTTTTTAATGGATTTAAAATATATTAGTAAGTTGAATTCGAAGCAAAAGGTGAATTCTGAAACTATGAATGTTTTTACTCTTCTATGTTATCTTTCTCTTCTTTTAATTATTAGACATCATTTCTAAGTTCTTAAATAATAGTTTTTATATTTTATATTTCTGAAAGATATTAATTTGGATCAATAGATCCTATTGATGTAGTATTTTATTTATTTTCTTAAACCTATTTTGAATCTTGGTAATGGGGTTATTCTTCTAAACGAGATAAACTATTTCTTTTTTTTTTTTTAGTTGTAGTTTATTTTGCTGTTGCATGTTTTTTTTTTGAATCAAAACAATAACAAAATTCATTAGACATTTTTAATTTTAAAAAGCTGCTTTATAAAAAAAGAAGGTGGATAGATAATTTTGTACTTTTCTTCAAATAAAATTTTTTTCAAAATTAAAAATTATATAAATATTTCTTAACTCAATATTTTAATTGAAATTAATTGTATTTATTTTATTATAAAAGAATTAATAATTAATTATTCCGTCATTTTTCAAAAATTATATGCTTAAGCTGAGTAATAAAGCTAAGACTCTAAAATTTATATTTAAACTTTATAGGCAAGAAAAACTCTTTTGAGTTAAAATATTTTTATTTAAACAATTTTTATCATATCTACCTACTCTCATAAAATTAGAAAAATTTCATCAATATATTATTTCTTATTCCAGCAATTAGGGCAATATCTGATCTAGATTTATTTAGCTAGAATGAATAATATTTACCACTCTTAAAAATCAAAAAAATAAAAAATTTTTAATTAAATTTTGAAATATTTGTAAATTTAATAGAAGGGAAAAAAAAATTCAAAATAGTTAAAAGTATCTATAAGCTCTTGAAGAATTAAATTAATCCATTCATTTCAAAAGGAATATATAAATAAGTTTCACACAAACAAACCCAATTAACTAGATTTTCATTTTTCAGTTATTTATTTTAACCGATTGAAAAAGAAATGACTATTTCTTTAATTTTTACCATTTTACTGTTTCTTAAGAAAGTGCTCACTTAAAATCTGTAATTTTAATATAAAATGAATTTATTTAAGTTAGATTGCATGTATTATTATTAAAATACTCTTTAAATATGATAGCAGTTCATTCATTCAAAGAATTAAAAAATTTTTTAAAGCTGAAAATGTGTTTACAAAAATTCATGTTTAAATTTAATTAAAAAGAAAAAAATGTAATTTTTATATTTTCACATTCATAAATTATAGACAGACAGACATAGGTAATATTTACATTAAACAAAATGACAAAGCTAAAAATTTTTACTTAATTTTCTTTTATAACCTCAATTTAAATTAAGTAAGGAAATCAATCAAAAACAAATCTTTTAATAATTTAGTATAATATTTAAGAATTACATTAATATTTATAAATTAAGTTCTCCTATATAATTTAAATAGTTTTTGAAGATTACAAACATCACCAAGCAACAAAGTAATTAATTATATCAGCTTAAAGCACAATAGTATTCATGCTACGCGGTTTTTTTGTTTGTAATTTTTTCTCTACATTTTTTTTTAATTCGTTAAATTTGTAAACTTCACTAAAGTACTTTTCATCTTACTTTATCTTATATACATGAAGCTAGTAAATTTTTGAAGCAGCCTTAAATTGAATAAATATATAATCATTCAATCCTTCTTAAGGGCAATTTTTATACTTTACAAAACTATCATACTCACTTGGCTGATCTTGATTCCCGTCAAACAAATGATTTACTAATTTTTCTAAATCTAATTGTGCTAGGCTAATTGAAGTAATAGAATCATCTGATTGACCTATATTAACCTCATTTTAATTATGCATATTTAAACCATTAGGTTATGCATACATAGGAGTACTTATATTTTACTCTGCATTTTATAAATCATATTGTTACGAATCAGTAAGCATGCTTAAAATAGTTATTTTATTTAAATCTAATCCTGAAATACTCAAATTGTTTGAAATAGTACCAGATATTATTTATCTAGCACTTTATTATCCTGAATTTCTCTAATCAACTCCAATAGAATCTTTTTCTTTGCAACACAGACAGCACATATTTTTTTAGTTTTGTTATATTTTTACTAAACTTTAATTAATTTCTCACGCCTTGTACAAATAAATATACTATTTCCGTAATTAATTCTTTGTAATATTAATTAAATATTAGTAAATTAATAAATAGTAAATTTTAAGATTTTTGAATAAATTTAACTTTTTTAATGGAATGGACCATTAAAAGTAAAGATATTTTGTATATAATTATTATTATCTTTACTTAATATTTTGATCAGCATCTTTCTTTCTACTTATTCGAAAATAAAATTATTTTACAAATGGAGCATTACTTATATTTTGATTGTTTTGTTTATTTATTTGTTTGTTTCTTTGTTATTTATTTTGTATAAAAAAGTTTTAATAACTTATTTAATATTTGACACCATAAATAATAAATAATTAGTTGGCAAAAGTTTTTTACAACAAAAGAACTCAATTTTAATATAAAATCCAGAGATCTTAATTTGTATATTGAAAACTTAATAATATTATTTTAACCAAATAAATATAATTCCTTTAAAAAATTTATTTGAAAATATTTGTATAATAATATTTTTAAATTTATTCCTTTAAATCTTATAAGCAAAAACAAAAGTATAATTAATAGATTTATTATTTTTTATCTTATTTAAAGTAATTGATGGGATGATTTAATTAACTATAGAAAGACGTTTAAAAATAAGATAAGAGCATAATAAATAATACAAAAGAAAAAATACTAATAAATAAGGAGGATTTCTTAAAATTAAAAAATGAATAAAAAACAAACCATTTCTGTTCTGGAATTTAACAAATCTGTTTCTGTTTTTATTAAAGAGTTATTTTTTATTTTTTCTGAATTTAATTTTTTTTATGAAAAATGAAATTAATTTTACTAATTAAGAAATAAATAACTAAGAATATTATTTTTATTTGAAATTTAAATATCTAATTTATTGATTCATAAAAAGATTATTTGCTCTCTTAAATTCCAGATATTAAAAGAAAAAAATGATACATTTTTAGTTATTTTATATTGAGAATATTTTACTTTTTCTAATTTAAATTTGAATTTTGGCATAATTAATTATTTTTTTATATTTTAAAATTATTATTTTTCATTTTATTTAAGTCTCGGTATCTAATTTGCCTTATTATTTTTCATATTTGGGATCATTAAATTCATAAATTTCAGTAAACGAACTTTGAGTTTAATTAGTATCCCTCCTTTTTAGCATATCATTACAACCAATACTATAATTTGATGAACTTCTTTAAACAATATCTTGTTTACTTAATTTTTATGACTCTCTTTTCTCGCAATTTGAATTACTCTAAAAACGAAGATCACTTGCATTTAAGTTGATTGGAGACCCACATTAAAAATTTTATGTGCTCTGTTATTTTCTAAATTCACTCTATAAATTAATTTAGTCTACACTATCTTTCTAACTCTCATTTCTTGATGCCCTTTACTAACAATCTTTATTTTCCTAAAAATTAGGGCCTTAATCTGTACCATCTTACTTATTCTCAGATAAGTCTTTTTATATATTTTGATCAGACTGACTTATTGAAACCTAATATGACTATTTAGATGAAGAATCTATTTATTTGTTCATATTATTCTACTAGAATGATTGTTGATTTGATGAAATACTCGAATCTATCTCTACTCTTACGCTGCTTTACAAATCCGATTTGTTTATATTATCTTAATGCTAGCTCTTTATACTTTATTCATTATATATTGATTTATTTTATTCCACAGAAATTTAATTTAAATATATTATTTGTTTTAGTTGAGATTAGCTATCTAGTTGATTTTCATGATTTATTTAAGGATTAGAAGTAATTGTAGAAAAAGATTGTTAATTGCTTGGTTAAAGCTAATCAGGAGACCCTAATATATTATTATCTTACCCAGTGGAAGCATTAACTTATGCTTATTAAGAATTATTTTAATTTTCAAAGTGTTATTATTAGTTATTCTAATTTTAATTTTGATTATTAGTAGAAGTATTATTGAAACAAGGGAATATGCATTAAAAAGCTCTTTTTACACAACTTTTCTAGCTAACTTCTGCTTATCTTTATATTAGAGGATTATTTAGAGAATTTTGTGACATTTTAACAATAATTTCAATATTTTTAAATTAAAAAAGATTATAATTTTTTGAGAAATTAGATTTTTTACAAATTTAAATAATAACGATCTTTATATATTCAAAAAAAACAATATATTCTAAAATAAAATATGTATTTTAAAGATATTTATAAATAAATAATAATCCTAAATTTGTAATTATTCTAATAAATAGCATTAATCATTTTAAATTGAAAAAATATTCTATTTTCTTTTTAAAAATATGTACAGTTATTTTAAATGCTATTTTAAAGTGAATAAGCAAAAATTTGAATGATAATACGTATAATTATAATAAAATAATATAAATTATTTAATCATTATTCGTTGAATTATTATTTTTCCCTATTATAAAGATTACTAAATTTTAAAATCAATATTGTTTGTTTTTCTTGTTAATAAAAATTTTTATATTTTTTAAATATGCTATTGAAACTCAGTTAATACATATCAGTCAAATTGACTATTATAGTAGTGAGTTAATTTGAAAATCAGAAAATTTACAAGCTCGAGCTCAAAAATATTTATGTTATTGCTCATGAATTCGAAAAGGTTTAATTTTACCAATATCCTATTTTTTCCAATTCAAAAAAATTTTACTTTTGGTGAATATTTTATGTTAGTTAATACAAGAATTTAAAACATTTTTAAAATGGCTAATTCTGTAAAATATTTATTGAATATTAATTCGTTAATTTAGGCTTTATTGATAGATAAAATATTGTATATTTTTTGAATATAATAATAAAAATATCATTTCTCTTTATACAGAATAAAACAAAAATATTTGAAACAGCAAGAATTTAAAGTTTAAAATACTTTTATGTAAATATCAGTTTTAAATTAAAATGATGATAGATAAAATAGTAATTATTATATATTTATTTTTCTTTGAATAAGTAGTCAGTCAGTATTTAGAAATATTTCGCTTTATAGTATTTTGAGATTCTAGTTGTGCAATTAATTAATTAATTAATTAACTACACCTGTCAGATATACTAGCAGATCGGTAAAATTGATTAAATTAATGAATTAGCCTATCTATATATTTCACATGCTCTTCTTAAGTCTAATAAAAATTTCGGGCATAAGCCATGAGAATATTAAAGACAGAACCTTAATCAGGAAGCTTGTAATTAATGTAAATATAAAAGGAATAAGAGCTACTAAAGGAATTATAATATTGGCATAAAGAGTATTTTAAAAGCTTCTTGCGCATGTGTAAGAGTGGTTATAATAGTATCTTCTAAATCCAGTAACAACCCAAACTAAATTTAGTAAGCCTAGTATCAACACACTAAATCCAGCGCCTGAAAGTAATCCCTTTTAGCGAATCCTATAATATAATTTAAAAGTATTAAATAAAAGAGTTTAAAGATTCAATTAAATTTTCAAAATTTATCCAATATAATTAATGGATTTTTAATTATGAATGTAAATAGTCTATATATTTGTTTGAAATTATATATAATAAACAGTTTTTTAATATTGATTTATCATCATATATGTAATGCAGCTTAGAAATTTAAATATTATTATATTATAGTTTATTTTAGTTTTTTGGATTATGTAATAAATGATATATTATTTAAATAGATAAATGAATAATTTGGAATTCAACTATTTAAATTTTAAAATAATTTGATTATTCAGTTAAAAGTAAAACTTTAATGATAAAGATGAATCAGTTAATGATTGGTTTGATTGTTGAATAATATCAAATATGTTAAATTCAGCTTTTAATAAATAGTAAATGTATGAGAATTGGATAATGGATATGATAAAATACCATGGGTATAGATAATTTTTTTACCAATAACCAAATTTTTTAGGGCTGATTCTTGACTTGGCGTTTAGGGTCTCGAGCTGTCTTTCTTTCTTTTAATAGATTTAAAAATGCATTACAGAATGAATGTAAATATAGCTTGTAACTAAATAAAAGAAATTAATATTATTTATTGATAGTCTTCATTTATAATTATAATTGGTGATATTTTTAAAGTGAAGAGTGAGTGTTTTCTTTATTTATTCAATCTATTTCCTCTAATAGTTAATTTTAAACAAGAATTAAGTAGAGTAGACTAAATGAAGTTATTTTTCTAGTTTTAAAAATAAAAAAATGGGCATGATTAAGACTAGTTTACCTTTTTCTCAATCTAAATGATCTTAAAGTACAAGATAATTATATTAATGCAAGATACGCACAAGATCACTGATTGTATTTGCAGCCAAAATTTGTACCCATGCTTTAAAATGCAAGGGTCGTTAACAAGTTCATCTATATATAGAGAGTTAATAATCATTCCCAAAAGCAAAATATTGGCAATCAAAGGAACAATCCTAAAATATTATTTAAAAATACACTTAAAACAATAAAACTAAGGGTTAGTGATAAAGATGAAATTTATTTTAAGTTTTTTATGCAATTAAAAAAATATTTTCAGTTTAAATCCACTTTTATTGGCTGTAAATTTTTCAGTTTTCATCTTTTGTTCAATTTAGAAAATATATTTTAAAAAATAACTATGAATTACCATATCTTTTCCATTTAATCTACAGCCTTATCGAACATCCATCTTTTATCATATGTCCAGAGCCAGCACACGAATTCCATTTTAAGAATTAATTAATTAACTTAAGCTTGAAAATAAAACTAATAGTGTTGCTTATAAATTTTTTAATAAAGTTTAGCTTTATTCTTCTAATCAATAAAAATTCTATCTTTAACTTAACTATTATATCTTTTTAGCAAGTATATTATATATAATATAAGAAGCATCAAGCCTTATTAATGATCTACTTAAAAGGAAAGCAAATGCATATAATTGAAGAGTTAAAGAGATAATTAAAATTCAATTTAAATGGAATAACTTAAATAATAAAATATACACACCACCAATAAAATAGAAATCCATTTTATTTTTTAATTTAATGTTAAAGTATCTTTAAGATTAATTTTTTATATGTCTATTAAGGTTATTATTGCTTTTATACCTAGAAATTTTGGTATAGATAGATTTTATTCTTGAATCTAAATTTTACAAAATATTTCAATATTAAATATAATAGAATAACCTTTTAAATAAAAATTTTATTCTATTTTGAATTGAAGTGATAATTTTTAAGAATTAGAATAATCTAAGTCTTATTTTAGGCTTAACTATTTTCTTGTTTGTAATTGTTTAGAATATTAAATTAATAATTAAAGAAAATATTTCTTTTTTAGAAAATTTAATTGTTTATCAAATAAATATCTTTAAAATGATTTTCTTTTTAAATAAAAATATTTTTTTATGCTTAATAAATAGATTTCTTAAATTATTTACTTAGTTAGTAGTTAGTTAATTAACTAGGTAGATAACAAACACACTAAAAAATTCATTTTTCATATCTAAATAAACTCTAATGATCTGAAATACTTCAAAAACAAAAAGGAATAAGTTAAATTTTAAGTGCGATTTTTTAAAGAAATTTATTATTTGTAAAACACGGAAACGACCTAAAAATGTTGGCTAGAAAAAAATAAATAACATTTGGCTATAAGGGTATGGAAAAAACCAAAAGAATCAAGAATTCAAAACCTAGAAGGTTGTATTCTGTCTTTGTATAGAACAAAATAGAAAAATAAAAAATAAAGGTAAATTTTTTGGGTTCGTTTATAGATTTCCTTTTTAGCTACCAAATATACATGCTTGTAAAACTAAATGGAGATAATCAAAAAAAAAAACAATCAAACACATAAAGTAGTTTAGCTGAATAAAATGAGAAGAAGATAAACGATTGATTAAATGAATAAATAAATGGATCAATCAAAAAAAAGCAAGCATTTTAATTTAAAGAAAAAATAAGAATATTATGGAAGGAATTAAAATAGCGTGAGTGAATAAATCAATATAAATAATTATTAGAAAGATCTTGAAAAAGAAAGTAAATCTAACTAAAAATAAACAAATCAATTAACCAAACATCATCAAACAAACTATAGATTAAAAATGCAAGGAAATAGAAAGCCCTTAATCGGTCAAAAGAAGTCCAAGTTAGCATAATTATTTGATAAGATTTTACCTAAGAGTGTTGAAGGAAAAAAGAAGAGAATATAGTAAATTAGAGACGTCTCCATCTTCGCCGTCTCTATCGGATTATTCGTAGCTTTTGAAAAATAAATTAGAGAACATTTAAATATTGACTACGAAGAACTTCAAAAGGCCTTCGCTAATCCCCCCTAATGATTAATTTATAATACACACACACACAAAGCTGATTGATTGTATGATTTGTTATATAAAAGTTTGAGAAATGGAAGCAAATTGTTACTGAAATATTTATTCTATTTCTCAATTTAAACTATTAAAAAAGTAATATAGTAGTATATGCTATTGCAGCATGTAAACAATTAATTATTTTGTACGACTGTTTAATTTATAGTAATAAAACTGTATGAAATACCTTTTATCCACCAAAATTTACTTCCAATTGCTATCAAAATTAACTTAAGTAAGTAGGCCTTATAGCTAGCTCAAGGCATACAAAAATAATTTTGCTTTAAAAATTTGCTTACTTACTTAAGTATAAGTTAAGGATAATTTCCCTTATAATTAAAACCAAATTCAATTTCTTTGCTTTTTCAAACTAATTTATCAAAAAATATTTTAATATTGAAATTGAAGAAATTTGAAGATTTTTTACATGTTTTTTTTTGAATTTCAGATTACAATTTTGCTAAAAAGTATAATTTTGTTTAAATGAATTCTTTAATCAATTAAAAAAGATATCATAAACTATTCATTTGAATAGAAAAATATAATTTTAATCAAGAATCAATTTAACTTAATACAAAAATAAATAATTGTTCAACAAATGTCAATTTAAATATAAAACAACTAAAAATCTAACAAAAAGTCTTGTAATTCAATAAGAAAAAAAGAGTGAAACAAATTATCAAAAAATTTACTTAGTAAAAGTATCTTTAGAAAAGTATTATTTAGTATTATGTATTTTATATGCTTCTAAGTTATGTCTTAAATTAGAAATTACTACTTACATTTTTATTTTAAATTAATTTGAAGATTATTTTTTTGTTAAATTTATAATTTGATATAAAAACAATCTATTTTCATTTTTATATTTTCATTTTCACTAAATTAAATTTTTAAAATATTTAGAGCTTCATTTATTTATAAGCATAAATTTAAATTATTTTTGTTTTTGTTCTTATTTTTTTTCTCAATTAATGGTAGTACAATTCTTAAAACTCAAATAATGAATTTTATAACTTAAAATTAATTAATTCAAAAGAATTTAATTCAAATAATATCTTTAAAATTACTAAGCAAACTTAAGTTATGTTTATTAAGTTTTAAAAATTTGTTTTCATACAATTATTTTTACTTATTCATAATAAACAAGCTTTTATTATTTATTCACAAATAAAATTAATATTTTACATTTTTTTTATTCCAAAAAATATATTAATAACATTAAATTTAATTTCATAAATACTATTAACATTATCAATTATATGATATCATTAAAATTTACTTAAACTTCTTTCTTATTACAATTATTGAATATTTTAAATGAATGAAAAATCTATTGTAAATGATGTTTTAAGTTTTTTGATTAATTTATTAATTTAAAATATTTCAATAATTATTTATTTATTTTTTGTTTTTTGAAGAGAAATAATTATGTTTAATTTACACTAGATTGTCATCTATATTGTTTAGTAATTGTGTAAAAAATTATCAAAAATATCTTATTTTTTTGTTTGTTTTTTTAATTTTTAATTAAATTTTGCAAAACGTAAAAAAATCATAGGTAGGTTTAAAAAGTGTTAATTGCCAATCATAAATATTAATTTTTTCAATCCAATTAATTTAGATATTTTAATTCTTAAAAAGTAAGTAGCAAAACAGGCCAAACATGATAAAGCTCTTCTTAATAATAAATAATTTAGGCAAAGTAAGAATTAGCAAATTCTACGAAAACATCAATGGTATCTCTATTAAAAAAATATTCTTTATAATGCTTAAGTAGCATTTTTTATAATTAAAAAGTTGACAAATAGAACGATATTATTTAAAAGCTATTCGAATTAGTAAAGTATCCAGATGGTAGAAAAAGTCATTTCGTAAAAGATAAAGATGGAATATATGATAAAAAATGCACAATAATTATAAGGTAGCTTGCAATTTAATAAATTAATTTAATTAATTACTTAAATCTCTTTAATAAAAAAGGTAATATGCTTCTCTGCATTTCATTATGATCATAGATTAAGATGAAAGTGAGTTAAGTGCTCTTGATTTGATATAAGTGAGATTATTAGAGTAGTATTTTTGTTTACTTAATTTATTTTGCAATAAAATATAATAGATTATAGTTGAAGGCTGTGATACTTTGTTTGAAAATGTTTGCGAACTTGATATGGTTTATTTCCCTGATAAAGTAATTAATTATTAATTTTTCGATAGATAAATGGAATTGCTAAATAAATTAAATATTTTATTATATAGATAAATGCATTAATAGATGAAATTATTATTGGAGGATGTGTTATTGAAACTAAAATATCAGAAGTATTACAATCTTTAAATTAGGCATAAGAATATGAAATAAAGAGCTGAAATTTCAATTTTTCTCAAGGATTTTCCATAAATTTAATTATAAATGTTTAATTTTATTGTAAAATGTTAAATAAATTAATTATTAATTTATTTTGTAAATAATTTTAAATATTTTATTTTAACTTTTTCAAATATTCTATTTTAATCATGATATTTTCAAAATGTGTTACAAAATATGTTTTACTCAAATATTATGTATTTATGTATATTTATGTGGTGATAAATTCAATTTCTAAATTATTAAAGGCATTTGCTTAATAATTAGTTTAGGATTAGGTAATAAATTAATCAGATAAAAAATATATAGCTCCAAAAAAAAATTAAAATATTTATTTACATATTATTTAAGAATACATATGACTGTTTATTAGGAATTCCCATAGAATTTAGTGAAATGTAGATCACCCACATTTAGCTGGCAAGTTGATAATGTTATTCTTTATACTCCTGACTTATATATGTTCCTCATTTTTTCATCTCTTGCTTGTCTACTAAATCTATTTATTATTACTTTGAACATTAAATATCCATAAATACGCAAAAGACCTGGAGATTTATTTTGCGGATTGGCTGTTGCAGAGCTCACATTATCTTTGCACTGGTAATCACATATAAATTCTATCTATATCCATATTAATATACCTTAAAAACAATTTTTAACAACTTTCTATTAATAAGGTTAATATCATCTTTGTATTAGTATTTTACAGATAATCAAAATGTAAAATCGAGTGATGTTTTTTGCTAAATAAACTCCTATTTCTCAATCACAGCTGGCATATTTGAGTTTTTTTACAATATTTCGATATACACTTATATAGTTTGTGCCATCAAAAATTTAAAAATACTTAAGATTGCTGAGGGTTGGTATCTCCATGCAGCAGTTGTAATTGTTTCCTTTCTGATAACTTTTTTTGTTAAAATATTTGGATATTCTGGTAAAACTATGTTTGGTACTTGCTCTATAAAATCTGAGAATTAATTCCCCTTAAAAGGAATAGGTCTGTTACTTGTTTATATTTTTATCAGCTTATCAACTCTAATGTACTTAAACTATAAATTATCAAACATTAAGAAGTATTAAAAGTTATAAAAATTCTACTAATTTTACATGTATTCTTGCATTGCGACTTGGAGTTGCTTGGTATGTAGTCAAATTATGATGTTTCTAAATTGTAGATATTTCTAAAAGCCATCTCTTAACTTTTTTGTGACACTCGGAAATGCCTGTAAAATAATTACTACCCTGTACCTTCCTATTGTTCGTATAACAGATCCAAACATAAGACCAGTTTTTAGAGCAATTTTTAAAATATCCAAAAACTCTATTAAATAAAAAGATAAATAAGAGTTACCATAAAATAGTGTGAACAATTCATAAACAACCATTAATGATATTAGTATGAATAGTTCTATAGCTAGAAACATAAACTCTCATTTACTAAAAAATTAAAACTAGTTAGTAAATAAAAACAGTAATAGTTTAAGTGAAGAAAATAATAATCAATAAAAAGGAATAGAAATGGTCAATATTAATAAAGAATAAAAAAGAGATTCTTCTATGATCTAACAATTTTAAGGATAATCACTAGCACTGAGTCTAGTTTTGCCATAAAATTTAGCTGAAAGTATTAATTTGGAAGACTTTCAAATAGATCATGCAGTTTATGAATAAGATAAATCAAAATATTTATTTGCTAATTTTAACGAGCCTTCATAATCATATCCTTATTAAAACAAATATTTTTCTCCAAACTGAAATTCTAAATTAAATAAATTTATTTATTTATAGATTCATTCTAAATGAATGAGTTTATTTATTTAGTTTAAAAAATACTTACTTTAAACAAAAATAAATTATTAAATGTTTTAATAAATATTTGAGACAATAAATAAATAATAAAATTAAAATTTGTCTTACTAATATTTAAATAGTTATAGAATTTAATCAAATTTAATTAAATAATTGGATAAATTAATATTTTAATTCTCATTATTATCAATAAAAATTTTACAAAAACCTAGAAAATCTAAAATAATTTTTGTAATTTTATTTTTAAAATTTGTATTTTTACTAAATAAATTTTAAAAAGAACTTATTTATTAATTATCAATCAAATATTATCTTTTTTATCAAAATTCATTTCTAACAACAAAATTTATTTTTCGATTAAACATAATTTAAAAAAAAAGATATTACTTAAAAAATATACTGTATGTTTGTTTATCTTTAAAAGAATAAAATATTAAAACATAAGAAAATATTTTTAAATTACAAAATGAATAAATTAAATGATTTAAATTTCCATTGAAATATAAACTAAATATGTTAGATAAAAAATAAGATCTTATTATATTTAATATTTATTCCAATATAGATTTTTAAATTGTTTGCATTCATCAATTTATTACTTTTAAGATCTTCTTATTTTAAATTAAAATAAATTCAATTAATCATTAATGTTTTATAAGGATTTTTTATTTTAGTCAATATAAAACATTTTTATTTTTCAAATATATAAAAAACTTATATAAAATTCTTAGTTTATTTATTTGTAAAATCAACTTAAAAAAAATTATTGATTTTTACTTAGAAATTATAAATTAAAAATGAATATCTGCATTTTAGGCATTCTCCTTTCAATATTTGCTTTTTAAAAAAGTTTTGCAGCAGTAATATGCAAAGATTCATAAGCTTTGCCTGATAAAAATGGGATATGCTATTGTAATTATAGTTATTTTGGAACTCCTTCTGGAGTAAATACTTAATGCACATCTTGTGGAGGAAGTTAATCTTCTCCATATGGATCTGTGTCAAGTTTGGCATGTATAACTTGCCCTTCAGATAGTACTACATTTGATCAAGGCTCGGGTAAATGCCTTTGTTCTGATTAAAATGCTATTTTTAACTATACTGCTGATACGTGCGTTTGTAATGCTAATTTTTATGCTGATGTAAAAAATAACAATACTTGTACTCCTTGTCCTAATGGCCAAACTTCTTTATAAGGTACTTAAAAAGCATGCTAAGGAAGCTAAAGTATTATTCTTATTGCATCACACTTGTTAGTTTGTATTTTGATGTTTCTGATTTGAAAAAAATAAATATTAAATAACATAATAAATATTCATAAATGGTAAGGAAGCTAAAGTATTATTCTTATTAAGGCTTAATTATTCCTATATATTTTGATACTACAATTTGAAAAAGTATAAATAATTAAATGACTTGTTAAATATTCATTAATTGATTAGTATTTTTAAATATTTATGCAATATATATAGATTGATTTAGCAGTATTTGGAAAAATTAAATATTTAAAATCAGTAAATAATTCAAAAAACGAATTTATAAATAAATTTAAATTATTAAATATTTTATCATTAATTGAAACAATAAATTTTAAAGAGTGAATAAAAAAACAATTTTTAAATATTTAATAATAAATTTACAAATAAAATAGCATAGCTGAAAAATTAGTTTTACCGATTTCTTTGTGTTTTAGGTTTTTAAAATGTTTATTTTATTTTAAAATTCAAAAAACTAACTCTTGAATAATTATATTATATTTAAAAAAAATATTTATAATCCCTTAAAGGGTATGTAAAAATAGTCACCATAATTTAACTTGAAGAAAACTATTGATATGTAATTATATTTGAGTGACTTAATTATAAAAATTCTTCATAATTTAAAAATAAAAAGCCATTTTGATTTAAAAAACTTTTAGTAATTAGATTATTTAAAATGGTCTATTAATTTCATTGCACATATTAATATTTTTTGTAATCATTTTCTATGCGTTTAATGTATTCTTATTCAATCAGATTCTCAATACAGTTTTTTATGTGAAGAAAACAAGGTTCGAAGGTACGAGAGCATTTTTTAATTAATTCAACACATTCTTTAATAAGGTCATTGTGAGCCATAACTTTTCTAATCTTCATAATTTTAACTAAATAAGCCTTAATAATTTAAGTTCTTTCTTATTCAACTGTAGTCTAAATGCTAGAAATATTTGAATCATCCTATTAAGTCTAAAAATAAATTTTAATATATTAATCAGAGATAAATTACAAAATATAAATAAATGAGTAAAATGTTAAATTACTGAAACAGAAGCATGAGGCAAACAAAGAATACTTTTCTTAGTGGAATAAAACTAAGTATTAATTTTTATTTCAGAGAATTCAGTATATTTATCATTCTCACTACAATTCAAAATTTTGAGTTTAATTAGCTATTTTAGATTGCTATCAAATGAGTACTTATTAATTCCAGTTTAGTCCATTAAATCTTTGACTGTGAATTGATCTTTCTCATTCATCTTCATTAAGATCAACATTTGATACGAAGTTGTCCTTAAAATATACTTACCTCCAAAGTTATCCATATTATCACTTATGAAATTGATTTCAGCTGAACCTTCATTTAATAGCCAATAGATTTTCCTTTTATTATAAATTTAGTTGTATTGATAAGTGAATTAATTTATCAAGCCAACAAAAGAGGAGGGGAAAATAATGTTATCTTATTCATTTCTTAGAAGAGGCCAAGCAACTGAACTAAGTATGTAAATCTTTAAAACATCATTTTAAAACTTTTCTTTATTATACTGCTCGTTAATTTTAAGATCAGTGAGCATATTTTGAAATCTAATTACGGTAGTGTGAACGCCTATTGAATTCTATTGAAATAATTATTAATTTAATTATTCTAATATTGAATGTTAAAAGTAACCTTGAACTGAGTGACCATTTTATATTCAGCATCAATGCTTTTAAAGTTAAAACAAATTAATCTTTTACACAAGGCTTACTAATAGTACTGCAAAAATTCATCTTTTGACTACATATAAACAAAGATAGTATTAAAATCAGCTTATCTTCTCTCATATTCCTCATCAGATAAATCTAATAATAATGATAATGATTTTTACTTAAGTTAGTTCATAGTAAATAAAAATAATACTTTATTTCATAAAATAATCACAGTATAGTAGTAAAAGCTAAGAAGCATTTTTAAATTCAGTTAAACAGTATTAGAAAGTCTTGTCTATTGCTTCTTAATGTGCTAAATTAAATAACAAATCCTCATTTGGGATTTATTTTTCAACATATTTTTTAGTTTGAATCAAATCATGAACCCACTCAGTTGCAATTTTCTCTTTTTTTAATATTTATGAAAATGATTAACTTTTTTTCAAATAGTTTTTTGTTTGTTAATTTATTTATGGTGAAGGTCATTTATTTTTAAATAATCACAAAAAAAGAAAGAAATTTTTGAATATTACGATTCAAGTCTCTAAAATTCTTTTTCGAATAAGCTTTATTTTTTTCTTCAGATTAATAGTCAGTAATCTTTTTTTAAGCAGATTCAAATACAGGCTTAAAAATTTTCTATTGATAATAAAGCTACAACCTACTCTTTAATTGTAGAGCATCCATAATTGTTTCTTTTGTGTTATTAATTAATAATGGGTAGCAAATTTCTTCTTCTCTTTTTATATATTGCAGAGCCAAATTAAAATATTCTACATCATTCATACCAGCCCAAAGAGAGGCTAGTTTTTAAAAATGGTTTTTTGTCTAAATATTTTAAATTTAAAAGATTAAAAGTATTGACTGATTTTGAAAAAAATAGTAAGTATTCTCAAAAATTAATTAAAACATTGACAAGATGAAACCAAATTAATATTTTTTTTTTATTATATGAAACAAGAATTTATAATGATTATAATTTTTAAAAAATATTAAGACTTTGTTAATGGATAAATTTTTTAATTATTTTGATTTTTTTGTACATATATTTTTGCATTTGTTTTGTAATCAAACCAAATATGTTTAAATAGGTTTCATAGATTTTGAATCATTAATCTAACAAAAATTATAATTTTTTCTTTGGAATTTTTTAAAAATAAATAATTACGTTTTAGATTAAATCTTGATAAATGAATTAAATATCAATGCTTTATGTAAGTAAAATATAATTAGATTTATAAGAAAATTTTGCAAATTTAAATTTATAAAAAAAACAGTTTTTTTGTTTTGATTAAATAAAATAAAAAGTGAAATGTAATTTCAATTGATGAAATGAATTTTTTACCTTTTCCAAGAAAGGATTTTTGAATAGTTAGATATAATTTTTTGAGTTATCAGTAGAAGAATCACTGATTACTCTCAATTCATTATTTTTTAAATCTCTTTCTATCTTGATGTCCTTTTTAAAATCTAGATCAATAATAATTTAGATAACTCTACTAAGTTCTTCATTAGGAATCACATAGTTTGTTCTTGCTTTTTCAATCAATTTAAATATTTTTTCTATCATAATTTCCTTTAAACCTTCAAATTCTTTACGGAAATATTCAAAACTTTTTTTGAATACTGTTGTCCACAATTGAGTCTTGTATAAAAAATCTTCGATACTTAGTAAAAATTGCTTGATCTAAACAACAAAAATCTAAAAGCAGCTATAGTATTTAGAAATGAGCTTAATTTATTCTTCCACTTCTAAATTGATGTTAGATTATAAATCAGCTTTTATGGCATTAACAAAGTTCAAAATTTATTCATAGTGCCAAGCTAAAATGAGCTTAAAATAGTTGGAGCTACGAATTTAGCTTTATTTTTAAGAAATAATGTTTTTAATGATTTAAATTTTTTTAAATTATTTTTTTGTTTTTTAAATCTTAGGCAGAAAAATATACAAAAAATGTTAAAAATTCTATATAAAAATAAATAATTTGCATATTCTAAAAAATATTTTGCCAAAAATATTTGATTTAAAATAAAATAAAGCTATTTATTTTGATTTTAAATGCTTCAAAGTCTATTTAATAATTTTATTAATATTAAAAAAGTTTGCTTTTTAAATGAAGTAGAAGTAATTATTATTAAAGACAAATAAATTTATTATAATACAACAAAACAATGAAAGAATCTATAATATATTTGCTTACGCTGACAACTTGAAAAATTCATAAAATGAATTCTCATCAATTTTTCCTGTTCTAAAACTACATGTAACCTTTTCAAGAAGTTTTGTAGCTTGATTAAGGGTGTATTTAGTGGCTTCTTCAGAAATTGGCTAAAAAACACTCATAGCTATTTACTGTTGCGTTTATAATGTTTGCTTCCTTTTCTTATTTTTAATTTTACTAAATTTTTTTTAAATAATTCTAAAAATAAAATTCTTCTTAAACCTTTTAAATTAGAAAAATCCTTAAAAAAAATAAATAATAATTAATATCAACTAAAAATGAAATGCTTATTAAAAAATTTGATCCTTTTAACAGATATTTTTATTAAAGATTTCTCTCATATTAATATCATACTCGTTCATATATTTGTATAGTCCTCATTTTGATGTGCTAAAACATGATTTAATTTTTTGTCTAATATTTATTATTAATAAAAAAAAATAAATAAGGATAAAATAATTTAAAAATATTTAGCTATTAATTTATAATAAAGTTAAATTAATATTCCTTTGAAATTATAATAATGTTCAGTGATCTCAAAATTTAAATATTCTAAAAATTCTAAATTATATAAATTCTAAATTCTATGAATTACTTAAATTCTAACTACTTCATTAAAATAGAACAAACACCTTCTTAAATTAGAAGCATCTAATGTTTGAGTAATTATAGTGTATTTATTTAAATATTTATGATTAATTATATTTTAAACCAAATAAATTTATAGAAATAGAATATAAAATTAACAATTATTCAAAATACTAAGATTGTAAAATAATCATTTAAAGATATTCATTTAGAATATTTGAACTTAAACTTTAATTTTTAAATGATTATTCATTCATTTTAGGGTATTTTTTTAATTTAATTTTGATAAATAATGATCAAATTCAAAAATATCAATGCCAAAATTAACAGGTTTTTTGAATATACTTTACTTATTAATAATATTGAGTTAAATTTAACAATTACGCTCATGATTTTAAATCAATGGTTAATTAATTTTTCCTTTCATTTTTGAATTTTTTTAAATCCATATAAAATACATTTTATTTTTAAATTTGAAATATTTAAAAAGTTTGATTCTTTTTTTGTATAAAATAATTTGAAGCAATTAATTCTTTACATTAAAATAAAATAATTCATTCCACCTAATGGATATCGGAATAATGGCTATTATTATCTCTATTGTCTACTTATACATTACAATGTTACTATTTTTGAATATCTATTTTAACTTTTATGAAACTTTTTTTTGTTTCAATCGACGAAAGAGCAAAATTAATTATTATTGTTTTCATCTATTTTATCAAATATATAGTATTTAGTTACAAATATTTAAACAGTGGCTATTACTTAATAGTTAATATATTAAAAATGTATTAATTAATATTTATTTGAAATAGATAAGAAACAAAAATAGAAGTTAAGTATAAAAAGTAATCAGAAAATTAGTGTAGGATAAATAGCTAATAGAAATTTAAAAATTCAATTAATAGCCGCAATTTTTTTCTTTCCTTATCAAATAAAAATATATTGAAAGTCTCATAAAGTTCTTATCTTTAAGCTTTGATATCAAATAATTCTCATTAATCAAAAATAATACTGTTTACAAAATTTATAGCATATTGTTACTAAAAAATCTCTAATTATTTTTTAAAAAAGATATAAAATTAAACTATGTAAAATAATACATTTTTAAAAATTTAATGTATTTCCACCCAGCTATAATTTGTATGGTTTATACATAGTTAAATAATTTGGAAGTGTAACTAGTAAATTACAAATAGCGCATTGATATCTTTTGTAAATTTATTAAGAATCAATCAAATGGGGATTTTGTGTAAGATAAAATCCACAAATATTTTTTTAGTTTAAATTCCAAAAATTTAGATTGAACAACTTAATAATAAAAAAAGATAATAAATAATCACAAAAATGGTTCCTAGAATTGATATAGTAATTCAAAGTTCTTCTAAATGCTATACAATAAAAAGGTAGATAAATAAAAGTAAAACCACTAATTAAATGTTTATCAAAATAAACTTAGACGAATTTCAATATCCTTAATAAGATATAAATACCAAAGACCTAGAGTTATAGATAATAGATCAAGGAATAGAAGAAGGTTAAAAGAAAATAGCTTAAGTTGAATCTAAATAATTGTTATTGTAGAACTTCAAAGCTTAAAAGGGGAATATATCTTAAAGATTAACTTAAAACTTATAAGAAGAAGGCGCTTTGCTAAATAATCAACATTAAATGCTCAGACAGGTTTATTTTTCAAACTTGAGAGGCACATAAACTCCAGATGTAATGGAGATGAAGTAATAAGCTGTTGGGCTATCATAAATATAAAGAAGTAATCTCATAAATAAGATAAACAAAATGAAATCAAATGCATCTACAATTATCTTTAAAAAATAATCAAGGATTAATTCATAAATTGACTCTTTTAATATTACTAAAAAGTCTTTTAAATTGTTAGGTGGAGGTTGTGGAACATCAAGACCAAAGAATAGCGATGAAGATGCAATCAGCCCATAAAATATCCAAAAAGGATTAAAAAAAAATAATGATTAGCTTGACTTTGATTAATTATAATCTTTAAAGAAAGATTATAATTTCGATTAAAAAAATAATTAACAAAATGAAGAATCTCAAGAAATTAAAGCTATCGATTTTAACACGAATTATGCAGAATATTTTAAAGTAGATTAAGTTAAAGATGATGAAATAGAACTTTATATTAGATTAGCGATAGAAGAGAGTCTCTATCGCTTTAGAGAGTCTATTGTGAAACAAATACAGAGAGATAAGGTAATTGATCTCATCAATTTGATAATGAATTATTTGCTGATTGTCATTTAAGTCAAGAATAAACAAAGCTTGTAAAAAGATATTAATAGAATAGATAAAATACTAAAAGAGCTCTAAAATTATTGCAAAGAAAATCGAAAAATTTATCCTGTACTTGATTTGTACAAATACTTTGATATTTTAATTGCTTTAAATTCTCAAAGAATAGGTTTAGATAAAGCTAATTAGAGTACTTTTTCAAAGATCGCTGAAAAAATTATTCAACTTGCTAAATTTGGTGCTGGATTCGTAAGTATTGCCGGCGCTATAAAAAACTTAACATAATTAACATTAGATGATATCAAAAAAACAATTAAAGAGGTGAAGTTAATTTATGAAGAAATAACTTCTTCAACTGCATTTTAATAGTCAAAGGAAATGTATGCAGATTACACGGCCGGTAATTTATCTTAAAAACTATGTGCTTTATGGTTTAGCAGGTTTGATATTATTAAAGAAGACAATTTGACTGATAAGCAATCTGAAATTATTTTCTATTTAGAAGAATTAGAGAAAATTCAAAATAAAAATAAAGAAAATAATGAGCTTGTTCTTTTTATTTATATGCAATTAAATTACTTGCTTGGTAAAGAAAAGAGTAATGATAATTTTAAAGAATTTTCTCAGAAATTAAAAGACCTCAATCAGTAAGATTTAATCTTAAAATTTGTGAATTTACTTCAATTGAGACCATATAAGAATGGTGTTGTTGATTATGCATTAAAGAATATTGCCAGTTAAATCGTTACAAATGAACATTTTAGATACTAAAAAGCATAATTGTTGTTGCATTTTGCTGAAATCATAGAATATTTTGATTAATAGGAAGAAGAGCATCACAAAATTATGATAGATTTATGCATAAATTATTTGCAAGAAAAAGAAATGTCAGTCAAAATTATTTATAAAGGAAATCATAAAATGAAAGAATTTATTGATAAAATGGATTAACATTACTTAGAGATAGTTAAATAATCAAAAGAATCTAAAAGTTTACTTAGTACCTTGGTAAATAACGAAGAGTAAGTAAATCAGATCACAAATGACATTTAAAAAGAAGAAGATATACCAAGATTACTAGCAATTAACTTCTTTTAATTATGGGAGGCGAGTGTGAAATAAAGATAAGATCAAAACAAACTTGCGCATAAGGATGATGCTTTGCTTGAGGCTATCAATTTATATATTAAACAAAGAGCAATCTTTAAAGAAGGAAATAAAATATTTATGTAAGATAGTCTCAGTACAAATTCAAAAGAAATGGATGTCTTACAGTAAATTATAGATAAATTCCTTATCCCTAACTACGTTAAAACAGCCTAGTAAAGCTAAGAAAAAACAAATGGATAAATTATTTCCAATTCTTTCCCTTGCTAAATGTTATCTATCCTTGCAGAAGGAGGATCTGGAAAATCTATGCTGTTAAAAAAACTAGAATATGAGTTGTTAAATAACGAATCTGAATATGTAAAAGATGAAAGAGCAAAATATATTCCACTTATTGTGAAGTGCAGCTTTTTAGATAAAGAAGAGCCATCTATTGAAAAGTATTTATTATCTTAAAACTTTAAATCAAGTGAAATAGAGATATTAAAAAAATCTGAGAGGAATAAATTAATAATGTTAGATGGATATGATGAGTATACTGGAAAGTATTTCAAAGTCTTTAATAAGCTAAAAATATCATAATGGGTCAACACCATTGTGATAGTTACTTCTAGATTAGATAAAATATCTGTCTAAGATGCGCAAATATATTTAAGCATAGAAGATGAATCAGATAATTCAATTTAAAGTAACTCTTATGCTATCCTTGAACTCTAAAAAATATAGGACAAAGATATCCAACTTTATTTAGAAAAGTTTAAAGTTAAATTAATGAAGGATAACCAATTAAAAAAAAATTAATGGTAATATGAAAGATTTTAGAAAACAATTTTTGAAAACAAACAGTTTATTCAATTGCTCAAACTCCCAATTAACTTATATCTGACAACAAGGATGATATTAGATTTAGATCTCAATGATCAAAATATTTTGAATATTTTTAGAACTGCTAAAGACCAGACTTAAATATAAGAATTATTTTTCTAAAAAACATTTAAAAAATCGGCATAAGTTTTTATTGGATAGTAAAATTTAAAAGCAGAAGAAAACTAAGAGTAACTCGAAATAGTATTTTTGTCTCACTTTGAATACTTTTAAGCGATGGCTATTCATATATACAAGTAAAAAGGAAATAAACTAAATTTCCTTACTACTACAAGAAACTCAATTAAATTTTCTCTAAGAGAGGACGTTTAAAGCAATTTGAAAGCTAATAATATAGAGACAGAAAGGCTTACCTAATATTTGAACAACTATGCTGACTCAAGAGTGATAGCTAGAACATCAATTACATAGGAATAAGAAAGTTCTAAAAAAGAAGAAGAATAAGAAGGTAGTGAACCTTAAAGTTAAGAGCAAAAAGAGATTGAAAAAAAGCAAGATGAAGACTTATCATATGAATTAGAATTCAGGCATAAAACTATTTTTGAATATTTTGCAGCAAGGGCTATGAAATTTGATTTTGATATACACAAAGAAAACATTCATCTACTACCAATTGAAACGCTTTAAAAATTTAACATCAACCAAATATAAATAATGTAAAGAGGATAAAATTTATCAGAATAACAAATTCTACTTAAACTCTTTTAGTTGATAGAATAAGATAAAAAGAATTGTGATATCTATTAAAATTATAATTTTGATCAAATAGAGAAAAATAATAGATATATTCAATATATAAGAAAATCATACATTGAAAAGTATGATTAAAAGAGCTTAATTGATTGTGGATCTTCCAATTTACTTTCTGCCATATTTATATCGAGATTTTTATTTAAAGATTTAATTCTTAAATAGTGTTCGCTCTCTACATTGTTTAACTAGAATTATAGACATTATAGCCTAATATTGGATCAATGTAATTTAAATAATTCTGTCATTGTGAATATGGATAGCAGATCTATCGAATCTTCAAACACAAGTGAAGCAATTTTAGACTCTTTACAGTAAGTCTTTTCAAATGAAAACTAATTCAGATTTTCGTCAGTTATATTCTATGGCAATAGCGTTATAGGTGTAGGCAAGTGGGGAATAATAACAAAGTATAAGATGCATAATGATATTTTAATTTTAGAATAAACTAAAAGGATTACATGTTCACCTATTAAATTTATTAAAAAGTGTTCTAATGATTATGCTGTGATTGCTTCAATAATCACAGTATTTTTGATTAATCTAACCGATTTTAAAGTTCATAAAATAAAAAATTTTTATAAAACTATTAAAAATATTGATTTTATAAATAATCAAATTGCAGTTTCCTGTGCAAATGATGAAAATTATATTGGAAATTTAGATTTTAAATTTAACAAATTAGAGATAGGTGGAAGTTTATTAACCCTTTCATACGACTGTAAGCTGTTAGTCACACAGGATAAAAATACGATAAACATTTATAATAAAATAAATGAAAACTATTCCTTAGTTAAATAAATCACAGAATTTGAAAAAGAAACTCACCTTGCTTAATTTTCTCCTGATGGTAAATTTCTTGCAACAGTTCTTAAAAGAGATTCAGAAATTTATATTTGGAATGCAGAAAACTAATTTGAAATGGTAAAAAATATAAGGGAACATCGTTATTTTATAACATGCATTGCCTTTTCTTCTGATAATAAATATTTGGCAAGTGCTTCTAAGTCAGGTGAAGTCGAAATATGGGATATAAATGACAAATTTAAGGAATTTAAATACGTATTTTAAAAGTTTTATGTATCAGCTATTGCATTTTCTGATGATATGTAATCATTTATTTGCTGTACTAAGAGACTTACTTGCAATATATATGATGTATAAAAGTAATTTAAAATAAAGATAAGTATAGTTGGTCATACAGATAATGTTAGAGTAGTAGCTTTTTCACCAAATGGGAAATACATGACAACAATTTCTGAAAATAAGTAAATATGGGATATAGAAAAAGATTTCTAAATAATAAAAACTATGGAATGCAATTTCAAAACGTATGGTTTATCTGCAGCTTTTTCTCATGATTCAAAGTATTTAATATTTGGCTTAAAAGAAGTAATTGAAATACTTAATGTAGAGAAAGACTTTGAACTCATTCAAACAATTAAGGTACATGAATTATGTATCTGTGGAATATCTTTTTCATATGATGGAAAATATGTAGCAACTTGTGGAGAAGATGATAGATTTTGCAAAATATGGAATTTGAATAAGAATTTTGAATTAGCTACTTAAATTGAAAATAAATTTTATTTTCATTCAGCTGTATTTTCTAGAAATGGTAAATATCTTGCAACAGGAACTAAAAATTGTTAAGTATGGAATGTCGAGAAAAATTTTGAGCAAATTATAGAAGTAAATGACAATTGGAATTAATGTATAGCTTTTTCTGCTGATAGCAAATATATAGCTGCTGGTTCTGAAGATAATAATTGTAAAATATTGAATGCTCAAAAAAACTTTTAAGTTACTCATATTTTAGAAGGATTTAATTGCCATGTAACTTCTATAGATTTTTCAGCAGATGGAAGGTATTTAGCTACTTGTTCTAGGGATGACAAAGATTGCAAAATATGGAGCATCTTAGAAAATTTTTCACTGATTCAAACATTCAAACCAAATAAAGATAAACGTGTTTTTTAAGTTGCTTTTTCTGCTGATAGCTAATATCTGGCCACTGCATCAGAAAAAAACTGCTTATTATGGAGTATGCAAAATAGATTTGAAGCAATTAGTCAAACACAAAGTCATTCATAATAAATAAATAGCATTGCCTTTTCTCCAAATAAAAAATATCTTGCAACTTGCTCTAATGATAAAACTTGCAAAATATGGGATTCAGAAAATAATTTCTCTTTAATAAAAACCATAAAAGATCATTCTGGGTATATAACTTCAGTTGCTTTTTCCGCTGATAGTTTATACATGGTAACAGGTTCTAAAGATGAAACTTGCAAAGTATGGTAAGTAGACAACAATTTTGAACTTTATGTAACATTAAAAGATCATTAAGATCCTATTTAATCAGTTGCTTTTTCTGCTAAAGGTAATTAATATTTAGCAACTTGTTCAATATCATTTTGCAGAATATATGAGTATTCAAAAGGTTTTAAGCTAAAAGACTCTTTAGATGTTCTATCTGTAAATTCACTTTCCTTTTCTCCTGATAATAAATATCTCGTTACTTGCAGTATAGTAATAGGTTCTCTCAAAATATTCGATGTAAACAAAAATTTTCAAGTGGTTTACAAAATTGATTAACCATTTAGCTCTGCTGTTTTTTCTAACAATGGAAAATATCTTGCAGCTAGAGGTAATAATAAGTTATTTAGATGTCATTAGGTATTTTCTATATAAAACTAATTTTAAATGATTTAAAATTCTCAAATTGGGATAGTAACATCAATAACATTCTCTCCTGATAGTAAATACCTAGTAACTGGTTCAGAATAAGATTGCAAAATATGGAGTGAATAGGATGGTTTTTAATTAAAAGGCACAATTGAGTATCCCAGTTATGTACTTTCAATTGATTTTTCTTAGGATGGAAAATACTTAGCATTTGGTGGTTAATCTAAATATATCATGGTTATGGAACAATTTAACAGCAAATATTTATTATGAAATCTAGATAAATATAAATTAACAAAAAACTACTTTATCATAACCTCCTACATTCTTCTCTTTTTAAAAAGCTTTTAAGAATATTTTTAAAGTAGTCAACATATTTATTTATACATATTTGCAAAAATTTATCCATGATTTGTAAAGATTGTTTGTTAAAAGTTAAATTTATTTTGTTTAATTTTAAATTTATTTTTTAAAAGAATATTTATTTATATTTTTAGTTTAGCATTTCTCCTAATTAAAAACTAGTGAATGTGACCAGAGGTGCTCTATGCGCCAATTGAGCATTTAATCAATGGATTCATTAGGCGCATATTATATAATAATTTAAAAAAGAAATTTTAAAAAGTAAGGTTTGTGATTTTTATATTAAGACTGTTTTCAGATTTAATTATGGAACTCAAGAAATTATATAGATAAAATGAGTATATAGCATATGAAGCATATAAAAGAAAATTAAAAAACACAATTAATTAAAGAATATTTAATTGGTATTAATTGTAAAATTAAATGGTATAATTTATTATTTTAATTGCAATGATTAATTATGTAATTACTTATTTTAAAATATTTAGAAAAAAGAATTTTACTAAATACATAAAGTAAATTCAAATCTGATCAATTAAACTCCATTAAAAAATAATTGATTTTGATTTCTTATTATAAAAATTCTATTTATAATTTAGCTATAAATGATTTTTATCTATTTATATTTGAAAGTTTTAATATGCAAAATTCTAAAATCTCTTAAATTAATAAATAAAATAACTTCTTAAAAGTATATATATTTGTGTATTAATTGGAATGGGTTATTTTAAGGAAATTTAAAAGTTTATTTTTATGAATAAAAATGAACAAACAAAAACAAAATTCTATACAGAATATTTAATCAGTATTTATTGTAAAATACATTGGTAAAATTTATTATTTTAATTGTGTTTTTACTTATTTTAAAATATTTAGTAGAAGAGATTTTTATTAAATACATAAAGTTAGTCTTCTTATTTATATTACTTTTAAATTAAAAATTTAAGTTCAGCACATCAAAAGTATGAATATAGTTAAAGAAGATTAATTGAAAAAGTAAATTCTTATCAAAATAGAATAAGAAGCTGACCTCAAAAAAGTAGCAGTATTTTTAAGCTATCATAACAATTACAAAGAAGTTAACTTGCAGTATGGGCCAAAGATTAACAATATCTGCGTAAGAAGAATTAGGAGGACTATCAATAAGTGGAATCAAAATATAAAAGAAGAGAACAAAGCTTAAACAGTTAATTTATACCTTTCCCTGTAAGTCTTCGATATTTATTAGATGATAAATTTAATCAAATATGCAGAAAAATAATCAGCTTTGAATAGGAATTTTCATATTTATATTGAAAAGTAAGACTAAAGCGCTTGGAAAATAGAATCTTTATCAATTCAATTTGATTTTAATGAGGATTCTATTTACTTTTACAATGAAAATAAAAGTCAAGAAATGGGTCATAAATTTATTAGAGCATACTGGAATAAAACAATTTCTTAATAAAAGAACTCATAAGTTGAAGAATTAGATTATACGCAGCTTATAAGTTAACTTGCAAAACTCTAAACAGTCTTCAAGTGTAAAAACATACATTTAATATATAAACTATTGTTAAAGACTTATTTTAATTAATTTCTTTTCGAAATTTGAATAAAATTACATGATATTCAATTACAATTAATTGAGTATTTATGTATTTATTGAATGTAGAATATTGAAATACAATCAACACTTTACTATCACTTAAATACCTTTTTTAAATATTTTTTACAGTCAAAACTATCTCATTTTTTACGCTTATTTATTTTAATAATCACAAAAGGTATCAACTTAAACAAAATATATTTGGCTACTTCAATGAAAAAGATCAAACTATAATTTGAAGGTAATTAATTTATCAATTATTATACTTGTTGAAATGATGAGTTATGACTAGTGTTTATTTATTATTTTTTTTTATTTATTTTAAATCTAATGTAGTTAAAACTGCATTACAATCTAAAACAAAAGATTAATTTTAATATTAAAAAATAAAATGAAAAAAATCCTTAAAAATAAAATCAAAAAAATCTTTAAAAATAAAATTCATAAAATCTTTAAAATAATGTTAATATGCTTTTTGTTAAAAAAGGCTTTGATTTAAAGAAATCTAATTTCTTTCCGAGTCCATAATAGCTATGGAATCATTTTTATCATGGAATAATCACAAACTCTAAAAATAGAATAAGTCTTTAGGAGTTAAATGTAGAATTCGAAATACTTGGGTGCTAAGATGATCAACTTTTTAATAATAGAATATAGCATTAATTAGAAACACTACCTAATTTAATTAGAGTAGTAATATCTTATAAACTAAAATAAAATATTTAGCTTTAAAATTCAACACAATAGAATGATGTTTTGATTAGCTTAAAATTACTTATTAACACGGTTTAGACAGTTATTAAAAGAGGGAGTCAATAAATTTAATATTTTGTTGGGAAGATAAGTACATCTAACTCAAAGAAAAAAGTTAATATTTTAAAAATTTAGATGAGCAGAAATAATTAATACAATAACTGGTAGCAGGGCATATTTAAGTTGAGAAATAAAGCACAATATTTAAAATCTAAAGAAAATTTAGACACATTTATGCAATTATTCTATTTAGTTAAATAAAATGTATTGTTAAATGTTTAAAAACTTAAAATTTATATTTAAGAATTTCAAAACATTTAAAAAAATTACTAAAGAGTGTTCCACAACAAAGATAGTGAAGATCATTCGTTGAAATTTTATTAAGACTTGTTTCATTTGAAACTTTATAACACAAAATTAATAAGATATAATCTTATCTTGTGTGAAGAATCGTTTCACTTAAAAATGAAAATTCAAGAATTTCATCACTTTATCAAATATGCTGACAATAATAATAACAGCTCATTTAACTTTAATTGCACAGATCGTTTTAGGAGTTCTAAGTTGCTTTATCATTTTCTAGATACAATTTTTACTAAATCTATGAAAAATTTGCCAAAGAATGCATTATTTTACAATTTTGTTGAGATGAACAAAATGATTGAGGATAACGATAAAATAATCGTTGAAAAGCATTCATAAAAACTCAAATTAATATAATAAAATAATTTGAATTTAATTAAGGAAGAAAGCAATATTTCAGAAGACTAATTAAATTTTAATGACACAGATGAGAATCCAAGAGATAAATCTGCTTTAAAAATATAACAATCTATAAAAAAACCACATTCTTTCATTTTAGATTATAAAAATAAAACATAAAATAAAATACTAAATAGTTAAGGATCTTTAAATTTTATAGATAACTTAGAGTAAAATAATTTAAAAGAAAATGGTAAAAAATTAGAAATTAATAAATCTAACACTGTTTATGAATTTGGAGCAAATTAAAAATCAAAAGCACAATTAGAAGTCAATTAAAGTTTTATAAATATTCCTAAAGATGATTTAGAATGTAACAACTAATAAGAAAAATATTTAAAAGAATTTCAACTTGAGATAGAATGTGTCGATAGCTATGAAAGATTTGAAGATTTCTTGTAAAATACACTTTCAAACATGATGAGTGCTCACACTTAAAATGTAAAAATAATTATTAGAGACTCTAATTTCTATGAAAAAATAAATAATAATAATTAAAATGGAAATTCAAAACCTATAATTTAGAATATTTATTTTGATATTTTCAATAAAATTCTTTCAAAGATGAATGTGTGGCCTGAGCAATAGATAAATTTACAATTATTTTAAAGGAAAATCTGCTAATTTGCTATTATTTTACAAAAAAATTATTTTTAAATTTGCAATGTAGCCTAAAACGAATTGATTAATGTAGAAATGACAATTACTAACGATGCTTCGCTGATTAAATAAATATAGTCAAGTGGTCTGATGTAAGAAAGAATGAAGTAATCTAAATTTGAAATTAAATCCTAACAAGAAAATGCTCAACAAAATATAGCAAATATATATTCCTATCTGCAAAGGATGTACAGAGTAAAAAATTAATTTTATTTTAATACTTTTAACTGAATTAACTAATTAATTTTACAATATAAATTTAAAATAGTTTTTAGTGTAGAATAAGAATTGGGCATTTGCTTAGGAGTTTCAGTAAATGATTAACTGTCTTGGATATAAAATTTATGAACTGCATATATAATATTAATCTTTTGAAAATTTATAAAATTAAGAAAGCGTATTAAATCATGTGATGAATTTAAACACATAACAGATTTCTTTAGTTTATATTAACATTCAGCAATAAAATAACTAAAACAATATAAATAAAAATTTTATTTAATGGCTTGATTTACTGATTTAAAGCAGATTGCCTGCTGTAAACATAAATTAAACAGGAAAAATGAAGTAAAGTTAAAAATCTATTTTGACAAATTCTAGCATGCAAAATCTTCCAATTATTTAGTTTAATGTGTAGTAAATATAACTAGCATTTAATCCAAGAAGATAACTTTTAATTTCTAAATGGCTAAGCAATAACCAAACTCAATTAGAGAAAGACATAATAGCTGTTTTAGAAACTAAATTCGGAAGCTGCATAAAAATGATAACAACAGCTCAATGCGGCTTGACTCACAAAAACAAGCAAAAAAACAATATAATGGATAATGAAAATTCTAAAAACCTTGAAGAATTTGAAATAAACTTCAATTTAAATATGTCAGTTATAGTTGCAAAGGTACAGCAAGATAATTAACAAGAAATTTAGTCTATTAGACCTGGTCTATGCTTTAACTTTATTAAAATATTTTCTAAAATGAAATACATGGAACTGATTGTAAATCCAAAAAATTCTAAATTCTAATGTTAGCTGGGATAAAGATTACAGTAAATGAATGAAATAATAGATTTAAAGATTCATTTCACAAAAAATCCTTAGGCGAATTGGGAAGAGTATACTTTAATTGAATATCTTGGTTTTTTAAGAGCTAAATTACTTCATATTGAAGTTTTAGATGAAGAGAGAGACTTGAAATTTGTAGATTAATCAAAAAGTGTGTTCTATAATCTGCTCACACTGTAAAACTTGGTTTCTTTTTAAATAAGAGTTGAACAAAACAATGACCCAACAGTAAATGCTAAATATAAATTAAGACATTTCGATTTTTTACAGCCATTCCTATACATACCTAAGAATTTATTAACGTTTTAAGTTATCACTCCTCATAAAAAAATAAATGATTAATTCAATTTCAATAAAAGATATTTGATTTAACTTTCAATCAAATCTATCTATAAACTAAAGATTTTTAGAAAAGACATAATTTATCAAATCATTGACTTTTATTTATGAAAACACTTATTATCAATCAATCAACCAACCAACCAATCATTAAATATTTAACAATTTTATTTCTAAAATCCGACTTTTCTTAAATATAAATATTATACAACTTATTCTCTCCATTTTTTGTTTTAACAATTAATTAATTTATATATTAGTAATTAATACTCACAATTTTGTATGATAAGCAAATTTTTTTAGATTTATTTTATTCAAAAATAATCTTTTTTTTAATTAATTGAGTCGGTTTCTGATATTATTTTTGTATATTAATTGATAATGCTTAAATAATGAAGAAGCAAATAAAAAATAACTCTTGAAAAATTAAATAATTTTTTATATTTTATAAACAAAGAAAGATGATTTAATTTAAATTATTTAGGTTTTTAAAGGTATCTATCTATCCATATAGTAGTTTTTTCTCATAAATTAATTTGAAATATAAAAATTTTTTTTTAAAGTGCATACATCAGATATTTTAAATAAAATGAAAAAATCAAATAAATAATAACTATAACAACTTTTTAACTTAATCATTTCAAAAAATTTGTTATAAATTAAAAGTTGATAAATAGCAAAAGATATTTAAAAAATTCTAAAAATAAATAGGATAAATGAAAAAGTTATAGATTACAATTTTAATTCTTCTTTTAGTTGGTTCAATTCAAGTTTAGGCAGAGCTTTAGTTTGTAATTGAAATTTATCGCCATGGAGCTAGAGGTCCTCTAGGTGATTGGTACGATGCAAGGGAGTAGAAATATACTTACGGTGAATTAACTGCTACTGGATAGCGTTAACATTATAATTTAGGAGCTTAATTGAGAAAAGAATATAGCGGATTTCTTCCAGATAGCTATAATCACACCCAAATTTATGTAAGATCTACTGATTACAATAGAACACTAATGAGCGCAGCATCACAATTATAAGGAATGTTCCCTGCTGGCACAGGAGATGTTCTTCCAGATAATTTGGCAGAGCAATATACTTTACCTGCTTTTGCTAATGCCTAAAATTATTTAAAAAGTAATTACTCTCTCCCAAACAATATTCAAGTATTGCCCATTCATACACAGCCAAGAGTTGGTGATAAAGTCCTCTCACCTGAGTCTAACTGCAAAAATTATAAATAAATAATTAGTGAATTTTACAAAGAGAAACAATCAACAGTTGATTTTATTAATAAGTAATTTGAATAAACATATTAACAATACTCAAAAGCAATCTACCAAGAGGTTAAAAATTTTGACAATTAGCACTATCTAGAATCCGTTTTTGAGTGCGATAGAGCAAACGGTAGATATGTTCCTGATTTCACTTAAGAACTAAAAGATAACTCAACTTATTTGACTTCCCTTTCTTGGAATTTCTTGTTTAATTAACCAGATTTGCTTCGTGCTTTAAATTAACCTTTTTTTAGTTCGTTTTTAGAATATACTGATCCAGTAGTAAAAAATAATAATACTTCAGGTCTGAAATGGGTGATGTTTAGTGCTCATGATACCAATATTCAATTAATCAGTGCAGCTCTTAATTTTACAAGCATTGATTGTTTACTAGCCTTAAGATTCGAAGAATATAGAAAAAAAGATCAGGTGTTTTATAATTGTGAATATTACCCTCATTTCACTTCAAATATTATTTTTGAATTACATTTATCAGATAAACCAACAGAAGAAAATGGAGTCAAAATATAATAAAATTAGTATTACTTAAAAATTAGAAGAGATGGCAAATTTATGAAGTTATGTGATAAGAACTCAACTATTTGCTCTTATAGTGAGTTTAATTAAAGAATTTAGCAGTTCATGCTAAATTTTGATACAGTTTGCTAAAATGTAGAATAAAAAAATCAAGAGACCACTTAAAAAGCTGAAGATTATTCAACATATTATATCGTTGGCTTAATTTTATAATCAATAATAATAGCTGGTTGTGCTTTTTACATCTTCTAGCTTCTTTAGAAATAAAAATCTTTGCTAAATTTTGAATAATTTAAAGACATAGAAGCAGCAGAAATCAGAAATTCTTAATGAAGATATTAATAAATAAATAAAAATCAAAGTTATTTATCAAAAATTATTAGTTGAAAAATTCACTTATTTATTTATTTTGTAGATTATCATTTTTTAAAATTAAAATAAATTTAATTGATTAAATAACAAAATAAATCATTTCTAATTTAACTTTCCTCGAATTAATTATATTTTTGGCATTTACTTGTTAAAATTTTTTTTCAAATTAAGGTTATCAGTTGAATCCTTTAGGAATTTAAATTAAATTTAAAGTCAAAATTACTTTTTGCATTTCTCAATCCAAGCAAAATATGAGGCAAAAAGCATATATTTATACATTTATTTTAACTTTCTCAATTTGGTACATTCATTTTATTATTATTATTAATAGTCGTTTACATTATGTTTATTTTAAACCTTACATTAAATTATTAGCACTTCTTATTTAAGAAATTGTAATCATAATGCTTATTAATTAATTAATGATATTATATTGGATTGAAATTTTAAGTATATAAAGCAAAAAGTATTACTTGCATATGTCATCATAAAATAGAGGTAAAAAGCATATATTTACAAATTTGGCTTAACTTCCTCAACTCACCACATAAACTTTTATTTATTATCAATAATCGTTTACATAATGCTTATTTTTACTCATACATTAAAATTACAACGAAATGTGAAATGTAGTAGAAGATATTTATCAATAATTTATAATTAAAATAAGAATAAGAAATGTATGTAAATATTTTTAAAGATACTTTTATTTAGCAATTTTATACAAAAGTTATTATTTTTTCTATTCTTTTTTAAGTATTCAAAGATAGTGAATAAGGTAATTAGAATACTAAATTACATATCTAATCAAGCAGTATAATTAGATTATATGAAACTGATTCAGGTCAAAGAATTAATTAAATAAACACAATGAATTTGTTTAGATATTAATTAAAATAATTAAAATGAATAACATAATGGAATAGGAAGTAAGACTTAACTTTCATTTGAATAAAACACCACCATTTAATCTAAGTCAATTTCCAAATGAAAAGAAGAAATATGAATTTTATTAATTATACTAATTTTAGTTAATGAGATATCTATTTATTGTATCTTTAAAGTGTAAATTAAGCATTCAAATTCAATTATTATTTAATAACTTAAATTAAAATCACAACTAAATAAATAAATATAAGCATGAACAAATCAGCTTTAACAATTTTATTTGTAATTATCTTTTCAGTTTAAGTTTAAGCACAACTTAAGTTTGTGCTAGAACTTTACCGTCATGGTGCTAGAGTTCCTATAAACAGTTGGTACGATGCTAACTAGCAAAAAGCCGATTCAGGAGAACTCACTGCTACTGGATAAAGATAACATTATAATCTTGGACTTAAGTTGAGAGAAGAATATAGAGGATTCATTCCAGATCATTATAACCATTCAGAAATTTATGTTAGATCTACTGATGTTAATAGAACTTTGATGAGTGCTGCTTCTCATGTTTAAGGTATGTTCCCCTAATACACTGGAAACTTGCTACCATCTAACTTGAGTGAGTAATATACTTTACCATATTTCAAAGATGCTTAAAATTACTTACCCAACACTCTTTCTGCACTTCCAAGTAACATCTAAGTTCTTCCTATTCATACCCAACTTGAAGATGGAGACATCGTTCTTCAACCTGATTCTAACTGTAACAATTACAGTAAGCTAAAAAAAGCTTTTTATGCTGAAAAGTAAGACACTATAAATTTTATAAACTAGCAATTCAATAATACTTACTAATAATACTCTATTGCTGTCAATTAAACAGTTAAAAATTTCGATGATATGCATAGTTTAGAAAGTACCTTTGAATGTGATAGATATAATGCCAGATATGTCCCTTATTTCTCTTTTGACTTAAGAGAAAACGCTACCTTCCTTACTTCTCTCTCTTGGAATTTCTAATTTGGCTAGCCCGATTTATTGCGTGCTTTAAACACTCCTTTCTTAAATCAAGTACTTGCTTACATGAATCCTGTTGTTTAAGGAAAGAATAAAAATGGGTTAAAGTGGGTTATGTTCAGTGCTCATGACACTAATGTCCATTTGGTTAGTGCTGCTCTCAACTTTACTAGCATTGATTGTCTCCTAAATCAAAGATTCCCTGATCAATATAAACCTACCACTCCTTATTACAACTGCGAGCAATATCCTCATTTTACTGCAAGTTTAATATTTGAATTACACCAAGCCAATCAAACCTTTACAGAAAACGGAGTTGTAGTTAACAATGATTAGTTCTACATTAAAATTAGAAGAGATGGCAAGTTTATGAATTTATGTGAAACAAATTCAACTGTTTGCACTATCGAAGAATTTACTAAAAGAGTAAACTGGTTTGTTAATGACTTTAATGCAGTCTGTAACTAATCTATTACTAAAGATAATTCTAATTCAGAAATGTTAGTAGCTGCTCGTACCTAGTAGACTGTTCATACTTAAAATATAGTACCAATAAACAGTGAAAAATCAGGTTCTAGCTCAACTAACTACTATTTGATAGTTTTAATTATTTAGCAAATTGTTATTTTTGTAGGTGCTTATGCTTATTACAAATCTAAATAATCAAAAAAAGCTTTTGATTTCTAGGAATTCAGAGACATTGAAGTTGCTGTTTAAAACTGATACATACAGTCTGAATGAAAAATTAATTTAAAAATTAAAAAAAATAATTTTATTGTTTTAATATTTTTATAAATATATAGATAGATAATATATATTAATTAGCATTTACTTTAAACAATTTTATAAAAAAATATTAAATGATTATGAGATAAAAAATACGAATTCATTAATTTCAAACTATAATAATGTAAATTATATTCTCAAAAATCAAATTATTCTACAGTATAAGCCTCTACAAGTTAATAACTAACTGAGTTGTCGAATAAGTATAAGTATATTCTTAGATCTTAATATGAATCAAGATAATGTTTATTCTAATCTATTAATTCTATTTTATTCTAATAATCTGGATAATCAAGTATTTCTAATTACTATCCTTCAATCCAAACTCTCAACTCAAAGACACTATTTTTATCTATTTCAAAGTCAAATCCTTTAGTAATCTTGTCAATTCCACAACCTCCTTAATATTTAATTTTATTTTATAAGCTCATAAACCTACAGCTAAGCTTATCTTTAAAACCTTAGATTTTATCAATACTCTCATTCTATATTAATCCTATGTTAAACAATACTTCAGGTTAAATAACATCGCATTTTATTCTAAAAATATATTTTTTTTATTTTTCAAGAATATTTTGAGAAACACAATTTATATCCCAATCTTTATACAGTCCAAAATAATTTGGTTAATCAACTTTTATTTTGATTTTTTTGCTGCTATTTTTATTAATAGAAAGTCTTTTATTACTTTCTTAATAATTAGTGCCTATAAATTATATTTTTTGTAATATATCAACATAATTTTGCTACAATAAATCATAAATAGGAAAACTTCTAAATATTTAATATACTTCCTATTTCTTATAGTATTTATGACTATTTAAAAATTAACTTTGTTTATAAGTTTGACTAGTTTCATAAATTTTTTTGTCTTAAAACTATATTCTCTTTTTTAGTAGATTAATTAATTCCTCAACATCAGCCTCTTGAAGTTAGTTAAGCAAGTCGAATTTCTCAGATGATGAAAAGATCTAATCCAAATTGATCTAATTCAAAAATGGATAAAAATCGATAAAGAAGTTTATTAGACTCTACTGAAGATTTTATTTGATAAAATTAATTTTATTTTCAATTAATAGCTTCATATTTTTAATTTTTTAAGATTCCTATAAATGATTAGAATATTAATTATTTTCTTATAGCTATATTTAATGCTAAATATACTCATTTATTTATTCTAATTTTTAGTTGCTTACTTTTGAAAATTAAATTGGTTTATAGTTCTAAGAGTGCATATTCTCAAATTCTATTTTATCTAAGACTGGATTCACCTTATCTAAAATATCCTTTACTTGCTTCAAAAACTGTTCACTACAAAAATTGCTTTTATTTGATATTAATTACATTAGTTTATCAGAACTACTTGAAGAATTGACATTACTAATGTTTGATATATCTAAGTCTACATTAATGTATTGATCATTAAAGAATGTGATTTCCCCAATATTAGATATTATTTATTTTTTAATTAAATTTGGAAATTCGAAATTTAGCATTTACTATTTTTGCTAGCATTTTATTAGCAAATTTTATAAATTTTAGGTATTTATTTGTTTTGATAATTCAAATTGAGAAATAAAAGTTTTACAACTAGATTAATGCTCTTCAAAAGAAGATTCTTAACCTTATAGTATGAGTTATCTTAATTTTGAAATCTAAGATATTTATTAGTATTATTTTAAAAGCTGATCTTTTATAAAAGGTAGTTCTATTGCTTAATTTATCATTTTTTTTTGACACATATCAATTTCATTCATTACTTCATTCTTTAAAACTGTAAAGTAGTCGTTGATCTTTTTTAAAATTGAATTAGATGATTCTAAGCTTTCCATTTGCTGCTTTAGTTTTTTGGTAATTTCTTAATCTTCCAAAGGAGGCCATTTTGAAATAATTTATGTTTCACCATCTTCAATAATTTATGATATCTTGATTATATCTTTAGCTTTGGAGTCAAGGTCTTCATTAAAACATTCATTACATAGAAGTACACTCTTGTTAGCATCATTCGCAATCTCTTTTACTTGTAAATATTTAATTTTCTTTTTGGAGTGAATTTGACAAATTTAAGTATGCTAAATGCGTGTTTGATCCATGATAAACTATATTTTTATAATTTCCTTTATTGTTTTTTATTAAAAAGTTAATTAATAGTTGAATTGAATAAAAATATCTAATCTGAATTGTTTAGCTTTAGTAAAAAATCCTAAAAATAATATCTTTGAGGTTTAAAAATTAATATGAAAATTAACAAAACTATTTATTTTTAATTAACATAAATAAGATTTATGGAACTACTAAAAATATTTTAAAAATGTAATTAAAATACTTTTTTTCATTTCAATCTCTAATTTTAGGTTTAATCTGCAAATAATATTTAAATTTTTAAAAATTCTATAAAAATAATAAAAATAAATTCAACTTATTTGATATTTTAACAAAATAAATCAGTGAAATAATGAATAACCTATTCATATTTATATTAAAAAATTATTCAAATCAATATTTAATTTACAATTAAAATGATTTTTTAAAAATAGCTAAACAAGTAAAATTAAATAATGAAATTTTTTATCAAAAATATTATTTTTAAAATAAAACATTTTTTATGATTAAAAGAGAGTTAATTACAATTAAAATAACAATTAATATGCAATTATAAACAACCCATTTAAAACTTATAAAATAACTAGAGGATTTTAATGAGTTTATAATAAATTCAATTATTTGTTTAAATTATGGCAATATTTAAAATTGTGATGTTTTAGTTAAGAAATGAAATGAGTCACCCAATTAATTAATTTTTACTTATTAGCCAATTATTAAAAAATTTAATCAAATTATTGCTTGATTTAATTACTTTTCTGATTTTATATTTTGATAATCTATAAGTAGAATTTAATTTTTACTAAAGTCAGTTAAAATGAAAAGAAATAAAAGTGAACAAATCCATAATAAAGATAGAAGATAAACTTTTGAGGCTAAAAGTTCAAATAAGCTGAGAAAACTAATGTAGGAAAATGGAAATAAGAAGGCAAATTTTATTGAAATACATGATGAAGAGTATATAGCTTAGAATGATTAGTAGGATTATAATGATCTAGATAAGTGGAAAAAAGATCTTCTTTTAAAAGAAAATGATGATATGAGCGATAAATTAAAGTAGAGATTTTAGCACATATAGTCATTAAAAGAAGATATTTAAATGCCAGAGCTTAATTTTGATGTAATTGACTCAGTAATGAATCCTAAATATTATTAAGATGAAGAAATAGTTTAAAATTAAGAGTAGACGCCCAGCATAATATGCAATTATTCCTTATAAAATGCCATTGAAAAAGCAAGAAAAAGTGTTCTTTTAGGCTAAGATTTCAATGTGTAAGATATGAAAGTAAACAGAAGTACTTTTTATGCCTAAGCTAAGAATGAAAATTTTACAGATTTCATTAATGAATAACAAGATTAAATCTCACAAAGTAGTAAAAGAAAAAGTGTTTCAAAAACACTTTAAACTCAACCTGAATAGCAATCAGGCTCTCCTAAATCACCAACTCCAAAAGTATTAGAAAAATAATTTAGTAAAATTAACAGTCAGAGTTCTATTTTTTTACAAAGGAATCTAAATAAATAACTTCTAAACAACCTCCTTCTGAATCGCATTACCAAAAAATATGTTCAAAACTAAAGTAATTTGTTTAATTTGATAGGAAATTCATTTTAAAAAGTATGAAGATCTTCTTAATTAAATAAAGCACAATTAATATTCCAGATTAAAAAAATAATAAAATTAATTTAATAATGTAATTTTTTGCTTATATTAGATAGCTCATTAATTAACTTAATAATTTTATTTTAGATTAATTAAACATTTAATTTTAATTTTTTCATTCGTTTAATTTGCAATGATTTTGTTATAATTAATTACTAAGAGACAGAAATAAAGTGTGAAGAGATAAAAAATGAGGTGAAAAAAGTAAGAATTGACCCAAATATTTAAGGATAGTCTTTCTATTAGCAAGAGGCAAAATAGAAAAATGAAAGTGTAGATAAAATTAGATTTCTTTTTAGTGAAGAAACTGATAAATTTTCTAAGACTACATTGAATTCTTTTAAGAATGTCGGCACTCAATTCTTTAGGTTGGGAAATGTTATTGAGTATGATTAGCTTTTAAGAGATATTATAAGTGAAATTTTTCATCCTCAGGGTATCCTAGATGAAAAAAAAATAAACTCAATCAATGGCGAAACAGAATTTGATCAGGAAAGCTACAATTATCTTGAAAAGGCTTTGTTGGATAATTATACATTCTGCAGTTAAAAAATAGAAGAATTACAAACTAAAATTAAAGAGGAAAGATTATATTAAACAAATATTTCTCAAGAACTAAAGAATACTCATGAACAAATGGTTTCGTAGCTTGCCAGAATTGACCTAGATGAAGAGCTTTTTTTAAACGAAATTAATAGCTCCAATAATTCATAAATATTTTTTCACTCTATGTCTACTAAAATGAATACAGTACGCTTTAAAAATGTTAACAATTAGGATTTCAGGAATAAACATAAAAAAATTGAGGAGGAGAGAGAAGAAGTTAAAATTTACTTTGATACTTTAAAAAAAGCGATAACTTAGAGGACAAAGACTTCCCTAGAAAAATTAGAATTGATGGATAAAGAAATATTAAAAATAAAATAAAAGCGAAATACCACAAAACTAATACTTAAAGACTTATACCTGAAAGCAATAAAAAGCAATCAATTTCCTAAGCAAAGTTTGGTTCTAATTGTGAAATAGCTAATTCTAATAAATGAGGAGTTAAGCAATTCGAACATATTACCTAGTTTTTTAGATGAAGATTCAAAATAATTTTTAATTCAATGGGCAAAGCTTATGATTGAATAAGATAGAATTTAAGAAAAAATAAAACGCCTGAATGTAGATGGTGTTAATGTGTCTTAGTAGTATCAAAGTCTCGCTATGGAATCATCTAAAATAAGTTCAAAAAATTCTAGAGAAGCAATTTAACAAAAAGTCCATCGGATGGCTAAAAGTTGCAACTAATAGAAATAAACTGATTGGGGCTCAATGACTTAATCAAGCTAGAATTTCTACCCAGGAGTAGATGAAGTTAGCTAAAATTCTTATGTGAAATACTAAGAGAGAATAGCATTTGATTTAAATAAATTTTCAGATGATTGTATACAAGCTGTTGGGATTAAAAATGATCTTAGGCAAGAGCTTCACCATGTAAATGTCTTAATAGAAAGGATTAAAGAAAGTGAAAAGTAGCGACTATATCAGAAATATAAGCCTAATGGTTTCGGCTACTAGTAAAAAATAGCTTAGCTACAATAATCTTTAAACGCTCTATTTGGTAAGTAAGAATGTGAGTTATATATAACTCACCATCTTAAACAGCAGTCTCTCTATGATGAAAAAATTAATAGCCAAAAATTCTTTAAATTTTCTAGTAAAAAGGTTTCATAAGACCAATAGCAGTATTAAACAAGCAATTCTGTGGGTGAAGATAGTTATATGTAGCAAAAGCATTAAATCCAACTTCCTTAAAAGAATGTTTCATAAACAGCAGCAGTAAAATGGATTGAATAATAAAGAAAGCAATCAGATATTTAGTCTAATCAATAATAAAAGTTAAAAATTCCACAACAAATAATTAACAATTATATGGAAAAAAAAGATTCTATAAATTAAAATAATAAATTAATCTTCTAATATAGCCAACTAAGTAATTAATTATTTAGTCATTCAACAAAGCACACTTAAAAACATAATTTAGATCATTAGTAGCTTTTGAATCAGCCTGGTCTTTTAGATAATTATTTTTTTAATATTAATCTTAACAAGAGGAGGGCTTCTGATCACAATTCTGGTAATAATTCCTAGCATTCTCTGCTAAAGTCACCATAGTTTTCATAGTCAAATTCCTAAAATGTTAGATTAATTGACAAAAACAAAAAAATTTCTACATAATTTTGAAGATAGTGCGTGCATAAATAAATTAAAAACTATGTAAATTGTTTATCTGTTTAGAGAATATTCCTTTAAATTTTATGAATTATTAATTAACTTTAATTAGTGATTGATTGTTTACCTTCATAAATGAGCATTAACTTAATTTTTATTTTTTTTACTATTTAAACGTTAATAAATATTTTTATACTCAATACTTTCATAAAATGTGACTTTAGTAAATTTTAATTTGGATGATATAAATAACATATCATAGAATTTTTAAATTTTGGATAAACATATTTATACAAATTGTATTTTTTTTAATTTGAACTTTAAATGAACGATTACTTAAAAATTGAGTAAAACAAAATTTTTTTCAAAAAAAAAAATGATTAGTATTGATTTATTTTTTTGAGGTTTATATATGATTTTATGCATTAGGTAAAGATAACATACAAATATCCATTTCAATAGAAATTATTTAAAATAAAATAATTAAATTTTTTAGATTATTTTATCACAACTATATGGATTGGTTAGTAAAACATTGATAATTCAATTTGGTAAATTTTTTGGTTTTTTTTCTATTAATTTTGGGAGTTTGTTGTTTGCATTAGATAAAACTTGATTTTTATTTTAACATTTATAAAGTTGTATTCAGTTTGCATGAACTTAAGAATTGGTGATCTTTAGAATCTCTTGTTACAATATGTTGGTTTCTCATTAATAAATTAGATTCTTATTTTTTTTATATCCTTGAGAGCTTCATAATTCTAAACTGATCAAATGAATTCCTTTATTTAGCAATTAATTTTATCAAAAATCATATTTCAAATAATAAATAAAAAGAATTACTTTATCTTCTTCCAAAGAATAAACTTTCTGATAGAGTTTTAAGGTACTTAAATGCATTTTTTTGATTTAGGAAAAACTTTTAGAATAAATCTTTTAATTTATAAACTATTAATTCGATAAAAATATATTATAAATTGTAATATAACTGAGAAACAAACTGCTTAAATTAGAATCAAAAAAATATTTTATTAATTTAATGGCAATGCAACTTAGTTATTTAAAATATTAAGAAGAAAAATTAATTAAATTGCTTAATTGAGTTTTAAATCAACTTGTAAAGAAATGTTATCTCTGTAGGGTTTTAGTCTAATCAAAAGTCTGTTATAGATTTGTATTAGTATAATTGATAAAACAAGTTTTAAGACAGATAATTGATCAGATAAAACATTAGCAATAATTACAATAGCAAGTCTCAGTATGATCCTAAAGAATTCCCAATAAAAAAATATCTATTTATAATTAGAGCATATGAACCCAAATTTAATTATTTGTATTGGTTCGTCGAGTACTTTTCTTTTGACATATATTCTATAAAGTAAAAACAAAGGTAAAATTAATATCCATAAGAATAGCAAAGGCATAATCATGAAAACTATAAATTTTAAATGTTCACTAGAATAGCATATTTTGTTTAATTGTGATTTGATGTAAAAGAAATCTCCTATCTTTCTACATGACATTATTTATATTAACTAAGAAACTGTTCCGCTTTAAAAAGAAATAAAACCAAAATTAAAGGCCACGTATAAGAACCTTTTGTGGTGAGGTCTGTTAAAAAATTTTTTCATTTGAGAAAAGTATAAAATAAGTCCTAGTAATATGTAGATAATAGGGATGACTGATACCCATAAACCTCTAGTAAACTCAATAGGAATTTTTTTTATCCTGGCAAATAAGCAATCAAGAGAATTGTTAGATGTTACTGATGGATTAGCAAACACTCCAAAGATATCAAAAAATGAGATACTAAAAAAATTGAGCTAATTACTACAAGCGGCAGATGTCACTTATACAAAATTGATAAATAGCTTTATATACAACTAGCCTTTATCACTTTCTCCTGATTTACCTATCAAAAGAAAATTCAATCTTCTTAAAGTTTAACAAATAATATATTTTGAAGCCTTCTCGACAGTTTGCTTGACTGAGTATAAGAAATAGATTGTCAAAACAACCATTTTAATAATCTCTCTTAATAAAATTTCATCATATTTATTACAAGGACTACAAGAATATTTACCTAGAGATCCAAATCTTTCCCCCCACACCTCTCCATAATTATCACAAATTTCACAAAGAGGTCCTATAAAAATAATAAAAAATGTTGAATATATATTTAAATATAAAGTTTATGGTTATTTATTTATTTATTTTTGCTTTTTATATTTTTTTCATAAATACAGTAAATCCTCTTTAAATTCTTTCCCAAACTCCTTAAAATTTATATAAAGATTCAAAATATCACTATTTGACTTTAATGGGGGCTTTGGTCAATTAATTGAAAACTCATTCCCTGCTATCTCTTAATTTGTGGATCTTCATAAGCAGATAAATTAAATTAAAAATTTTTTGTCATAATTAATGATGATTTACAGTAAAAAAATTAACTAATTAAGTCTTTTATAATTTTTTGTACCTATGAAACCTTTGATACAACAAAATTAAGATTCCTATTGCGTTTTTAGTGTTGACTGGCATTCACAATTTTTAGGTTGATTTTAGCACTCTATTATTTGATCATCATGTTAACTTAATCTCCAAAATCCGTTTTTGACATTTATTACATTTAAATAACAGCTGTCTGCTTTGTCCAATTAGCATTATTTACATTATATTGCTTAATGAAGATTTGGCTCAATTAGAGAATAAGTATTATTTATGCATTATTGGCACTCGTATATTTATTAAGATATTTAAGAAAAAAATTCTCCTGCCTAGCAATCTCTAAATATAACTGAAATACTAAAATTTTTACCTACTGTGTAGGTATTATTCATAGTATCCTGCCTCAAAAAAGGGGCACTAATTTGAATTTAAGAAGATTTCTTGGGCATTCCTTGAATTTTCATACCACTTATATTAAATGTATTATTTGAACTCTATTAGTATGAAAAAATAGTATTATATTTTATATCAATTTCATTTTAATTGTTTGAAAAAAGCTAAATTTAATAAAATTTTATTTCATTTAATATCTTTTGAGTAAAATGAGTGTTATGTGGAGGAATGATGTTAACAATATTTTATTCTTCATCTAATAGGCTAATTTCTATGTTTTCTATTATATCTCCACTTCTTATATTTTCTAGCTAAAAATCTTCAATAAACTTCATGTTATTATCCCTATAGAATGTTAGATATTTTGGAATTGATCCAATATTATTTCCAAAAATAAAAGCTTCATTATTAATGAATTAAATATCGCTACTACTTTTTTAATTAGCTTTTCCACTTTTTATGATTTTATGAATAAATCTAGGTATTATGTCAAGATATCTAATTGCTCCTCCAATACTAGCTTTATTATTAGAAAAGATGCTATTCAATATTTCAATATCAACATTTTATAAATATATTGCACCACCACTATTTTAAGAAAAATTACTATCAAAAATACTGTCTACTATACTATTTTCATCACCTTATACTAGAAAATTCTTTAATAGTATGCAAGATCCTGAATCTTTAGATAAATTTTAGCTAAAAGCTGATTTTATTACATTAATTTGGCTACAAGTTTGTGAAAACACACAGCTGAGGCAAGCATTCAAATTAAATATGGCTAAATTAAATTAAACAAAATCTATATTTTATATTTAAATAAGTGCAGAATTTTCTAATTTATTTTAACTAAAGGTGCAATTTTAAATTTAAGACATTTATATGTTTTGTATTTAAATAGCACTTAATGCTACATACTCATCGAATGAATTTTTCTCATACAAGGTCTATTGTAAAATCAAAACAGAGTCAATAAAAGCTATAGAATACTTTTTGCTATTTTCTTCAATCACAAGATAATTAGAAATGTTAAGGAATAATAAATTTTAGTTTAATTTTACTGTAGAAGAATCTATAATTAGCTATCCGAAAGTAAAAATACCGATAAGATAACTAGCTAATTGATTATAGTTTTCATATATTTATTTGTTTTAAATGATCTATAAATTTCGGAATGCTATATTGGATGTTTAAATTATTTCAATCAAATTAAAGTTATTATTTAAAAAAATATTATTATTTATTAAGTTAAAATTTTATATTTAAATTTTCATTCCACTATCAAATTTAAAAAGTTGAGAACTTATATTTAAATTACTGTTTTCAATAAATAAATTTTCAATCTCAACTGAAGTAAAATTCAAAATTTTTATCCCATTAAAGCTGTTTGGAATAGTCTAGTTAAAAATGAAAAAGTCTTTTATTTTAAGAGAATCAACATTGCTAAATAAAATACCAAATTAATTAATATTATTAAAGTCCTAAATAAGGTATATTAGCTTACATTAATCTATAGTAATCGATGAAAAACCTTAAATCATGATATAATTTGTTATATATAAAGTCGCATTTTATAAAATAATCTAAGTATAGGAAAGACTAAGTTAATTAAAATTAATTCTATCAAGGTACACATACTATCCAGTAATTACTAAAGATATATTCATATTTTGAGTTAAATTTGGTAAACTTAGACTGTAAATATTCATTAGACTCTTCTGGTATTAATTTTAAGAAATTATTAAGAAATACTAGTTTATTTTAAATTTTATATATTCATTCATTTCCTACAAATCATTAATAGACTATTTTATTTAATACTAATTAGAATCATAGAACTGAATAGTACAATTGTAATTGTTTACTTTTTCTAAATATGGTAAATAATTAAAGAATAACATGTTTTTACCAGTATCATATCCTGCAAGTGACAGTGAAGTTAGTTAATTCTTATTATTATCTACATAATTTAATACTTAAGCATTAAAAATTTTAACATTTTACTATTAAGACTAATAAATAATATTATAATGCCCTTCATAAGTTAATAAATAAGAAGTAAAGTTCAACTCATGAATTTCAAATGTTTGTCTGAAAGATAAAACAAGATAGTTTTAAGTAATAGCACTAATATCATAAATTGTATTATTCATATAGTTTTTTGTAGAGACATACAAAACATGGGTGGTTTTTATGCTATAAATTGCATATATTATATCAGTAAAAGCAATTAAGTACCCTAAATCTTCATATATTTTAAATTTAAAATGATATCTAATAAAAGGTAGAAAATATTGTTAATATTCTATCTTATTTTTAGGATTACTTATAACACATTAAATGCAAATTTAATAGATGTTAAGACTATCTTGAAGTGAAAAAACAACAAATTTTTAATCTTATATTAGCTCAACTTGAATTATTTTTGTGGAAAATTGTTGTATCATTAAGACGTTCAACTGAATAGATTAATTTTATGCAAAGAATGAGATTTAGGATACCTGAAGAATAGAGTTTGAGGAATAAGATAGAATAAAATAATTTTCTTATGTTTAATTTAAATTATTTGAATAATTTTTAAGTAACACAATTTCATACTTTATGTTATGAAAGTTTTAAATCAGAGATTATGATAGAGAATTAGAATTCATAATTATCAAATTACCAGAATTAAAAGTCAAAAGAGAAAGATTTTTATTTATAATTACTATTTCATCAACAACTTGATCAAAGTTTATATTTTTTATTGAGCTTCCTATTAGTTTATTTTAATTAACTTCAATGATTGATATTTACTTGGGTTTACTTATTAAAATCGCTCTAAAATTTAAGTTAGGCAAGTTAGTATTTAAAAGTTCTTAAACTTAAATTTCAAGATTTTTGAAAATGAAAGTATTGATTATTGACTGCGTTAATGTATTGTATAAAATGATCTCAGACAATGATGCTATAATTATAACTTGAGAAGAGATTTATTAAATTGAATGAATTTTACTTCCTCTTTTCATTACTAACTTCAATTTTTTATTTGAGAGATCTATTTTATAAAGGTTAGACTCTATCGGAGAAGTAGCATAAATAGAATTTTCTAAATATGAGTGAAATTTAGGAATCAATGATATATTCTTGTCAACATAATAATAATTTTCATCATAAACAGATTATAAATCATATAGAAAGTATTTGCTTGAATAGGCTGTAAAATCATAATTCCAGAACGCAAGCATATTTAAACTAGGTAAAAATATCATGGTTAGCTAATCATATATTGTTTGAAGTAAATTTCCTTATGTTTTCTAATAAATATAATACTTTTAATCAAAGCTAAATACAACAATTAAATCAAGATTATCCACCTTAATTATTTATAGAAAATTTTTGCAAGAAATCAAATATTTTTAGCTACTTTAATAAGTATTTAAATCCAACATACCATAATAAATCAAATATTAGGTTTCAGATTATAATCCAATAACAAAAATTTCTTTAGTATCTGCATAATAAAATATTTCAATTGTTTAGAGATTCAAGAAAAGCTAAGTATAAACTATTTTTTGCAGTGAAAATGAAATGAAATAAACTACCCTATATAAATTAAAATTTTATTAATATAAAAATTAATAAATAAATTTTGTTAATGTAAGTAGCACTTTTAATTGGTTTTATTTTAAAATATTAAATTTTAATTTAGAAATAATTAAATATTTTTTGGCTACTTTTTTATAAGTTGAAATATTATTTTACTAGTGATAATCAATGCAATATATGTAATCCTAATCAATCTATTAGCATATAGCGAAAGTATTATACAAAAATATAGATGATACCACAGTCTAATTTCTATAAAATATTACTTCATCAAAATAGTCTAGCATCATAAAATAAGTATATATGTTATATTTCAAGCTATAAAATACATAAGCTATCCCTTAGCTGGCACTCGCCTTTATTTATTCTATAAGAGTAAGATCTTTAAAACTATACAAATTAACATTTTATACCTAATCTAAATCTATAAATTGTACTATTATGCAATCAAATTATGTTGAAACATTAATTATACTATTTAATTTTATAGTAGATATAAGATCTATCTAAAATTACATTTACTGGTTCTATGAAATTTAATATAAGCTTAGCTAGGATCTTCCATACAAACAAAACTTAGACTACTCTATTAAATCACTTAAATTGTAAAAAAAGTCATTAAACTAGTCTTAAATAGAATAGCTTAACAACAAGTTTCCGTTTCTAAAATCATAAACAAGGATAGTGAAGTTTTAAATTTATATAAAAATGCTTAAACTTGGTATAAATAAAATATAATCATTAAATAAATAAGGGTTAGCTATATTTGCTATCTAAACAGAAGATTTTTTATGAATTTTTAAAAATGAGATATCTGTTGGTGAACCTTAAATCATCTGATTGTCTATTTTTTATGATAAAATTTTAGCTTTAAATCCAAAAAGTTAAATAAATTATAATTTAATATTTCTAAAAAGAATTTAGGAAAATTATTTATAAAATTTTATATAAAATCGAAATAAAATGCTTAATTAATTTACTAACTATGATTTAGTTCGAAGTAAAGTCTAAACTCAAAGAATAAAAAATGAACTTTGCCTTGACTATATTCATATTAGATAGAGATTTGCTACCATATATAATTGTGTTATCATTCAATCCAATAAGTAAAATATCTCTATCGGAATTATATTAGTAACAAAAAAAAGTATCTGAAAAACTAAAATTATTGATTTGGTAATTTAGAAGATTAAATTGCTGAATTTATGCTTCGATTTATATATAGATGTACTCTTCTGCATAAATATAAGATTCTGAAACTTAACTTGGTAATGTTTTCATTACAAATGAAGAAGTATCATCCAACCTATAAAATGCTGAATATAGGATATAAGATTTTTATTCCCCATAAACTGTAATTAAAAGTATATTGTATTAACTAAAAATAACAAAGTTAAATAAATTTTAAGAACTGAATATTGATTGATTTTAGTAATTTAAACTGTTTAAACTAATAGTTGCTAAATTAGTTTAAAAGGATTCATTATTATAATAAGATGCATAAACTATTTAATTTGTTGAGTCCACAAAAAAGTTATCAAAACTCTGCATATCTATGTTTGGAGTGTCTATGGCATTTTATAAGGAAGCTGTAAAAACAAAAGGGTCTAACTTATAAATTTGTATCTAATCCTACTACAAAAGCAAAAGCACTTTACTTTCGAATATATAAAATGATTGCTAAACATATTAAATTAGCATAATAGAGTAATATTGGATATCTAATTTCTCCAAGTCGATAATAAACATTCCAAATTCTTTTATTTATTTTATTAATTTTATTAGTATATAATAATTATTTGTAACTTTAAAAAATAAATGGAATGTAGTACCCTCCTTAATTAATCCAATAAGTAAATATTTTAAAAATAATAATTTAAATTTAATAAAAGAGGATAAAATAACATTTTCCTTATAAAAATTAAATAAAATTTTTAAGAATTTGAAGTAAAATAATCTAATTACCATCACAAAAATAATAAATTTATAGTTTTTTTGATTCTAAATTAGCTGAAGATTGAAACTATGTAATGGCACATTAAGGCAGCTCATAGAAAGATAAAAATTCTAATGTGTAAAAGCTAACTAAGTTAATATAACGATTGTCTAAAAATATTATTAAATCGAACTGTTCTAAAATGAATATAGGTAAATTATTCGGAATTCTTTGAGAAAGAATTCTCATTTGATTAATTTGAGAAAGGTTACTTAAATCTAAGATGTTTATTTAAGATTATTCATAGATTATCAATTTATTTTCTTGACTATTTATTTAAATGCTACTTTGCTAATAATTTGTATTATATGGAAGAGAAAAACAACTAAAATCTTCTTATATTTCGTTGCGAGTTAAAGAAAATATAATGATTCCTTTAGTTTCTTCCATCAAAGAGTAAAATAGCAAATCATCCACTATTTAAAAATACTAAATTTAGTATAAATAAAAAGTGTTTATATATTACAGGCTATTTTAGGAAATGTCTATTTTTATAAAAATTCCTATTTATGTTGAAGCAATATAAATTGACTAACTGTATGACTACACATTAATAACGTTAATATCTAAATTACTTAGATATGTTTATTTTAAATCTATTTTAAAATTTTATTAATTTGCTAATTTGTTGTTTTCATCTAAGATAAAGCTACTGATTGTATTGTTTTTGCTATTAATAAATAACTAATTTTAATCTTCAAAATAAAAAACCTGAATCGTTAAATAATCTAAAGGGATGCTTATCTATTCAATTAAAGGATTTTATATGAAACTTTTAAAGCTCACTTTGTAAAAACTCTAATTTTAAATGCTAATTATGAAGCATCCCAATTCTTTTATTTAGGGTTAAACTTTAAAGAAATCGGGTATAATCGATTACAAGGAATAAGAATTAACTTAAGCAGAATTTAAATCTATAGCTAAATAATTTAATGAGTCCATCAAAACAAAAAGCTAAGAGTTGATTATATCTTCTTAGGCAAATATTATAATTTAGTTTAAACTCTAATAACTTATTATGCTCTTTGCTGTAACAAAACTAAATATATTTATCTAAATATTAAAATGAATAAAATTTTTATATCAAAAGTATTAAAAATAGTAAATGATTTCTAAAAAAATATTTTTTATTTTACAGTAGACTGAGAAAGCTCCATAAACAGAATATACTAATAAGTAGAAGTAAATAGTATTTTTTTACTGATTGCTCCAGAATGTTAAGTGCAATTAAATACACTTAAAATATTAGCGTTAATCAAGTCAAATAGAATGATATCTCCTTAAACATTGACAGAGTAAAGTATATTATTGTGTATACCAAAATCCACCAAGCTACTCCCATGCCCCTCATATATGATTACTTTATTTAAATCACTCAAATCTGTTCCAATTATTATCAAATCATCTGATATAGTGTAAATCTGATTTAATTCTTTGCTTACTAAGAACTTCTTGATATAACTTTGATGACAGGATTTTTTGTATAAAACTTAACTTTAGCAATCTTAGCAATTTATTACCAAAAATTATAAAATAACAAAAAAAATCTTTTTTACCATTTTAATTAACTCTTTTTTAAATTTTTTGTTAATTAATGCTTTTTTATATTAATTATTTTTAAAAAACTGTTGATTATATAACATTAAGATATCTAAATAACATCAGTTAACTTAAATTGCAACTATCATATTATGTAATAAATAAATAACTCGATTCATCAGAGAATATAACATCATTCAACTTTTGTCACGAGAATTAAATCAGTATATTTTACTCATTTTTATATTTACATTTTATTAATTATTTTTTATCATACATACCTTCAATTATCCATATAAATATATTTTCATTTATCAGGATATATTAATTCGTATAAAATTTAATCCTAATATTTTAGATTATTTGACAAAAACAAAAAAATTTCAATTTTATTTTGAATGTAGTACATTACTTAAAACTAAGTAAGTTTTTATTTATTTATTTATTTATTTATTTAGAGAATATTATTTAAAGTTTATGAATTATAAATTAACTTTAATTAGTGATTGTACTATATTATAAATGAGTGAGTACTCACTTAACTTTTTATTATAGAAATTATTTTATTGTTAATAAAATATTTTTATTATTAATATGTTATAATTTTAGTAAAATTTTAATTTTAATGGATATAAGTCACCTCTTTAAGTTTTTGAAAAACAAGTTTATATAAATTATCTTTTCTTAATTTAAACAAACATTAAATTAAGGATCATTCAGCTCTTTAATAAATATAGTAAAATTAAAAAAATTTATTTCATATTATATGATTTTGTATTAATTAATTTGAGGTTTATATTTGAGAATTTAAGTATTAGTTAAAAATAACATACAAATTACCTTTAAATTGTTTATAATAAAAAAATTATACTTTATAAATATAATTTTATCACATCTGAAAGGATTGATTAGTAAAGCTTGGATAATTCAGCTTGGTAAATGTTCCAGTTTTTTTTCTTTTATTTTACTTAACTGGTTTGCTTTAGATAAAACTTGATTTTTATTTTGACATAAATAAAGTTGTATTCAGTTTGCTTGAACTTAAGAATTGCTGATCTTTAGAATCTCTTGTTATAGTAATCTGGTTTCTCATTAAATAATTAGATTATTATAGTTTTTATATCCTTGAGAGCTTCATAGTTTTAAACTAATCGAATGAATTCCTTAATTTAGTAATTAATTAAAGTAAAACTTTTTATATCAAATTCAAAAATAATAAAAATTACTTTATTTTCTTCCAAAGAATAAACTTTCTGATAGAGTTTTAAGGTACTTAAATCCATATTTTTGAAGTTGGAAAAACTTTTAGAATAAATCTTTTAATTTATAAACTATTAATTTGATAAAAATATATTATAAATTTTAATATCACTGTGAAACAGATTGATTAAATTAGAATAGAAAAAATGCTATCTTAGTTTAATGTTGATGAAGCTTAGCTATTCAAAATACTTATTAGAAAAATTAATTAAATTGCTTTATTGAGTCTTAAATCAAGTTGCAAAGAAACGTTGTCTCTGTAAGGCTTTAGTCTAAACAAAAACATATTATATATTTGTATTAGCATAATTGATAAAACAAGTTTTAAGATAGATTGTTGATCAGATAACACATTAGCAATAATTACAATAGCAAGTCTCAGTATGATTCTAAAGAATTCCCAATAGAAATATATCTATTTGTAATTAGAGCAGATGAACCCAAATTTAATTATTTGTATAGGTTCGTTGAGTACTTTTCTTTTGAGATAAATTCTATAAAGTAAAAACAAAGGTAAAATTAATACCCATAAGAATAACAAAGGCATAATCATGAAAACTATATATTTTAAATGTTCGCTGGAATAGCATATTTTGTTTAGTTGTGATTTGATGTAAAAGTAATCTCCTATCTTTCTACATGACATTATTTATATTAACTGAGAAACTGTTCCACTTTGAAAAGAAATAAAACCAAAATTAAAGGCCACATATATGAACCTTTTGTGATGAGGTCTGTTAAAAAAATTATTCATTTGAGAAAAGTATAAAAAAAGTCCTAGTAATATGTAGATAATAGGAATCGTTGATACCCATAAGCCTCTAGTAAACTCAATAGGAATATTTTTTATCAAGGCAAACAAGCAATCAAGAGAATTGTTAGAAGCAACTGATGGATTTGCAAAAATTCCAAAAATATCAAAAAATGAGAAAGTAAAAAAAAAATTTAGTTAATTACTACAAGCAGCAGAAGTGACTTATACAAAGTTAATTAATAGCTTTATATACAACTAACCTTTATCACTTTCTCCTGATTTACCTATCAAAAGAAAATTTAATCTTCTTAAAGTTTAGCAAATAATATATTTTGAAGCCTTTTCAACAGTTTGCTTGACTGAATATATGAAATAGATTGTCAAAACAGCCAATTTAATAATCTCTCTAAATACAATTTCTTCATATTTATTGCAAGGACTGCAAGAATATTTACCTAAAGCTCCAAATCTTTAACCCCACGACTCTCCATAATTATCACAAATTTCACAAAGAGGTCCTATAAAAGCAATAAAAAATGTTGAATATTTATTTACATATAAAAATTAAAGTTATTTATGTGAAATTGTTTTTATAATATTTTTATTAATACTGTAAATTTTTATTAATTCTTTCTGAATTTCCTTAAAAAATAGTATCATGGCTTCAAAATATCATCATAAGGCTCAATTAAGAGCTTGGGAATAGGTTTGTTAGAATTAATGAGGATTTATGGTAAATAAATTAATTAGTTTTTTATAAATTTTTTGCAAAAAAATAATTAATCAATCTCTCACAAAAGTATTAATCTTAAATAATTAAATTTGTGTACCTATAAAACCTTTGATACAACAAAATTAAGTTTCCTTTTGCATGTTTAGATTTGACTAGCATTCACAATTTTATGGCTGATTCTAGCACTCTATTATTTCATCACCAAGTTAATTTAATCTCCAAAATCCTTTTTTGACATTTATTACATTTAGATTGCAGCTATCTGCTTTATCCAATTAGCATTATTTGCATTATATTGCTTTATGAAGAGTTGGTTCAATTAATGAATAAGTATTATTTAAGCATTATTGGCATTCGTATATTTATTAAGATACTTAAGAAAAAAATTCTCCTGCCTAACAATCTCTAAATATAACTGAAATACTAAAATTTTTGCCTACTATGTAGGTATTGTTGAGACTATCCTGTCTCAAAAAAGGGACATTAATTTGAATTTAAGAAGATTTCTTAGGCATTCCTTATATTTTCATACCACTAATGTTAAATGTATTTGAACTCTATTAGTATGAAAAAATTGTGTTATATTTTAAATCAATTTCATTTTAATCATTTGAAAAAAGCTAAATTTAATACAATTTTATTTCATTTAAAATCTTTTGAGTAAAATGCATGTTTTGTGGAGGTATGATGCTAACTACATTTTATTCTTCATCTAATAAGCTAATTTCTAAGTTTTCTATAATATCTCCACTTCTTAAATTTTCTAGCTGTAAATCTTCAATAAACTTCATCTCCTTATCCCTATTAAATGTTAGATATTTTGGAATTGATCCAATATTATTTCCAAATATAAAAGCTTTATTATTTAAAAATTAAATATCACTACTATTTTATTAATTAGCATTTCCACTTTTTATGATTTTATGAATAAATCTAGGTATTATGTTAAGATATCTAATTGCTCCTCCAATACTAGCTTTATTATTAGAAAAGATGCTATTCAGTATTTCAATATCTACATTTTATAAATATATTGCACCACCACTATTTAAAGAAAAATTATTATCGAAGATGCTGTCTTATATAATATTTTCATCTTTTTATTCAAGAAAATTTTTTAGCAATAAACAAGATCCAGAATCATTAGATAAATTTTAACTAAAAACTGATTTTATAACATTAATTTGACTACAAGTTTATGAAAACACACAGCTGAGGCAAGCATTCAAACTAAATGTGGCTAAATTAAATTAGACAAAATCTATATTTTATATTTAAATAAGAGCAGAATTTTCTAATTTATTTTAACTAAAGGTGCAATTTTATATTAAAGACATTTATATGTTTTGTATTTAAATAGCACTTAATGATACACACTCATCGAATGAATTTTTCTCATACAAAATCTGTTGTAAAGTCAAAAAGGAGTCAATAAAAGCTATTGAATATTTTATGCTATTTTCTTCAATCAAAAGGTAGTTAGAAATGTTTAGGAATAATAAATTGTGGTTTAATTTTACAGTAGCAGAATCGATAATTAGCTATTCAAATGAAAAAACGCCAATAATATAACTAGCTAGTTGATTATCATCTTAATATGTTTATTTGTTTTAAATGATCAATATATTTTTGAATGTTATGTTGGAGGTTTGAGTTATTTCAATCATATTAAAGTTATTTTTTAAAAAAATCTTATTATTTATTAAATTTAAATTTTATATTTAAATTTTCTTTCCTATATCAAATTTTAATAGTTGAGAGCTTATGTTTAAATTACTGTTTTCAATAAATAAGTTTTCAATGTCTGCTGTAGTAAAATTTATAATTTTAATCCCATTAAAATTGTATGAAATAGTCTAGTTAGAGATGAAAAAGTCTTTTATTTTTAGAGTGTCAACTAAGTTAAATAGAATACCAAATTAATTAATATTATTAGATTCTTAACTAACATATATTAGTTTACATTAATCCATAATAACCGACTAAAAACCTTAAATCACAACATAATTTGTTATATATAAAGTTGCATTTTATAAGATAACCTAAGTATAGGAAAGACTTAGTGAATTAAAATTAATTCTATCAAGATAGACTTCAGATCCAGTAATTATTATAGATATATTCATATTTTGAGTTAAATTTGGTAAACTTAGACTGTAAGTATTCATGAATCTCATTTAGTATTAATTTTAAGAAATTATTAAGAAATACTAGTTTATTTTAAATTTCATATATTCATTCATTTCCTGCAAATCATTAATAGACTCTTTTATTTAATACTAATTAGAATCTTAGAACTGAATCGTACAATTGTAATTGTTTACTTTTTCTAAATATGGTAAATAATTAAAGAATAACATGTTTTTACCTGTATCATATCCTGCAAGTGACAGTGAAGTTAGTTAATTCTTATTATTATCTACATAATTTAATACTTAAGCATTAAAAACTTTAACATTTTACTATTAAGACTAATAAATAATATTATAATGCCCTTCATAAGTTAATAAATAAGCAGTAAAGTTCAACTCATGAATTTCAAATGTTTGCATGAAAGATAAAAGAAGATAGTTTTAAGTAATAGCATTAATATCACAAATTGTATTATTCATATAGTTTTTTGTAGAGACATATAAAACATGGGTGGTTTTTATGCTATAAATTGCATATATTATATCAGTAAATGCAATTAAGTACCCTAAATCTTCATATATTTTAAATTTAAAATGATATCTAATAAAAGGTAGAAAATATTGTTAGTATTCTATCTTATTTTTAGGATTACTTATAACACATGAAATGCAAAGCTAATAGATGTTAAGATTATCTTGCAGTGAAAAAACAACAAATTTTTAATTTTATATTAGCTCAACTTGAATTATTTTTGTGGAAAATTGTAGTTTCATTAAGACGTTCAACTAGATAGATTAATTTTATGCAAAGAAAGAGATTTAAGATACTTGAATAGTAGAGTTTGAGGAATAAGATAGAATAAAATAGTTTACTTATATTTAATTTAAATTATTTTAATAATTTTCAAGTAACAAAATTTTGTACTTTATGTTATGAAAGTTTTAAATCAGATATTATGATAGAGAATTAGAATTCATAATTATCAAATTACCAGAATTAAAAGTCAAAAGAGAAAGATTTTTATTTATAATTACTATTTCATCAACAACTTGATCAAAGTTTATATTTTTTATTGAGCTTCCTATTAGTTTATTTTAATTAACTTCAAAGATTGATATTTACTTGGGTTTACTTATTAAAATCGCTCTAAAATTTAAGTTAGGCAAGCTAGTATTTAAAAGTTCTTAAACTTAAATTTCAAGATTTTTGAAAATGAAAGTATTGATTATTGACTGTGTTGATGTATTGTATAAAATGATCTCAGAAAAAGATGCAATAATTATAACTTGGGAAGAGATTTGTTAAATTGAATGAATTTTACTTCCTCTTTTCATTATTAGCTTCAATTATTTATTTGAGAGATCTATTTTATAAAGGTTAGACTCTATCGGAGAAGTAACATAAATAGAATTTTCTAAATATGAGTGAAATTTAGGAATCAATGATATATTCTTGTCAACATAATAATAATTTTCATCATAAACAGATTATAAATCATAAAGAAAGTATTTGCTTGACTAGTCTGTAAAATCGTTATTACAGAATGCAAGCATATTTAAACTGGGTAAAAATATCATAGTTTGCTAATCGTATATTGTTTGAAGTAAATTTCCTTATGTTTTCTAATAAATATAATACTTTTAATCAAAGCTAAATACAACAATTAAATCAAGATTATCCACCTTAATTATTTATTCAAAATTTTAGCAAGAAATTAAAAATTTTTAGCTACTTTAATAAGTATTTAAATCCAACATACCATAATAAATCAAATATTAGGTTTCAGATTATAATCCAATAACAAAAATTTCTTTAGTATCTGCATAATAAAATATTTCAATTGTTTAGAGATTCAAGAAAAGCTAAGTATAAACTATTTTTTGCAGTGAAAATGAAATGAAATAAACTACCCTATATAAATTAAAATTTTATTAATATAAAAATTAATAAATAAATTTTGTTAATGTAGATAGCATTATAAATTAGTTAAATATTAGCATATTTAATTTAAATTGAGAAAATATAAAATAATTTTTGGCTATTTTTTTATAAGTTGAAATATTATTTTACTAGTATTTATCAATGCAATATATGTAATCTTAATTAATCTATTAGCATATGGCGAAAGTATTTTGTATAAATATAGATGATACCACAGTCTAATTTCTATAAAATATTACTTCGTCAAAATAGTCTTGCATCATATAATAAGTATATATGTTATATTTCAAGCTATAAAATACTTAACCTATCTCTTGACTGATACTAAATTTTATTTAATCTATAAGAGTAAGATCTTTAAAACTATACAAATTAACATTTTATACCTAATCTAAATCAAAAAATTGTACTAGTATGAAATCAAATTATATTGAAAAATTAAATATAAAATTTAATTTTTTTGTAGAAATAAGATCTATTTAAAATTACATTTACTGGTTCTATGTAATTTAATACAAACTTAGCTAAGATGTTCCATGCAAGCAAAACATAGACTAATCTATTAAATCACTTAATTGAAAATCAAATTCATTAAATTAGTCTTAAAAAGAATAGCTTAACAACAACTTTCCGTTTCTAAAATCATAAACAAGGATAGTGAAGTTTTAAATTTATATAAAAATGCTTAAACTTGGAATAAATAATATGTAACTATCAAATAAATAAGGGTTAGCTATATTTGCTATCTCAACAGAAGATTTTTTATGAATTTTTAAAAGTGAGATATCTGATGGTGAACCTTAAATCATCTGATTGTCTATTTTTTATGATAAAATTTTAGCTTTAAATCAAAAAACTTAAATAAAATTTAATTTAATTTTTCTAAAAAATAATTAAAGAAAAGGATTTATAAATATTAAATAAAATTGAATAAAATATTCTTAATTAATTTACTAACTATGATTTAATTTGAAGTAAAATCTAAACTCAAAGAATAAAAAATGAACTTTGTCTTGACTATATTCATATTTGATAAAGATTTGCTTCCATATATTATTGTGTTATCATTCAATCCAATAAGTAAAATATCTCTATCAGCATTATATTAGTAGCAAAAAAAAGTATCTGAAAAACTAAAATTATTGATTTGGTAATTTAGAAGATTACATTGCTGAATTTATGCTTCGAATTATATATAAATGTATTCTTCTGCCTAAATATAAGATTCTGAAATTTAACTTGGTAGGGTTTTCATTATAAATGAAGAAGTATTATCTAACCTATAAAATGCTGAATATAGGATATAAGATTATTATTCCCCATAAACTGTAATTAAAAGTATATTGTATTAACTAAAAATAACAAAGTTAAATAAATTTTAAGAACTGAATATTGATTGATTTTAGTAATTTAAACTATTTAAACTTATAGTTGCTAAATTAGTTTAAAAGGATTCATTATTATAATAAGATGCATAAACTATTTAATTTGTTGAGTCTACAAAAAAATTATCAAAACTCTGCATATCTATGTTTGGAGTGTCTATGGCATTTTATAAGGTAGCTGTAAAAACAAAAGGGTCTAACTAATAAATTTGTATCTAGTTGTTATACAAAACCAAAAGCATTTTATTTTCAAAAATATAAAATGATTAGTCAATATTTTAAATTTCTATAGAGTATTATAGGATATCATAGTTTTCTAAGTCGATTATGACAAACATTCCAAATCCTTATTTTTATTTTATGAATATAATTAATTATTAATAATAATATTTATTATTTTAAAAAATAAATTGAACATTATGCCCTCATTAATTAAAGCAATAAGTAAATATTTTTATTAAGGTAATAAATATTGGTGGATATTTTTTAAAGTAGCCTTAGTTAATGAGGATATACAGGATTTTAATTCTAACCCTTAGAAAAAATAAATTTTATAATTTTAAATAATTTTTAAGAATATGAAATATAATGTTATAAAAATATATTACCAACACAAGAATAATAAATTTATAGTTTTTTTGATTCTAAATTAGCTGAAGATTATAACTATATAATGGAATCTTAAAGCTAAATGAAAGATAGATACTCTAATGTATTATAGCTAACTAGGTTAATATAGCTACTATCTAAAAAAATAATTAAATCGAATTGCTCAAAAATAAATGTAGGTAATTTGGTAGGAATTCTTTGAGAAAGAATTCTCATTTGATTAATTTGAGAAAGGTTATTTAAATCTAAGATATTTATTTAAGATTGTTCATATATTATCAATTTATTTTCTTGACTACTTATTTAAATGCTATTTTGTTAATAATTTGTATTATATGGAAGAGAAAAACAGCTAAAATCGTCTTATATTTCATTGCGAGTTAAAGAAAATATAATAATTCCTTTGGTTTCTTCGGTCAATGAATAAAATAACAAATCCTCAACTATTTAAAAATGCTAAATTTAGTATAAAGAAAAAGTGTTTATATATTACAGGCTATTTTAGGAAGTGTCTATTTTTACAAAAATTCCTGTTTATGTTGAGGCAATATAAATTGACTAGCTATATTACTACATGGCAATAATCTCAATATCTAAAT